AAAAAAACGAATGGGAGAATGGCAGTTATTTTCTTCATTTCTAATCTCTCTATTCATTAGCGTTTCTATGCTCTTCATGTCAAAATCAAAAAAGCTCAACAGACTAAATACTCTTCTAGTTATTCATCTTCTTCATTGCTAGTATAGAGGTCATCTATCTATTTTTTCCATCTTGATAAGTATAAACAGATTATCGATACACTTGCGGTTCAACTGTCCAGACAAGGTGTTGCTTTGATAGATTCTGTTTTATTTCTTCTTCTCTAATTTTGACTCATGCGTTTGTACTCAATTTGTTCATAGTCGAGAGAAAGTGTATGAATAGGCATTGCTACTCACCAATACTCGTTACATTCATTCTTTGCTCTTTAAATTTGGATATATCCTCATTTACATATACTCACTAACAAATCATCAAACAAAAAAGAAAAATCGTTCTGTTATTCTCTATTTGCAGACATTTAATTTAAAGTAATTTGTGAACTTTCGTATTTAAACAAAATTCTATAGAACTTCATAAAATATTAAATATTCAATGACTTCAAAAGTAGAAAATCAATGGTTCGAAAATTATTTGAAGAATGCACAGTTGATTGGTAGTCGTTGTGGAAAATCATCGTCGACAAAGAAAAATAATCCATTACATAAACAACCACTAACTAAATATAAAACTGGAGACAAATTTCGTTTAAAAGTTGCAAAATTAAGTCTTGCAAAAAAATGGTCACAAATAAAAGAAGTACGTAGTAATAAACAGTGCATCCTATTTAAGATAATTCTTTTCAAAAATGATTAAAATATTTAATTTTTTAAAAAAAACAAGGAATGGATAGTTGTAAAACCAGTTGATTTATTCAAGCAAAGTAATCAATGTCTATGTGGACGAGGTAATTTAAAATTCGTAACCTATTTAAAAAATATTAAAACTCAAGCAGAAATTACAGCAGGCAATCATTGTCTATTAACATTAAAACGTTCAATATAAAACAAACAATATATATATATATACATATAATTTTTTAATATTTTTTTTCGTTAATTTAATGAAGTTTGCACATACGTATGTATCATGGATTTTATTACGTAAGACTTTTTGTCATATATATTTTTTGTATTATAACTCAAAATGATCGTTTAATTACTTGTGAAATAATTGATTGTTTACGAATAGCTCGATTACTTGTTCTTTGTTGCTGAAGATATGTAATTATATAACAATAGTCTATGTTTAATATCAATTTCTGCACATGTATAAATGAAAAAAAAAATAAATACAACGTTATAAATAATTGATTCTATTAAAATCACGAACATCAAATAAATGTTTAGTTGTACATAGTAAAAGTACATATGGTTTTTCAAATTATTATGTTTTCTAATTTTTGAACATTTCATTGCTTATTGTTAAAATATGGAAAGATAATTATTTAATATCATACTTACATTTATTGAAACTTTTCATTCAAATACAACAGACAATTCAATCCAATCAAGAAGATTTTCTAATGTTAAATAGATATACCAAAATGATAACAAACTTCATCTGTTTCTTTCTTCTTAAATTTGCAATTCGATTGTTCAAGGACAAGACTTGATACTTTGTATAATAGATTTCCAACAAGGAAACCAACACAAAGAAACTATTGTATTATTAATTTTTTTTCTATAAATTAATAAATATAGCATTTGCGGTGTATCAAAATATATAGATTAATCAAATCGACTATATCATTGTCCTATGATTGTATAAGATATTGTGATTATTTTTTAATATGAAATTAGTATTTCCTCTTCAAGATCCCACCCATGTGTGCAAGATAATAAGTTTAATAATTGTCTGATTCCACAGATATCTCGAATGTTTTCATGTAATAACAATTAATTATATCTCATATCGAAAGTAACCTCGTAGTACAACTATCTTGTGGTAATAAAAAAGAAAATCTATTAAAATTTGTTCCCGATTGTGTGTTATTTACGTGGGATTGAATAAAGAAAAAAAGGCAAATATAAACTACATTCTCAAACAAGAGTTCAATAAACATTGTTTAATTATTTTTTCTTCGCTTGACTTGATGTAAATCATGATAAATTACTCACAATAGAATCCAAAAATTTTTAGTGACAGAAACTTGAGATTCATATAAAAAATGTTATACATTTATCTTTTACTTTTATTCTTAAACGAAGTATTATCAAAACCAATAGGATGTTTATTAAATATAACATTTCTCTCTATGGATATTAAAACTACACAAAATAATTTAACATTGAATGAATGTGCATGTTATCAATTGGAATACAATTTTTCTGGTTTTAATTATTTCATACAATATCAAACATGCGAACTCTTCGAAAATTTTACTACCGAATTCTTATTACTACCAAATACACAAACACAATTTTGTTTTTTCAATCCACCAACAAGTAAAATATATTATCCTTGTTTTATTAGAGTTTCTATTTCATAAAAATCTTTCTGACTGGAAATACTCGCTTAATAAAAAAATACATCGAATTCTGTTCTTTTATATAACTTTCAATACATATAAATAAAATATTTCGATTTGCTCAGAGAAAAACTAAAACTTGAAAAATGTATATTATGCTCTCACGATGTATACTATTGATTTTGTATGACTTTTAAAATACAGCAATATGAATTGAAATCCATTTGTCGAGTAAATTTTATTCATAATAATTGAAATAATTTTTCTTATAGCAACAGAATTAAGTACTACTTCTGTGATTTATACCACAATGATAGATGAGATAACAACCGCGACGAACGCAAAATGGAATTTAACTGGAATTACTGTGGCCAGTAGCAATGGAAATAGCAGTATTCTTAATCCGTATGCAATATTTGTTGATGATCAATATTATATTTATATTGCAGAGAAGGGAAACAGCAGGATTTCTAAATGGCCTCCGAATCCAAATGATTCAGCATCTTCATCTATCTTTCAAACAGCAGCTGGCCAATTAAATCAACCACCAAGTTTATATGTTGATAGTAAGACAAATACTATATATGTTGCAGATGAATCAAATAATCGTGTTGTAAGTTTTACAAATGGATCAACCATAGGTTCTAGTGTGACGAGTATCTTATCTGGTACATTACCTGCCGTTTCAGGAATTTATTTAGATCCAAATGGAACAATTTTCATTACAGATACAGGTCAAAATCGGATATATAATTGGTTTACTAATCAAAGTGCTATTGGTGAACAGGGATCAGGCAATAATGCAAGTCAATTATATCAACCAAAACGTTTCTTTATTGATAGTAATTACTCATTCTATGTAGCTGATTCAGGAAACAGTCGCGTGCAAAAATGGAAGAGAGGAGCGACAATGGGTGAAACAGTAGCCGGCGGTTATGGTGCAGGTTCGAATGCAAGTCAATTATCAGGACCGTTAGGTGTAGTGGTAGATAGCCAAGGCAATATTCTTGTTTGTGATTCTAACAACCATCACGTACAAAAATGGACTCCTGGTGCAACAATAGGACTGACAATTGCTGGTAATTCAAATGGTACAGCTGGTTCAAGTTCAATGGAATTAAATGCACCAAAAGGAATTGCTATTGACAAAAGTGATAATTTATATGTTGTTGATTCTAATAATTTTAGAATACAAAAACTTAATGTTTTATAATATTCTATATATCTTTCAAACTGAAAAAAATAAATTTCATATGACATTAACGTAAATTAACTGCATCTTTCATGCTACCATTTCTGATTATTAAAAACTGGGTGTGGGTGTAGAAGTATCATGCTTCACACCCACCCCTCTAGATGGTGATAATATTTCATAATCTAGATATATTGAGCAAAATATGATAAAACTATTCTTATGAATACCTATATTTAATCATTTTTTGAGTACAAGGACAAAAACAATAAATATGTTAATAGAGTATAATTGATTCGATTCACTACACATGACTAATTAAAGTAAAATTGCTTTTATATACATTTGAATGCAGTCGAACCGTTAAAGACATGTTATTTATTTTTAAACACAAAAGATAAGTTAACAAACTACGACACACACTGGAAAAACAAATTACAGTTCATGTATATATATATGTATATTATTCAATCAATTGATTTCGTAAATGTTCTAATATAGCTTGTGTACCTTTTGCTATTGTAGCTGGTCGTGGTAATTTAAATGGATTACCAGCAACATCAAGAGATTTAAGTAATGTACATTTACTAAATTCAGGAGGTAATCGTTGAATATTGTTATTTCGTACATTGAATGTACATATTGTTGCAGAAATTTTAACGATACCATTAGCATCAAGTTCGATCAATTGATTATCATTTGCAAGTATTTCTTGAATATGTTTTAATTCATAAAGAACAGATGGTAATCGAACAAATCTATTATAAATATTGTAGAAATTCAACTTGATTTATATAATATACATACTTATTCATGGATAGATTTATAATTTGTAAATGTTCAAGAGAACTCAATTCTGATGGAAGATCCGTTAGACGATTTGTACTAAAGAAAATCGAAATATTACTATACAAATGTATATGTATGATCTTAGTTTGTGTACTTGAGATCAAGAAAACGTAATTCTTTCAATTGTCCAACTTGTGGATTGAGTTGCAATAATCCATTTGATGATAAATCCAAATGAAGCAAAGATTCAGCCACTTTCACTAATCTATTTTTATTCATCAATATATAATTAGTCATTAAACAAAATCTTTTCCATCACCATATTATTAAAAAATCCCATCACCTTTATTTCTTATAGTTTTAACTACATGCATGTACTCTACTATATCTCACCTTTATATAGTTTCATTAACTATCGTTTGAATAAGATTTATTTTAATCAATAAAATTCTTTTGATAACTTACGCAATGGGCATTTCTGTAAATTTATTCTTTGCTAAATTAACATGTGATGGTTTCTCTTTTAAAATAAGTTCAATTGATTCATCCGATAAACTTGAAGCATTTTTATGACTGAAATCAAATGTTCCAGTACTTCGAACAACATGTTGTTCTGTATATAAACGACGTTTTCTTTCATCTTCAGTTTCAGTTGGTTTTGCAATATCAAATGTCTTTTGATTCTCAGTAGTATTTCCATCATCAATTGTTAATCGATTTCGAAGATATTTCATTATTGATTCAGTTCCTAGCTATAAACAAATAAATAAATAATTATTTTACATATATCTTTTCTTCTTACACGAATAACATCTTTTCGAATTTTTCCTAATGGATTTCCAATCATACTAATATTTTTTATTTTCTTATTCAATGCAATTTTAGATGGTAAACTAAAAATAATTAATTCAAAACAAAAATATTTGAAAGTTCTACTATATACTCAGCAAGTTCATTATTTGTTACATCAAGTCTTTCTAAATTTGGTAATAATGCAATTTGTTCTGGTAAAATTCGTATTTTATTTCCTCGAACATTAAGAGATAATAATGATAAAAGTGATTCAAGTTGACTATCACTTATTTCAGTTAATTGATTATCAGCCAAATGAATTTCCTATTAACAAAAACAAATAATAATTTCATTATTGAATTTTTTTTTGATGTACTTTTAATTTAGTACATTGATTAAAACATGGAAAAATTGTCAATCGATTGGAATTAGCATAAACTTCTTCAAGATTAATTAAATCTCCGAAACTATCTGGCAATTGTGTTAATTGATTATGACTGATATCGAGTGAGCGTAGATCTATACATAACATGAATCAATTATTCATTCATTGTATTTCACTTAAAAATATTAAATACACATACTATAGAGAGCACCAAATTCATTTGGCAGTGCTCGAAGACGATTTTTTGCGACCGTTAATTTAGTTAATTTTGTTAAATAACCAATTTGTTTCGGAAATAATTCAAAATCATTTTCAGATAAATCCTAAATAGAAATTTCGTCTTTAAAGAATAGAAAACATTTGATGACTGACTAGTTCTTGTAAATATGATAAATCACCAATTTTAGTGGATAGTTTAGTTAAATGATTACGTGATAGATTTAAGTAGAGAAGTGATGAACAATAGAAGAGACCATCTGGTAAGGTTGTTAATTGATTTTGGGTAAGAACAAATTTTTCTAATAATCTTAAACGTCGTATTGAGTCTGGTAAAGATGTTAATTGATTATTTTGAACAATAAGAACCAGTAAATTGTCTAAAGTTTCAATTTCATTTGGAAGAGTAATTAATGAATTCGATGATAGATCAAGTGTTTTAAGTGGTTCACGATTCCACCAAGCATCGGTATTATTTTGAGTAAAATCAGCTGTTTTTAATTTTGGTCGTTGCTGATTTTCATCTTCAATAATTTCATCAAGAAAAATTTCAGTTGGTACTAAATTAACAAATAATTTATATACATATATACATATGAAAATATCTAATTTACCTTCAGTTAAACCACGCGATGCTAAATTAAGTATACCATTCATTCGAGATCCTTTGATAAGTTTAAGTAAATAAGTACGTGGTACTTGTTTACCACTAGCAATGGCATATTCATCATCATGTGTATCGTTGGATAGATTAGTATTATTAATTCGTTTTTCCAACCCACGAACTGCTCGATTCGTTGTTGACGAAGGTCGAAGAGGTGGGTGACGTTTAGCAGACGCCGATGATGATGACGATGCCATTTATATATCTAGAATAACAAGAAAAACACGACGAAGTTAACATTGAACAGAATCATAAATTAAGTGGTGGAGGATCTTCTGCCTCATCAACTTCTATTCGTCTTTCATGAATTTCAGCGCATGGTTTCGGTTCTTCAGGATGATTAGGCGAAACAGTTTTTGGTATATCATCATCATCATCATCATCGTCATCATTCATCTCTGTATCAACTTGTTTTCTTTTTGGTATATTTTCTTCGAAAGCTTTTTTCCAATCTCCTAATTTAATATAATTCAAAAGTATTTCCATAACATGATTGCAAGCCAGTACACGACGTGTATTCATTTTAATAAATTCATCAATTGGTAAACGTGCATGTCTCCATTTATTTTCAACAGCTAATTGATAACATAAACCTTTGCGTGAATTATGATCAACAATTCCACCAATAACATAAACAGTTCGTTCATCAAGTGGTTCAGTACTACTTAAAACATTTTCTGATTCACTTGTTAAATAAAGTATATCATCATAATCAAAGACTTTTTCTAATGGTTCATTTTGTAAATGAATATCCCAATTTTTTGCACTATTCACTTCAAGACGTTTTTGTAATTGACCATCAATATTAGTTATATAAAATTGACATGGTGTTGTATTACGACGATTAGATGAATAACAAAAAGCAATTTGTTTTTGTAAACTACCTATATCTTTATCACTCATCAACGAATCATATCGACAATCAATACATATTCGTATACGACAAGACGATTTTTCCATAAGATTATGTTTGAGACTATTACGAGTAACAAGGGATTGATCTTTGGAATTTTTTAATTTATCAATATGACGTTGTTTTTGTTTAGCTTTTTCTTCTTTTCGTTTTGATTTACGTCGTTCAAGCATTAATTCATAACGTTTCTGTTTACGTTGTTGATTTTTAGAGATTTTCGAAGGTTTATCATTATCTGTTGTTAAATCTAATGTTGTTTCTTCTTCAGCAGACATCTAAATTTATGAAATAAAGAAATTTATAACAACTGAACTAATCGTGAAAAAACTCAACCATAATTCATGTCAATGATTCATTCTTTTCTCGATGTCGTCAAGTATTACTTTCCAATGATGAAATTTTCAATAAGATGTCGCTAATATTGAAATCATTATTTTCTATTGGTAGATGGTTCTATCGGTCATAATAGTGCATCCATTGTGTGCGCACTTATGCATCCTCTATTCTGAAGCATAGATGCTTAGTTTTTTATGATTTACACATAAAACTATATCTTATATTGAAACCATTAATGTGGTCAAATGAAAAGTTTGTTCAAATGCGCGAATTCTTATTTTTCTCTTGTTTAAGATGTCATTAAATCGTGTTAGTCTCGTTGATTATAATAGTCCATCATCATCCACATCAACTCAACGTGTACTTCATTGTACAATATGTAATATATATCCTCGAAGTCTTCAAGCTTATGTTGAACATTTGGATATTCGACATCGAGATGAAGAAGTTGAAGTTGCATGTCCAGTTGATGGATGTGAAGAAACATTTCCATCTGTAGCTAGATTTAAAATTCATATACGAAAAATTCATTCAACATCAACGAATAATAAAACTTCGACAGTAACGAGTGGTTTGCTTTCAACATCGAATGCAACCACAATAAGAACAAATAATGATATTGATGAAGCATCATCAGATGAAGATGAAGATACACATCGTCGAAATAATTATCTTAAACGACCAAAATTAGAAGGGAAAAAACGTTTTGGAACAGTAAGTCGTATGACAAAAATTGAACCAAATGATCCAATTGAATATTCATTGAAAAGTGAAGATGAATTTGCTGATGTAAGATGATTTTTAAGTATTCCTATGAATTGCAATTCAACTATTATTTTTATAGATACAATTTGAAGATCCAGAATGGATGCCAGTTTCAGAAAGGGTATATTTGTCATGTTTATTATTTTAAAAACAAAAATATTTTTTTTCCTTCTCATTATGTTAATTAGCGTGGTACATTATATACACCAAATATGAGTTTAATGGGTGAAGATGAAGAGAGTGGAAGTGCAATGACACCTGTTTCTCGAAGCGGTGGACGTGTTCGTTGTTATGCACCTATACCACATCCACCTCAATTACCTGAACTTTCAGAACGTGTTCAAACATGTTTAGAAAATGGACAAGCAGCACAAGTATTACAAGAATTTATTAATGAAACAGCTGAATTCTTTATGAAAACGTATCCACAATTAAAAACTGGTCGAGAATATCGTAAAATTGGTTTAGCTCTCATCAAAAAATATCCTTGTTTAGCCGAAAAAGGCAATCATCTTAAACCCGAAGTAATTGATTGTATTTATCCTGTATTCTAAATCTTTATAAATCATCTTTTAGGCTTTATTATGTCGAAAATTATCAATCAAAATGCGTAATATGCGTCAAAAAATTCGTGCAAAATCAGGCCGAGTAGAAAAAAATGATAATCGAATACATCAAAATAGTAAGTTTATTGAAATTATATTTAAAATATAAATAATTTCTTAAATTAGATGATGCTTATTATGATGCAATAACTACTAAACTTCGTCAGATTCAAGGTCAAGTTCAATATTCTACATTATATAAACAATATTTATCAAAAACACATACTCGACGACGTGAATGGTTAAGCAATAATGCTGATCTTAATCTTTATGGAATTTTACAAGAATTACCATTTATGGCTGGAAAAGAATTTGTATATATATATATTTACTAATTTCAAATTCAATAACTTTTTCTGAGTCGTTTTTTTTAGTTAACTGGTGAATATGGTCTTTTACGTGGTAGACATATTTCATCATTTAGTAAAACAATTGGTCTTGTCCTTGATATATTAACCAAACATTTTGCTATACGAAAACGAGAAAATATGGATTTAACTTATCGTCTATGTTTAATGCAATTATGTAGAACGTTAAATTGTAATTTTATTATACAAAATAAACAAGTTAGTAATAATATCTAATGATTATTGAAGTAAATATAGGTTTCATACTATCCTAGACTGATGGTACAAAAGCTAATGATAAAGAATCAGATGATAGTAGTCATTTACGTTTAACTGTAATGGATTTTGTTAATGGTACATCATCCTATTTTCTATTCTATGGTCGAAAACCTCTTTGTGAATTAGCGACAGGTCAAGGAATGTTAAAACAAGCTTTACTTCTTTTTCTGGTCACTTTTGAAGTTTATATGGTTGATGTACCTGAAGAATACTATGGTAAGAAATTTACATATATATGTTTAAGGAAAACAAAATTCATTTTTTGTTTTTTAGAAGCAGTAAGTTTACTTCGACTCGTTGTATTCGGTAATATTTATGAAAATGAAGTACCAGAATCAGCTGATGCTCAACGTTTAATGGCAATCATAGAAGATGGATTAAAGACAGCAAACTTATCTTGATTATATAGATAGATATCTATTTTAAATATATCGTTTTTTTCTTTGTTGTCGTTTGTTTTCCTTTTGTTGTATATAATAATATTCTAAACTTGACTTGCCGCTAAAACAAGATAATAATATATATATATTATTTGATTTTGAAATTTTTCATTATCTAATTTTTCTTTTTCAAATCAATGACATCTCAACCATTGAGTATGTAAATGAAGATATAAAAAACAAAGAGGTTTGAGTATATATATTTTGAAAGTATTCAGTATCGTTATGTGATCGATTGAAACAACGATATGAAAATAATCAACAAGATTGGAAATCATTATTTCAAGTTCAAGACAAAAATTCTCGAGATATTGAATTTATTCGATATATTGTTAATTCTATTATTGAACAAGCGAAACATAATATTGTTATATCTGAAGTCACACATTTAATTATGCAATATTCAGAAATGAGTTGTTTACTTTTATATTGTAGTTACCTGATGTGATTCGAACATTACATTGTGAGGCAGAAACTATAATCCGAAAGAATGTAAGATTATAATGTTAAATTAGTTTTATATTTAATATTCTAATATCTAGCGAATGATAACATTAGAAGAAGCAATGGCTCAAATACAAATAGCTGGTGCAAAAAAATACCCGTATTTAAAAAAAATAAAAGTAGATCATTTTTGTTAAATCTCATTACTTGTTGTTGATTGAAATGACTGTTTATAGCCAATATCTACGGAAGATTTTGGTAAGGAAGTTATGTATGAAGTATTCAATCGTATAGGAACTGTTATAACTTTAGACATGGTAAATAGTTTTTCTTAGAAAAGTGATAAATATTGAATTAGTTTTAGATTGAAAATATTTGTCAGTTCGTCACCTGTTCTGCTAAACAATTACTTCATGCAATGGTTAATGAATAGAAGAAATAGTTTTATGTGAAAAGGTTGTTTTTGTTTTGATGTAGCCTGCAATCGATGTCAATGAAACAACTTCGTTAATTGTCGAAGATATATTACGTCATCAAGATAATAATGTTTCATCACCTACAAGTAAAGAATGGATGAATTCTAAACGTCAGTCATTAAAATTAATGCAAAATTCAAATCAATCTTATGATAGAGCAAGCTCAAATGAGCGTAAACATTCATCAATAATAAAGAAGAAAAACAAAAAAAGTCAACAAAACAAGTTGAGTAATCAAATAAAATTAATATTGAATCGATGTAAAAACTGTTAGTTTTAATCCGATTTATTTCAGATACAATAATCAACTTGACAAGATATTTCAACTTTCGAAATCCAAATCCAATACACAAACTTACTCTATTCATTCAGAAGAAGCTGTATGCACTAAAATAAAACGACCAACAATCGCTTCAATATCGAATGTGAATAACAATGAAATAACCAGTGCATTCTGTTATTCAAAAGATCGTCCTTTTCTTATTGAAGCTATGTATAAACGAGATCCGAAAGAAGCCAGTTTCCATTCAGAAATACGTCACTATAGCAAATATTGTCATCAACATTCTGACATCAGTGATAATGAATCGTAAATAATTGAATCTGGCACTAAAACATACTACATCATCGAACTGCATGTATTTCATTTTAACTTAAATAATAAAAACAGTGCTTTAAAGCTACCAAATGCAATAGATTTTGATAAAAATGCTTTCATATTCTTTTCTTTCTAATTAGAAACTATAGTATTGTCGCTTATTCATTGTTCTAAACGGCGAGAAAGAAAGAAAGAATAAAGAGAAGAAAAAAATGTATGCACACGTACTATAGAATAAGCATTGCCGTTGATGATTCGACTCGTATTCTCATCGTCAACTAGTTGTCGTTTCTACATCTTTTTTTCTACATCTCTGTATCGATGCCGGAAAAAATGTTCGTATTCTGTAATATATTTTTTTTTCTGATAGGAAAAAAAAGAGAAAAAAAAGCAAGTGAGGAGGCGGGCACACGACTGAACGCTAAAAGCGCGAGTAGGAATAATAAGACCGATAGTAAAGAGGTTTATAGTTTTTTTTTCTTCTCTATTCGGTATAGTGTGCGCATAACTAGTGACAGAAACGAGGAAGAGAAAAAAAAAAAGAAAAAGGTACATCCGTATTATTTTTTCCTTTGCCTACATGTCTTGAACAACATATGTTATAATGTCTGAATTATCATCATCAGCACAAATATTTCTTCTATTATTATTATTGATAATTTGTGTTTTGATTATTCATTTACTCATTCGTAAACGTTTTACTTATTTACCAGAAAGTGTTGCTATTATTTATATTGGTGGAATATTTGGTTTAGTTCTAAAAATATATAATCAATGGACAACACCAAATCAAGAATCAACAACAACAACAATTGTTCAAACATCATCACCATTATTGAATTCAAATTTATTTTTTATGCTGTTCCTTCCACCAATTATATTTGAACAAGGTTATCATTTACATAAAGGAAATTTTTTTCGAAATCTTGGAACTATATCAACATTTGCTATATTTGGTACAACGATAAATGCACTGGTTACAGGTGCTGGCCTTTATTTTTTAGGAACAATTAATTTATCACATAAATTACCATGGAAAGAATGTTTTATTATTGGATCATTAAATTCCGGTAAGATTAAATATACGTATTTAGAAATTTATTTAAAATTTTGCTTTGTATTTTAGCCATTGATCCTGTTGCGATTTTATCGATATTTCAAGTACTCAATGTGGATCAATTATTATATATGCTTGTTTTCGGTGAATCAATTCTAAACGATGCTGTAGCTATTGTATTAACAAATGTTATTGTAGAATCAAAACGACAAATTACTAATATTAATACAACAAAATTAACCGCATATTCAATGATTGGTTTATTAACAAGTTCAAATTTAACTACAATACCATCCGTAACAACATCACTTCGACATCGAAATTATAATGGTTTAGAACAACATCGTGGTCAATCATCTTTATATGAACCAAAAGGCGATCTATCAAATATATTTACAAATAATAATGACAGATATCCTTCAACAAACAATAATAATGATGATGAAGAAACTAATGAACAAGATGTAGCGGATACATTTAATGATGATACAAACATTCCAGCAGCAAGGAAAAAACGAAAAAGTAATTGTTACATATTTATATTCATAGGAAAATTTTTCTTTATTATGTATAACTAGTATCAAAAAAATTGAAACGTGCGGTAAGAATTAATAGTACGACAATACCATGGTCAACACAAGCTGTTTCATCAATAAAAACTTTAATGCAAATATCTACACGATTTTCTTTAATGTTTTATTCGTCTGGTTTTCTCGGTCTTGTATTTGGTTTAACAAGTGCATTATTAACAAAATATCTTGCATTTGATAAAAGTTCATTATCATTAGAAATTTCACTTCTTCTTCTAACTGCATATGCATCATATATGTTTGCTGAAATATTTCATTTATCTGGTATAATGTCAATACTTGTATGTGGTTTAACAATGTCACATTATACACATGAAAATCTTTCGACTGTTGGACGTCAATCAATAACGATACTTTTTCGTACAATAGCATTTTTAGCTGAAACATGTGTTTTTGTTTATTTGGGTGTTGGAATATTTGAATATCAACATGCATTTCATCCTAAACTGATATTTTGGACAATTTTATTAACATTAATTGGACGTGCAGCACATGTTTTTCCCTTATCATTTGTAATGAATTGTTTTCGATCTAAACAACATCGAATTACATTTTCAATGCAACTTATTATGTGGTTTGCTGGATTAAGAGGTTAGCATTGAAGATAATATGAGAGATTTTCTTAGATTCTATACAATGGAATGCGTATTATTATCTGTACTTCCTAAAAAAAACTCACTTATAAATCAATAATAATTTACAGTAAAAGCTATAATTATTTTTACGTTTGATAAAATTAGAAAGCAAATTTTACGTCTATATAAAAACAATAGTAGACGATAATGAACTTGTTATAGGAGAAGAATATTTACGTTTGAATAAGTTTATTAATGTAATGAATAATAAAACAGATGCGAACATCATTTTGCCCTACGCTTCACTTCAATCTCATATATATATTATCATAAATTAATGAGTATGTAAAATATGATTGTTACGTATTTTAGGTGCCATTTCTTATGCACTTTCTGTTCATGTTGGTCAATATTATGGTGAAAATGAAGAAGAACTTAAACGAACTCTTGTTACAACTACATTAGTTACTGTTCTATTTACAATCCTCGTTTTAGGTGGTCTAACCATGCCTGTCGTAAAGTATCTTAAACGTCATTCATCACCATCATCACAACAACGTTCATTAGAAGCTATTGATGATATGAATTTACATAGTATGATGAGTAAAACCATTCAATTTGATGAATTACTTAATGAGGATGAGAATTATATGCATCAAAGAAGACATAATCTTAATGATGATAATATTGATAGTTATGAAATTCAATTTGCTAGTCCAAATACAATAAAAGGTTTAGAAAAATTAAATGAATGTTATATAAAACCATTACTTATAAGAAAAGTATCGTTAAAACAAAATGATGAACAAGAAATAAGACAACATGATCGTAAACCATTATTATCATCAAATAGAAAGACAACCTCATTTATAAATGATGACGATGATGAAGATGACGAAGATGGAGAAGATGATTTACTTGTTGTGAACCAATTAAGACAAGAAAATTTTCAATTGAAAACAATCAATAAAAATTCAAAAGATACAAAACGAATAAATTTAACATCTCATAATACTTAATATAATCTCCACTATTTTTATTGTTGTTGTTAATCAATGTTGTGAAAGATATCTATATATATATATACGTATATTTATTATTCCTTTTTTTTGTTGGCTCGTCCTATTTCGTGAATAAAATATAAAACAAATAAAATAAAACAAAAAACGATCATTTTTTTAACTACGGAGTTACTGTTGTGAAAACGATAAACGAGGTAAGGGTGTAATGATTGTACCAGCTGAAAATGGCGTACTTTGTGGTGATGGCGAACACATTTTTCTATGACTTTGTACAGCAAGACGACCGCCGCCACTTTCACTTGAATGTATACTATTATTATCTTCATCGTAAGATTCTTTATAGATTTTCTGTATTTCTTCTCGTCTTATTTCCAGTTGATCACGTGTTAATTTAATCGGTGATGGTGGTGATAATATTGGTAATGTTAAATTCATCGAATTGTTTATTGTTTTATTTGATAATGTTGATTGATCAAAAGAATTCGTACTATTAAAAATCGTATTATGTAAACATTGTACAATATCACCATCATCAAGCATTCGACCACGTTTTGATTTATGTTCATGTGCACGTAAATAACGATAAACATTAACAATACCTTCTTCAGTTTTACATTTTAATAATACACAAATACGAGTACCATCTCTATCATACTATATTATTTTAATAATAGAAAATATTTTTTCTTCGAAAAATAAAAACTTACAACTGTAGCACGTAAACGTTTATGTAATACAAGTTGTTTAAATGTCAAGCGAACTGTATCGGAAAAAGTTGGTTTTATAGCTTCGCTAAAAACACATTCAACTGCCTGAAATTAAATAATATTTTATTGAAATTTTGTATTACGAGTATTTATATACTTTAAAAGGAAATAGATAAAATTGTTCGGGTAACCATTTAAGTTGACAAACATTAACATATAATGATGAACCATAATCAACAAGTCGAACACGTGCACTTGGTTGTTTAGTAACTGTTGCTCCTTCACTTTTTGATACTACTAATGCTCGATGCCATAAAGATTCATAATTTAATGCAACTAATTGACCAATATAAACTTCTTTTAATGATTCATAATTATAAGCAAATAATGCAAGAATATCAATAAATTGTTGAAATTTTCGTTCATTTTCAGGAGAAAATTCTCGTTCAACCCAAAATTCACCATCACTTGTTAATATATCATTGATGGTACAATAAAATTTCGTACCTAAATAGAACAATATTATCTTTAACAAACATAACAGATTTATTTTAAAAGAAAACCATTTGTATATTTCATTGGTTCATCATCAAGAGTACATAAATCTGGTACACGTTGTTCAATAAGTATTCGTAAATCTTCACTAACATCATTTTGTGCATAATCTTGTTGATTCTCATAATTATCACTAGAAAGAAAAATGACATGAAATGTAATTTCATAAATAATATTACTTGTTAAGCAATGGTGTATTTGTTGGTTCTGATGGTGATGCAGATGAACAAATTGATTGAGCGATGATTGGAGAAATCATTTTATTTGGTAATAACTGTTCGTATCTTCGAAATAATTCACAACGTTGCCATTCATGTTGTTCCTGTAAAGTCATTAATTGTGGATCTTTGAATACAGTTACAGTCGTACTTGTTGTAAATTTATGATTTGTTTCATTTAATTTTTCTATTTTGATAAAAATATAATAACAACTTATTTTTTTCTTAACAATCGATTATGAGTTTTATTTACCAAATGCTTTTATTTGTTTTTTCATATCTTCATTCATGATTAAATATATATATATATCTAGAATTAAACCGTAAGAGAAATTTATTTTTTTACTTTGTACAAGAACAAAAAAACACCAAAAAATATATGACATAAAACTCTAATTTAATATTCATCATGAATTTGTGTCATTTCATCTAAATTATGCAATTGATATTGTCGTATACGTTCTGCTTCTGTTGAATCATCAACCCATGATACTTTAACTTCGGATGATGATACTTCAGTTTTAGATACTAATTTAGCTTGTTGAGCAAGAAAAAATGAATGTGAAGGCATCTTATTTGTTCGAGATGATGATGCTAATGACAAAACCGTATTCGATGATTTTTGATTAAGAAAAGTTGGCATTAAAATATCAAGATCAGACATTAATCTATCAACATTCATTTGTGATTCTGTTGGTGGTAATTGTGCACTTATTTTATCGATTTGTGTATCACTTAATGATTCTTCAAAAACAGGTGGACGAGGTACATTAGAATAACGTTTCAATAAAGAAAATGGTGAGAGAGCATATTCTGGAATAATTGAAGGTGTTGATACACCAGATCCAGGTGTTCGACGAAGACGAGGTGTATCATCTTGCTATAATGATAATTTATATAAGGATTATTCTCAAAAAGAAAAATTAATAAAGAACATACAAGTACTGTTTGATCAACATTAAAACTACCAGTTTGTTGACGTGATAATGATGATATCGATGGTGTAGATAAACTTGAATTCGTATTTCTTCTTTTATCATCCATTGAACTTACATTTGAATCATGTCTATAACAAAGAAATATCATTTATTTGATTATATCATTTTGAATATTTACTTTTCATCTCGATCAGACGATGATAAATAATCAATTTCAGGCATAAGTTCACCTTTTTCACAACAAATCAATAACCATTGTGGGTTAACAATATGAGCACTAATGAGAAAAATTGATTTAATCATAAATCAATATATCGAAATGTTTACTTTGGTGCAATCGTAGATACTTGTGTATAATTTGACATAGATTCACTACCTCGAATAATATGTGTAACTGATGAATTCAATGTATCAAATCTAAGAAGAAGAAATTTAGTATACGTTTAAAATACAAATGAATTCAGTTACCGAACAGCACATCCACCATCGAGAATTTTTTGTAAACGCATTCTTAGTGTTGCAGGAAATTGACCTAAGAATACCTTAAAGAGAAAAGAAACAATCATTAAATTTTTTGATTACTTAATAATTACAAACTTTCAAACCATCGAATAAATCATCAATAATTATTTTCGATCGATCATTCATCCATTTTTCAAATCGTTCTTCAAGATCAGCCATTTCTTCTGTACTCAATAAAGATGTTGATTTACGTTGTTGATCAGTCGTAATTATTTTTGATGAAGAATCAACTAGAACTTTCGATAAAGGTTTTTCATTTTCTACAAAACTCAAATTTTAAATACTAAAAAATAAACTTATATACAAAAATAACCTTTGCTACCAGTTGAATCAATTTTCGGTATTGACCATAAATAATTTGTTAGACGAAGACATGAACCTTTTTCACTACTTTCAAATATCCATTCAGGTTTAAGTGTTGGAATTTGCCATTTAGTTGCATGTTCAAATTTTGAACCTAAAATTTTCATTTAATATAAATATTCTCTCTATTTTGATTTAAACACTAACCTTTTGGTTCTTTACAAATTAAATGAGTACATTTATCTTTAATTAAACTTGGTGAATATGTTGCACCTTCTCGTTCAACATATTGTTTAATTGTATTACGATCTCTTTCAGTAAAACCCGATAATGAAATAATAAATTTATAGAAAAGTGGACATTTAAAACGATCAAATGTTGAATCAGTTCCTTTTACTGTTCTATAGAAGAAATAAGAATTAAATTTTATCGAAATATTTTTCATTACTTTTGTCCTGAAAGTGCAAAAACATTTTGAATCCATTCAGGCATCATTACTTGAATACCATTTTCAACGGCAACCTAGAAGAAAATCATTTATTAATCGAAATCAAATGATGAATGGATTTCTTTAACATACAAAATATTTTTCTGATGCTGCACAAGTACCACAAATCAGATGAGTAACATTTGCATTGAGATTAGTTTGGAATTTACCACCCATATAAGCAACAGATCGTCGAATTGTTTCCTATTAAATTATAATATAATTGAAGTGTGTTTAATTAAAACAATTCCAATGTTTACACGATCAATATGTGGAAGATTAGTACAACAGATAGTTAATGATTGCATAGCAAGTGAATAGAGAGGATAAGAACTACATGGTATTGTAATATTATGATCAACACATGTTGTAATTAATTGTGGACCAAGTACCCTAAAAAGAGAATATTATATTGAAGAGAAAATAAATAGTTTCTTACCAAGCTTTATTGGTTTTTAAATATTGAAATAATTGACCGGAAAATGGTTCAATAACAAACATTTTTCCTTTTAAATTTTTCATATTCATCATTGTTTCTTCATCAATCATATTTGGTTTAAAATTACTTGATTCAAGTAACTATTCATAAAAATCACCAATGAATTGAATATTCAATGAGAAGAACTTACTTGAAAAACACTATTCAATTTTTCTCCTTGCCATTGAGCATGTAAAGCATTAGGTTGCAAAACAAAAATCGACATTTTCTTAGTTGTATTCATTTTATTTATTTTCGAAAAAGTGACGAAGATTTACTATCTATTCTTGATAATAATACTAGCGACATGAAAATTGTATATATACCATAGTCTTTATGTCTGAAATTCTATTGGTTAAAATTCAAACGCGTTCAAAAAATTTTAGAATGAAAGAAACGACAAAAATAATTCCAATGAAATTCTCGAATGTTTTAGATTTTTTTTTATTTAAATAACAAAAAGAAACGACATTAAATCAATGTTGATAGAGCAGTGTATGATTTTTTCTTCTACGTCGTTTAATTTTTAATTGCGACCTTGAAAATAAAAGTATGTCTATATATAGCAGAGGTTTAATGCATCGCAACATACTTTATTTTGAACACAATCATGGCGAATAATAGAAAAAAAAGTGATGATCACGGTCGAACGCCTTTAACGACTGTATCTGGTCACAATAATAAAGATAATTTACCATTACATCAAACATGTGATATAAATCAATTTAGAAAGGAACATCCATTTTTATCAAAACTTCTACGTGAAGATGGTATCTTATTTGAATGTGATAGTCAAGCACCTTCACCATCAAAAGATTATGGTCAGTTACAAGTTACAATGGATAAGGTATGATATTTAATAGATTTCTTTTTTTATTCGAACTCGGCGTTTTTTTTTGTTTTTATTTAAGGTAATTCTTCGATGGTGGAAAATAACACTTCGACATCTTGAAGATGCAATGTACCCAGGTGAAATAAAAGATTCATATGAAGATTTCTATCATGATGAAGTTGCTCAACGTGAAATATGGCGTATATTTGGTCAGGCAACACTTGATTATTGTTTAAATCTTGTTCGTGGTAAATTCGATTGGTTAGCACTACTTCCACTGAATGTTCAATTACATATACTTTCAAAAGTAAATCTTGATGATATTCCACAGCTATCATCAGTATCAAAATCATTTCGTGAACTTTGTCGTAATAATGATCTTTGGAGAATATTTTATGTACGCCAATATGGTGGACATGCATTAGAAAATAAAGATTTAATTCATTTAGCTGAAAGACGTGGTTGGCGTCATGTATTTTTTACGAATCGTTTGAAATTACAAATGCAATTACGTCGTGAAGCTCAACTTGAACGGCATCATCCAGAAGATCCATCAGATTTTGTAAAAGCACGAGAACGCCGTTCTTTAATGCAACCAAGTCCACCAGGTACACCAAAACAACAACAACAAAGACAACAATTTGTTCAACCTTCAATTCGTCGTCATTCATTTGCAACACGTCAGGAACCACCACAATTATCATTTCGTACATTGCGTTTACATGATCAGGAAGAATCTCATCGCATGAATGGCACATATAGTAATGAATTGGATGAACAATCCATCATACAGCGATCAATATCGCCTTCCTTATCGGTAAAATCGAATGCTGGTAGTGTAGCATCGACATCATCAGCTTATCCACCTGTACATACATCATATAGACCAAGTACACGTCAATAACTTCTTTTTTGTTTGCCTTACTATCTAGCTTTTAACTTCGTGAACTCACTTATTCTTACTTCATTTGAATGCTCAGATTGTAAATATATAGTAGTTTAGCATGTCTAATTTTAACACGATCATATATTTTGATAGTATGTTTTGCACTCATTCTGTTTCTTAGTTTCTAGGAGATACATATTTATATTTTTATCAAACTCATATCAATACTATAGTTAACATATGGTAGATATATTATTGACAGACAGGCAGATTCAGATAAATACTCGTTATTAGATCTATCAGATCCATACCATCAAGTCTTTTGAGAAAACAAATCGCATGACGCTCATTTAAGTTATCATATATATTTAAATAAATTATATAAAAAAAGAAAACACAGCATAGAATAACAGAGAAGTGACAAATGTCAAGTAAAAATATATGTATTGCTAAGTAAGAGTAGATAAAAGGTTGATATTATAGTAATAAACTCAGAGAGTAGTATTGTTTTTGCTTGATTAAATATATAAGCTATATTGTTTCTGCTTGGTTAAATATATAAGTCACGTTTTCAAGACATTTTAATTTTATCCTTGTTCGACTACATTTTCTTGCTTTTCATAGAAGCGGACCCAATCGATTTCCATACGTTGTGGAAATACATTTTCGTCGACTTCACCTCCCCTAAAATATGTAGATTTATTAAATAAAAATATTCGCATCACTCCGGCGTGTGTCCATATTAGAGATAAAAAGATACATACAACCTCAATAACTAGTAACTTATGAGTTTCAGTGATTAAAAGGGATAATATATAAGATGAAAATAATTTTAAAATCTATCAACACTACAAAAAACTCAAAAACACACATGAAACATTCTGTTACTTTTATGTATTTTCAATTTTTCAATGTTATCATTTATTTGTTCTATATTCACGTAATAAAATTTTGAATGTTTTTGTGGAAACAATTTCAATCGATCACTGAAAATCATAAATTACTAGCTATTATGATTACTCAATTATTCAGCTCGGAGGTATTAGTTAGACGACGATACTTACAATGTACCACCAACTGCAACATTCATTAAGATATGAAATGGTTTATCGAACGGCCTAAAAGAAAGTTTTATTGAAAAATCTTGAATTACAATAAGTTCACTTCTCTAATTATGTCAGTTTACGATAGTTAATCTGATACTCATTTATCAAGTTTATATATATCAAAGTATAACCGATATCGATCAAAAACTATTCTGATCGAAAGTCAACCTCATTCAGTACTCTGAGGATCCATTGTATACCGATCATAATAGCTATAACATTGTTCAGTTTAGTATTCTATTCAGTCTTACCATTGTGTCGAATCTTTATCACCTTTTTCCCATTTAAAAATAGGTTCATTGAATGGAATTGTTTCATCTTTACCAACAAACATCGCAATTTGATCAGGATCCCATTGTACTAAAGAAAAAGATAGAGATAGAGAACTTCAGAGAGCTATCTTTTTTGCTCCAAGCTCCTACATGTATAAACGTTATATTCTGTGGTAGCATCTTCCACAATTTTACTATCTGACTGGTGATTTCCCTTCATATGATTATTTGCTTCTGTATGTACAGTTGAAAGAATTTTCGATGGTGCAGATCCAACCTGTTCCATTAAATCGATTTCTCCATTATCAGGCCAGTATTGTGATCCATAAATTTGCTTGTCGGGTAACTATATACAGCAGAAACGAGTATAACTTCTAAAGAAATCCTTTCTTTGACTAGCTACTTACCATCCACAGTGCTGACCATGTTCCTTTGCCAGCTGGCAATTTGGCACGAATCTAGAAGAATTAGATGATTAAAAGAAAAACATTCTTGTATATTTTAGAACTCACTTGTAGTCTGCCATAGGTAAATGACTGTATACTGTTCAATCGTGCTGAAGTATACGAACTACCTTGAAAATCCTCTTTTTTTGCTTCAATCGATAAATAACCATTTTCACAATGTGCATTTTCCGAACGATCAGTATAATGTTGCAGTTCATTATTTCCCCATCCATTGTCTGCTGTACCCGTCTCAAATTTCCATTTGTTATTATCAACTGCACCATCTTCATTAAAGTCATCTTCAAAAACACGTTTCCATTCGGTGTCAGCATGTAATACTATGAAAACAAAGATAGATATATAACGAGTCTATAATATAAATTTAATAATTTTAGAATATTCTCTATTGTTTATCTTAAAAACTTCTGTCTGTTAGATATCTTTCTACCTTTGTCCGTTGCATTTGTCGTAGGTGCAGCAGATGATTGTTCTGTTGTTACATCAACTGGCGTCGGTTTCTGTTTCTGATAAAAATCCAAATTGGCCATACAATAAGCATGACATTGATCTTGTGTCGTTGGTTCATCGATTGGTGCTTCCGTCGTTACAGATGGAGCTTGTGATGTCAGACTAGCTGATTTAGCTACGAGAATGTACAATTATTGTTCGTACTCTTACAAACACTAACTTACTAAGATAGTCGATTAACTTTCGTGTTGTATGCTTAATTCCGCTTGTAGTAATATTATCTTCTGCGTGTAGAACATCACCACCTGGACATAATGTTATTTCATAGTGAGCATTTTTACACTGATAAGTACCTATGTATATCAAGAAATAGAGAATTAGTTTCAAGTGAAAGACGCACTTTTTAAATCGTCAAACTGCCAACTATATGCATCTGGACATTGTTCTTTAAATATTTCATCATATCGTTTATCATCACTTGAACGTGGCCACTTTTCAACTTCACAAAGTTTTTTGCCTTGTTCTCGATCTTCCTTATTGTACGGTGAATGATTGTATCCCTTATCTTCACTACAACAGACTAAAGATCGTTTTTCTTCATCATCGAAGATTTTCTTTAAATGCTCGTGTTGTTCACGTTGCTGAGCATTATGAATAGCAGCACAGATTGATAAACAAACTTTACCACCATTTCCATCGTCCATTGTCAATTCAGGTGGACATTGACTCATATCAAACTTACACGTCATAGTTCCACAATTGTATTCATTCAACTCTGGATTGTCGACCGATTCATATGTCCCTTCAATTGGTTTGATTGACATTCCGATGTTGTGCCCATCAACATTGCTCATATCGTAGGTATCTCCTTGATCGTGTTGAGCATTGTGTAATGTGAACTCAGCAACTGTTGCGGGTCTTTCGCCACCTATTCCGTTGCATTGCATTTTAAATTCATTTTTTTCAGCACCACAGTTGCCTGAAAGTTGCAAAAAGTCATTTTTTTTTAAATTATTTGTGAAAAGATTATCTAAGATTTAGCTCACCTGTTTTACATTGAAACTTTCCGTTTTCATCTTTACATCCTGTTCTTGCCCACAATCTTCCCGAGTCCCACTCATCCGGTACGGAAATTGATTCCGTGTTTCCCTGTCCAAGTTCGAATCCACCATCTCTGGGAAGTGGATTCTGATTGTTATTACCTTGTTGCACGCCCATCCAAATTGTTTGTTGGCATTTGTTTACCACATTAAACGTTCGATCAGCTAGGATTAAATGGCTCTTGATAAGAAATAGTATGAAGAAAACTAAAATATTTTGATTCATTGGTTGTAATTCTAATAAAAGTTCGACTGATGGTTGTTATAGTAAGGACTGAATAACTCATGTATTTATATAGACCAAGGATCGTTATGGGATGGGATGGGACAGACTTTTCGTCCCAATGGAGGATGCGAGTTATCCCATCCCATCCTATGGGATATGTCGCACTGTAACACAACTCTATTGAAAAATAAATTTAGTTCTGCAATATCATTTATTAAATCAAATAATCATCTCCATTTATGACACGTCCTTTATAACAATCTATTTTTATAAATATAAATTAAAAATTACTTCAATACTTTTCTTTATATAATAGTACTTTCTCAAAGTAGAAAAAGTCTTTCACCACAGTTTTCAAGGAGAATTAGCCGTTTTTTTTGCAAAGAGGAGACTGTCTATGATCTGTAGATCGTTTCTCTCTGATCATAAGATTTTCTTCCTGGTTTTGAGAGACTATCTCTCTGTTCCCCCCCCCCCTTAATAAAACTAAACGAAAGCTCTGATTATTAACAAAAAAGATAGATAATCATATACATAAATACAAAAATATAAATTAAAGTCAAAGACAAATGATATTGAATAAATATTATAACGAAAGACAATGAAATACTTTATAATATTGATCTGAAAACATTTGGATTGCTTTTTCTCTTTTTCTAATTTTATTAGTCCTTTATTTATTTATTTGACAATGTTTGGAGTAAAACTTATTCATCAATACAGAAAGGCGACGAATATATTAGTTAAGTCCACCAATTGTTGAATGTGACCTCTCTGTAGAATGATATTTTTCTTCAAAACAGCAATCATATATCCCATGGGAGGCAAGACTCATCCCATCCCATAATGATCCCTGATATAGACCGTTAGGATATAGTTCTGTATATATTGGGAATTTCCCACTTATCTTATTGTGAAGACAGATAAAATAATAGAGCAAAACTCATCAGGAAATATTTCCCATGATATATTCAAATTAACAACGGTACTATAAATATAATTTTTATGTTCTGTTAGAAGAACAGTAACGAGCGATAGTATGTACATCAACAAGCTCTCCTGTGGGAAAAAGCCCAAAATTTTTTGTTGTTCTATTTATATTCTCTGCTCTCGCAGAAGAAAGAGAATATATGGGAAAAATATGATGTATATGGGAAATTCATAAGTATTCTAAATTGTTACGTTAGAAATTTTGGGTTGTGTATTAGTATCTATATATATATACTCGAAATACTCTTAAATCTATTCAATATTCGTTCAAAAAACAATGAGAAGTTCTTTACCATTTTGTTTATTACTAATTATTTTGTTGATGACATTGATACAAGTAAGTAAGACAAAAACCGACGATATTTTTTTATTTCAGTAACATTTACTCTGTTTTTTGTACAGTGCTCTCCATTTATTTCACGTTGGAAAAGAGACGAGAAACAAGAAGGTTAGTTTCACTATTGAATAAAAGATTCCATCATGTGTTTTATGTTGATGTTTCACTTTTTTCTAGAGTCAATAATGAAAGATTGGAAGTCACAAACAGAAGATTTTAACCAAACAACTCATGAATCATCTGGAAAAGAAACAAGTTCAGGTGAACATACACAATATCCACAAAAGTTAAGGTTTTAAAATAAATGTCTCACTTTTGTTTTTTTAGAGATAAAACTTGATATGAAACTATTTCTTAGTATATTGGATGAGCATAAGAAAACTGCTCAAACATTAAAAGAAATGCTTGAAGAAATACTTAAACTATTAAGAAATTGGATTGTAAAGAATGACAAAGATAGTGAAACTGAAAAAACGAAGAACAACGAAACAAGTGCAGCTGTACAAACAACAGAACCACCAAAACAGACAGACAATAACGGTAAGCTTTAGAGTATAGAAAGTTTTACTGGTCTACAACTCATGTTTTTTTCCTAGAAACGTTACAAGCTGAAGAAACCACAGTTGAATCTTCGAACAATCAATCTGATGGCGTAAAATGTAAGTGTATCAAGTGAATCCTATGCAAGACGATAAAAGATGATGAACGTTTATCTATTTTGCTTATTTCTTATAGTTTACACTTTAAACGGGTTCACATTGACCATCATTAATGAAGCTCAAGATTTCGGTCAAGAAATCCAGGAACGTATCTTCGATACATTTAACAAAGTTTATCCAAAGATGCGCGAACGATTTAATAAAGAAGCTACAAAAAATGTGACATTAATTATTGTTCGAAAATTCAATGAAACAGCTCATACATGTAAGTAATTTTCATGGAAATATTATCGTTGTATAATAGATCCATAAATAGCTCAATCTAACACTATTTTATCGTCATTATTTTTCAGCAAATAAAACTATTAAAATACATTCCGCATATTTCAAAGAAACACCACTAGATACAGACACAATTACACACGAACTGATGCACGTCCTTCAGTCGTCATATCCCAATTTTGAACAGACATGGCTTATCGAAGGAATTGCTGACTATGCACGTTGGAAATATGGATGTGACACTCATCAAGAGAAACTAACCAATTTTGAATCAAAACACAACTATACTGATTCTTATAAGGTGACCGCTCGTTTTCTTGTGTGGTTAGAAACGAAAGTGAATGATAAAGTAGTCGATAGATTGAACGAAGGTTTACAAAAAAATCAATATCAAAATGGTACACTATGGAAAGAAATAACACAGAAGAGTGTCGATGATCTTTGGAATGAGTATACAAAGAATCCCGATCTACCAAAATGAAAATGTTGATTAGACACAAAGAAATATCTCCGTTAGCCTCTGATGATATTTTTATCACATTGTTTGTTTTCGAAGTTGTGTATTTTTGCTTGAATTTCTTTTAATAATCAATCAAAAGTGAGATATATCATTGCATGTTTACAAATAAAGATTCACCTTGGTAATATCTTGTTTACTCTTCAAATCTCTCATACAGTCGGTCAAGAAACGTTTATGCACTGTCTTCATTGAGGACTAATTTTTAAGAATATTGAGATATTAAATAATTTCCGGAGACCTATCTGGTATATTTCAGTACTGCAAAATGTACTTCTTTAATATAATGGACATAATGAACTGTATCTTCATTAAAGATCAATCTTTTGAATAAATACTTGCTTTAACTAGAACTTTTAGTTAAATGCTACCTGCTTTTATCACTTTTAGCTCGATTTACAGCTGAAACACGATTATTAAGTGTATTGCACATCACGTCAATATCTTGCAGCGTGAGCGTATGGGTGTGGATTTGGGAACAACATTTAGCCTACACTCACAACCACACCCACCCATCAATTTCTAATATAGTTTGCCAATATCTTTAACAGGTTTTCTCGTAGAAAGTCGAAAAATAGGTTATGTATTGTCTTGTTAAAATAACTCTCAAAATTTTTGTAGATATTTTGCAGTTAACACATATAATTATACTGTAAAGAAGACTGTGCGCTGAACCTATCGAAAATATTATATTTTCTTTATTCTTCGTCATATGCAACATGTTTTTCACAATTTTGATGAAATAACAAAAGTTTAAACTCCTAATAAATTCAATATTCAGTATAATGAAAGTTTTACAATAAGAGATACAAAATAAATTTTAAACAAACAAGTATACAAAAATAGAATGAATTAATTCTGGAATATTTGTAAATAAGAATAAAAAATCACAGTTCATAAATATCTGTATTGATTTTTTTTCCATGGCTAATACAAGCATCAAGCCACTCAATATTGATAACACGAGCATTTGGACAAACATCCTGTAATGCAAGTACATCTTTACAATCACCTAAAGCTAAAATATGTGTCGTTGTCTTAACATTGGTTGTTTCATTAATTTCACCATCAAAACTAATTATAAATAGAAAATTTCATAATAAACAAGAACATTAACAATTTAACTGTATACATACGCATAAACAAAACGTTGTAATCTTTTTTTTGTCGTATCATCAATATCATGAAAGAAAATATGAACACCAGCTAGATAATTAGGTAAATGAACTTTTAATTGGCTAATACTGTTTGTTTTATCTAAAATACTGGATGATCGTTTGCTATTATTATATGATTGTTCATGTAATCGCTTGTTGTTTGCTGTGCCATCATTACGTTTAAAATAATAGATATATGTAGAAATACCACGAGATGATAAGTATTTTTTTATTAATTTTTCAGTACCATACCAATTGAAACCTTATGATAAGAGGCAATAATAGACATCATTTAAATGAATAGTATAATTACCTTGAGAACCAACACCAATACGAGGTAAATGAACAGTTGCCTTGAATTGTTTTGCTGCTTCGGCTAGGCTTCGTAGAGCTAGTCAATATGAATTTTAGATAAATATTTAGTCAATTAAATTATAAAACCAGATCCTACCTGAATTAAGAGCAGTAAAATCAAATTTATTATTATGTTGAGCAACAATCAATGCCATATATTGATCACATGAAGGTTCATCATCATCAACAACACAATCATTGAGTGAAATCAAATGAGTATCACCCATATGAATATCTTTCATATCATAAGCAAGTGTATATCTAATAGAACGAAATAGTATATCAATTTTCTCTAAATATATATATTTACTGGTTTTCTGGTTCTTTTGAACGTTGAGAGATTGATGCAAATACACCTTTAGATGGCCATCGACCAGAATCATCTAAAATGAATTAGAAATGTGACATTAGAAAAATATATGAAATCAAATCAAATTTATTTACCAACACAGTGAACTGAAATAGCACATTTTTCTCCATGTAGTTGAGGTTTCATCACATTACCAAATACATAATGTAATTTCGTCTCACCACTAGTATCATCTTAAAAAAATAAAAAGGTTAAAATTGTTCACATTTATTCTAATAGATTTTTTATATATGTTACCTTCATTATCTGTTTGCACAGTTTCATCGATATTTTCATCTTCGTCATCTGACAAAGATACACGAGAAGAATTATAGTTCTTCGATGCCCAAAGTTGTTGTAATCTTGCTCTATGTCGTTCTTTACGTTTTTGTTCTTCTTCTTCCTTAATACAAACAAAGATTTGTCTTAGTGAATGAACAATCATACGAATACAACTACTTACTATTTCTTGTTTTCGTCGAGCTTTTGTCTCACGACTCTTTTCTGCACGTGTTAATTTTTCTTCTTCAGTCATTTGTCGACGTTGTGGACGTTCACTTGTACGTTGATTTGATGATTCAGTTGATTTAGTATTTGTTTTTTCATCATTAAGAATAAGACGATCGAAGAAATCAATATCAGGTTTTTGTGCAGCATCACGATAATTAATACCTTCGAATAAATACATATCATCATCGTTAACAACGTTTAATTGAGATTGTTCATCTTCATTTTGATTTTTCTTAGTTTCTTCAATATCAAGCCAATGACCATTTTTATCTGTTTTACCCAAAATTGTATTAAAATCAATTTTTGCATAATCCATTTGTTCTGTCTCATCTAATAATTTATCAATACCAATTTTAAGTACATCTTGTAACTATACACAATACTAATTCAGAAAATTTTATATATTAATATGATAGAACAAACCTGTGTTTTTGTTTCTATAGTTGTATTTAGACCAGATGCTAATTCGCCATTTTCCATGATTGATTTTGATAATTTTAATTTTACTTCTGCTCGACGGAGAATTACTTCTGTAATTTAAGAAAGAAAATAGTTCGTTCAATCGAAAATATATAAATTTGATCGAACCTTCAAAGGAATTTTGACAAACAAGACGAATAATTCGTACTGGTCTAAATAAAAGAGAAAATTATAACTTCTAAAACCAATAGGGTGTGGTTTGAAAGTAAAGATTATACCTTTTCTGTCCAATTCGATGACATCGGTCAGCTGCTTGTAAATCATTCTGTGGATTAAAATCCGAATCATAGAATATAACTGTATCAGCTGCAACAAGATTTAATCCAACACCACCTTAAATATAATCAAAATATATATTTACTTAAACGTTATTCTATTTTACTAACCTGCTTTTGTACTTAACAAAAATATAAATGTATCATCATTGACATTGAAATTATTAATTGCTAAAAATCTTTCTTCACTTCTTACAGATCCATCAAGACCTATACGAAAAAAAAATTCATTTTTTCATTAATTAAATTCAATTTCTTACGTTCATATTTATAAATTTCACGATATGTTAAATAATCTTGTAAAATATCAAGAACACTAGTGAATTGTGAAAATAAAAGTACTTTATGTTTTTTTTTATATAAATGTGTAAGAAGATGATCAAGTATATGAAGTTTACCACTTGCTTCAACTAGAAGAAATAATTCTTTTGATTAAAATCAATTACAAACAAATACTTACCTAAATGTTCGCCTATTTCAAATGGTTCAGGTTCAATACCAGGAAATAAATATGGATGTCCAATAGCTTTTCTCAATTGCATCATAATATTCACTAAACTTGTTCTGCTTGCTGCTTCACTTGTACCAAATATTGCTAAAAGATTATCAGAGTAATTTTATAAGATTAGTGTTTAAATAATTTTTTTACATCGATTTTTTGTTAATATAGCTTTGTAAAGATCTTTTTGAACTTTTGATAAATCATGAAAAATCATTAATTCAGTTTTATTAGGTAAATCAATAAGAACATCACGTTTTAATCGTCGTAAAACAAATGGTTTTAAAAGATCAATTAAGGTTTTCTTACAATCTATATTAAATAAAAAATAGAGAAATTATAAATGAAATCTATTTCAAATACCTTCATCGGTATTGATAGCTCGAAAATATTCAACAAAATCTTCATGTTGTTTTGGACGAAATATATTCGGTGCACAAAATGATAATAATGAATAAAGTTCAGATAAATTATTTTGAATTGGTGTACCAGTAAGAAGAATTCGACATGGCACGTCCAACTAAAAATGGGTAAATATGTTATTCGACTTCTAGTTTTAAACTAAAGACAAACAAACAGTTTTAAGTGTAGTATGCAAACAGGATTGAGAATTTTTTATTCTATGTGCTTCATCAATAAGCAGAACTTTCCAATTAATTGATTGAAAAAATGATGTGTCTTTCAATATATATTCATATGTTGTTAATAAAATATCAAATGTTGATTTTTTTATTGTTTCAGCCAATTCATTTCGTTCATCTTTTGCACCAGTGAATATTTGAACTTTTAATCCAGAAGCAAATCTAATAAAAAATTCAATTATCATCTATTTAAACTTTATTCTCATGAAATTAATACTTCGATAGTTCTGTTGTCCAATTTTGTAAGACAGATAATGGACTAATCACAATACAAGGAGTCTGTTTTTTTACTTTACATACATATAATAAAAATCCAATTGTCTAAATATAGAATAACTACTTTAGGAATCTGAAACTATATCCAATAGTTCAATTCGTCTTACTTGTAATGTTTTTCCAAGACCCATTTCATCACTAAGAACTATAGAAATATTTTAATATAGTAAGTCTCTCATTGAAATAGTCTATTTCTCACTTGCTCCATGACCTGCCTCGTATCGTTCAATAAGCCATCGAATTCCATGTAATTGATAGGATCGAACATCAACATTCGTTAATCCAGCATGTTGAAAATAAGTTTGATTATATTTATTTTCATCCAAAAATGTATAAGTTAACAAATTTAAACGTTTTTTCAATAGATTAATAAGAGGATTATTATTACTATCAGTCATCTACAAAAAAAATGAATTTATCAATTCTTCTAAGATTCACACAATGCTATAGAATACAATATTTTATCTGACTAATGCATATATAGATAATCTAAATACGAATAACTACTTTATACAATAAGATGTCATTATCACCGGAGATCTGATCTGTCGATCGAAAAAAGAAATATCGTAAATATTAATGTTTAAAGTCACGTTTATGTTGAGGATTTTGTCGATAACATGATTTACCAAATGGACAATCAGGTTTATCAGCATCATTATCATCCATATCATCCATATCATTGAATTTTTTTGACTCATCATAATCATCATCTCCTGGATGTGAATGTTCAGCACGATGAGTAGGATTTTTTCGATAACACGTTGCACCAAATTGACAAATTGGACGACGTTTACCACCTGGCTTCACTAAAGTGAAATTTTATTTGATGATCGATAAAAAAAAATATTTTAAAATACTTTTCTTTGGTGGTGGTGGTGTTTTGGGCGTAACAGAATCAAAACCATCTCCACTATCACTATCAAAACTTCTTTCTGCAGGTATTTTACTTAATACTTTTCCTGGAGATTTTGTTTCAATAGGTGATCGAATATCTAAATATAAATTTCATAGATGAATAAAACAACATATAAATAACTAGAATTTACCTGATATATTTGATGATTCATTTAAATCATCATTACTTTCACCTTCAAAACTCACTACAAAGAACAAAATAATAATTTGTTTTTTTTCATTTCATATTTAAATAGTGATTACTTACAATGTCGTTTAGCACTAGTTGGAGCAGTATATGATGAACTTCGTGAATAGGATGATTTTGGTGTTGTAGTAGTTTGTTTTACTACAGGTGAGGGGGTTGGTGCTACCATCCATTTAGGTAGCTTACGTATTTTATCATTTGTGTTCATTGGTTCAGGTTCATCCTGAAAATGAAAGCGTCAGAAAAAAGATATATATAAATATTTTACAAACATACTTCGCTTTCTACAGATGGACGAGAAATGGTAGGTCGAGGTACAGTAGGCCGAGAGATAGCTTTTGTAGGACTTGGTGTAATAATACGTGATTTTGGTTCAACATCTGTTGTAGTTTTTTTCTCCAGTGGAGTACGTTTGGGTGGTGGTGTTACAATACGTGGTTTTGGTTCAACATCTGATGTAGTTTTTTTCTCCAATGGAGTACGTTTAGGTGGCGTTGAAGTTGGTTGAATAATAAGATCATCATCAAAATCAAAAACTGATACATCTTGATTACTTATTGAACGACGATATCCATGTGTAGGTGACCAATCATCTGGTGATTTTGAACGAATAGGAGCTGGTTTAACGTCATTATCATCATCTACTTCTTCTTCTTCTTTCTTACATTCATATAATGAATCCGAATCGGAATCATTCCTATCGTTGTTATTGTTGACATCCGTTGAAAAACTTACACGAAAGAAAAACGTTGACGGAAGTAAACCAATTTGATCACCATCTTTTAATTCTCGTTGAATATCTTTTTGTAATTGAATAGTTTTACCATTTAATGGACGAAAAAAAACTGGATTAGCATGAGTTGGTGTAATCCAAAGAGTACCATCGTCTTTTAATAATAATTCAGCATGATGACGAGAAATTTTCTTTTCATTACACTAAAAGAGAAACAAGTATAGTGAAAGTTGAAACCTTATTTAAAAAAAACATACGCCTAATGATGAACCGCGACCAACAATAACTTTTTCATTTTCTTTGACAGTGATACGAGTACCTTCAGCAATTGGAATAAGTTCAACACTACCGACCATTCTTTTTTTTCTCTTAATTATATACAATTATCTGACGTAAAACGTGAACAAAACGTTATTGCAAATTTCTATGCAAGACAATGAAGATATGTGAATTGACAGGAAAGAAAAGTATAGGTTTCTTATTGCAACCAATAGATTGTTTCTATAGAGGGCACATGTATTTAAAACTTACAATTATATTATAATCCTAATATCTAATAGTATATAACATACATTAGACAGTTCATAGATTCGTATTATGATTTCATAAATAAGTAAAATTATATCTATGAAAAAGATCGCAATCGAATGAAAATTTTAATTTCGTTCATTTATCTTTTCATCTTCTTTAATAGTAAAAAACTAGATGAAAAAAACTTCCTATCTCATCTCAAGTATTTATTGCATGTCTACATGTGAAAAGTTATCGACTAATCAAACATGTCATATTTTGTCAAGCGCATTATATCCATCTTGTTGTTTTCATTTTTCATCGTTAATTCAGTTATGATTTCAAGACGACACATCTTTACTAAAATAGTATCAATGGAATTGTTTATCTATATTCGTAGCACACTAAATAGTAGATAGTGTAAAATTCGATCAATTTTATTTGTTTTACAATATACACACATAAAAAAAAACGAAAATATTGCTATATAAATTAATATATAAAAAAACTATCACATTGTATATCTAAATCGCAATAAAAATTTTATTATAATACAAAATACCAGAAATGAAAATCCACCATGCAACACCATATGCATGTACCGCAAGTAATTGGGGATGTGTATCGTTAACTTGAAATTGAATTGGAAATCCACGAGAACAAACATCATGACCAACATAAAGAACAATAGAATTCATACCTAACCAAAGCCATGGTTCACCTGTAAACCATTGTTTAACATCGACAAGTAAATAAAGAATAGTTAAGATTATATAAGCAAGACTAGCTAAGACGAATATAAAACTTAAGGACCAAAGATTCTTATTAATTGGTATCCAACTATCGGAATGACCACCTTTTGATAAAAGTAAACCGAAAAATCCACAAATAACGCCAGATGCAATCCATTGTCCACATACACGACGAACACTTGTTGAATGAGCAAAGATATGACCAGCATTTACACCAAGATAGCAAAGAAATATTCCAGTTAAAATTCCCATAAGACCTTTAAATAAATGAAGAAGTGTGATACACAATTTTTTTTCTTCATCTTTTTACCTTCAGGATCATATGGAATTTTAGTATCATAAACATCTCTACATGTTGGATAACCATACAGATGAGAATCTCCTAAGATTGTTCGATCAATATATCCAGCCATACCTATATTTAATTAGATATTCGTGTTTTTTTTTCTTGCATTTAATGAAATAAATGAATTATACCTCCAGTACAATTTTGATATTGTCCATAATAATGTTTGCCACCAGGACCTACATAACCTCTTGGACAATTATCTAATTTTGGAATAAAAGTAATAAAAATCCATGTACATATAATTACGAGAATAGAAATCCATTGTGGCCAAAACTTAAATATTGTATTTTTTAATTCAATTCCTATTGGTTGACCTACATCATTACCTAAATAAGTAAGAATCAAGAAAAATTTTATTTAAAAAAACTTTATAATTTAGGTTTACCAGCTGGCCATTGTGATTCATCTTCCAGACGATCAGATATGAGTACAAGTATAGCGGTAAAAAAATAACATAATCCTAAACGTTGAAGTACACCTAAAATTCGAATAGATTTGGGCTTTGCAAATCCACTTTGTAGAATTAAACCTATAAATATTAATTTTAATGTATTAACAAAAATATTGAAGTTATTTTTTATACCTAGGAAAAATAGTATGACTGTTCGTCGACATATTTTAAGGAAAATATCGACTTTTGATACTTTCTTTTTTAAAAGTGATCGTTGAGAAAGAACAACTGATACACCCATCATCCAAGTAAACCATGGAAATACTAAATCAGCAAGAGTTAAACCATTCCAAACTATGAAAAATTAAATTAATTTATTAATATCTATTTCAAAAGAGAAAAAAAAGATATTTTACCAGAATGATCAAAGAACCAGTAGCCACCACCTATATATAAATAAAGAAATATGAAAAGAAAAAATCAGAATAAAATAATCTTACCACCATAATTAACAAAAATCATAACCATCAATGAAAATCCTCGAAATGTATCCAATCCTCGAAGACGTTTTGGTGCTACTTTTGTAGTTTTAATTGTACTATCAGCTGGACGCGCATATCCTACCAATGGTAATTGTCCAGGACTATTTATTATATTATGAATATTAGTTTGATCAGTATCTTCCGCAATAATCGGAAGTGCATGTCGTTGTGTTGTTGGACTAGTGTGTTGCGTGACATTAGCTTCATGATGATCTAATCGTTGATAACCAAAACTAATCAATATACGACGCATATTTGGACTTTTATACAAAACATTAAATAATTGAATAAAAAATACCAAAAGACAAAGTAATATTAGTAAAATTATAACAGGTGTCCAATAATAACTTGATGGTTTTGTTTGATTTATTGAACAAGAACTATGATTTGGATTTATTTGTATAATCTCCAATATATATGATGCATTTTCAGAAAAACTATAGGATTGTATGTTACATTGTATAGTTTTATTTTGTATTTCAGTAAATACTTGAATATCATATGGATATTTTGTACCTATTTTTAAAGTTTGACTTGAATTTGTTGGAAGAGGATCGCCTAATTGATCAAAAGTACAAAATTCACATACTACTATATTATACAGAAATACAATTGAATCTGAATAATTTTTATTGCTTATTGTTAAAAAGGCTTCATCCATTCCTAATGTATCTGATAGTTTATTTTTAATCACTTGTGTTTGACCATAATGCAGATGAATAGTGATAAAAAGTATCCATACAAAATTCAACGATTGCTTCATTTGTTCTTTTTAATAATCAATTATCTAGAATAATACGTAAACCGTTGGTTGTGAATGTTTACCTCGATTCTATAAGAGAAGAAAAAAGTGTGTGCATTTGTTTCAAAGATAACTAATAATGTCTACCTTTTTACGAATCTTATCAAGTTTTTTATATATTTTTCTGTTTAACTTTCTTATCTAACAAGATAGTTCGCAGTCCATTATAAGATAGAGTTGATTTGTTTCATTTTATTTTTTTTTCTTTTGATGCTTCTGCAGAAAAACACTTACAAATGTGTGCAAAAATGGCAACATATAATCATATACACACACATACATAAGTAAAACATGTTGATCAAGATTTTTTTTACCGAACTAAAACATTATCATAGACTACAATGATCAAACCGGTTATGTTTGTTGTTATAGATTAACACATGAGAAAACCAATGATGTTTTTCCCTTTAAAGAAAGATTGAGAAAAAAAAACAAACGAAAAACAAGAAAAAACAGAGAAAGTGTTTTTTTATGAATAATGGCTAGGTGTAGAAGATGATTGTCCCGTATTTGAACTGAAAAATTGTGGTACAGATAGATCAACTTTGCCTTTGTCAAGATCAACTGGTCCTTCTGTAAAACAAAAAAAACATAATACAATAGAAATTGAGTTCGATAGTTTTACCTTCAGGCATTGGTTGTGGCATAAACATTTGACTATAACGATTAATCAAAATACCTGTTCCTTCAATCATTGCTAGAATAAATCCACCAATAACAGCTGAACCTACCATAGCTGCAGGTCCCTCTAAAAAGGAATAAAGAATTTTATAAAATTAAAATTTGATTTTTATGTCAACGTACGTCTTGCTTGTAAAATTGCACCAGTTGCTGCACCACTCAATATGGAATTCCATGGATCTTCTTTCTTTCTTATGTAAACAAAGCTACAATCGATTAATGAAAATATGCAACCCCATGCACTAAATGATGCTCCAACACGAGGGGCTCGTTGTTTTACTGCATTTAAACTACCAATTAAACGTCTATATTGACCCTATAGAGAAGAGTCGAATATTTTCGAATAATTATATCAAAATTTTTACACTTGGAGCATGGCGAAATCCTTTGATTGAATGAAAAAGTGTTCCACCGATCGTCCCTAATGCAAATGCACCACCACAATCATCAACAATACGCCAAGGACTAAAATATAATGATAAATAATGGAAAATGAATCTTTTTTTCTTCTTACCAAGGTTCTCTATCCATAAATTATAATTTTTAATTTTCAAAAAAAAACACTGTTCATCTAAAAACAAAATCAATAGAATATAAATGCTTGAAGAACGCTATTGCATATATATTAATTTTGAAGAAAAAAAAAGAAAATGTTTCAGAAAAACAATAAAATTAAAAAAAAAGACAAGATGACTATGAGTTTGATTTAGGAAAATATTTTAAGAGTAATGTTTGTCGACGTCGTTCAACAATATGTCGTTGATTTTCAATATCCTAAATAATTACAAATAATACATTAAAAAAATATATAAATATTATTTACTCCTCGATTATGAGTTGTTGAGCGTTCAATTTGATAAGACAAATTTTCAATTTCAACTTCAAGCTGTGCTTGAATATTTTCAAACTAAATGATATAATATTATTTGAAAAATTTATCTAGATGATTATTATTATAAACTTACAAGACTACGATCAACAGTATCTTCTTGATAGTAAGCATAAGGATAAGTGTACATGAGAGTATATCGAGCCTAGAAAAAATACAATAGATATTATTCGTTTTTTCTAATTTGTAAAAACTTACTTTTGCTAATGAATCAGCTGCTTTTTCTAAATATTGCCAATCGATATAGGTTCCATTTTGTGCATTAATATTCTGTTCAATTTTTTCTACTAATTTTGCTCTTGTTTGTTCTTCAAGTTTCAAACTTCTCTGATGATTATCCCACTAGAAATATATATTAAAGAACAAATAAATATCTTTTTTTTCCTATTACTCTTTCAAAATAATGTAAATATTTTTTCAATGCTTCCCGTGCTCGACTTTGTTTCGTTTCTAATTGTGATTGTGGTTGGCCACGATATTTCGAACATTCATAATAATTATTCTCATGAGTTTTCCAATCTAATTACAAAAAATCATCTATTTTTTTTCTCGTTCCGATCATATGCACTTCTTACCTCCAAGACACATCCAACAAAAATGATGATTACATGAAAAACACGACTAAAAATATATTAATGTAATGTCAATTTAAATCATTTTCTACTCACCATATGATTACAACCTAAATATTACGAAAAATTAATTTTTTAAATAAATGAATAAAGAAAGATTTACCTCCATTCTTTTCAATACAGACTTTGCATTTTGGACAATCTTTTGTATTTGCTGATATATAATTCGCTGTTTCAGAATCCTATATATACATATAAATTAAAAATCATTTTATAATAGTATTCTATACGAACATCTCGGCATTTGTTTAACCAATTTCTCATGATATCACAACTGGCAGGTGCATGATAATTTAATGTGCATTGAAAACTATAGAAAAATTATTTAAAAAAAAAAGAAATTCAAAATCATCAAGTTCTTTTACCAAAATTTTAAACGACATAATTCGCATTCAACTTTGCCTGGTATAGATTTATTAATTGCCTCAAAGACTCGATCACACGAGCCCGGGCATAATGTCATTTGTGGATTATTCTAAAATATCGCTTGTGAATAGAAATATTTCGTTTAAAAATGTAGTTTTTTTTACTTGAATTATTGATTTGATAACTAATTTTTTATACAATTGTTTAGAATTATCTGACGATATATGTTCAAGAATAAAACTAAAAAAAAATATTTTTTAGAAAAAATTAATAAAATTTAATTCAAATTACTTTTGTGGTATTCGAACATCGCATTTCATGCATTCTATATCTATAATTATAAATATGAAAATTTTGAACAACAACAACAACAACAATGGAGTCATACTTAAACAATGATGAGATTGAAATTTTGTATCAACATATTGTGTCCAACAATCATGACAAAAAGCATGTCTACATATTAATGATTGAAAATTAGTTTGAGTTTTAAAACATATAGAACATGTGGCTGAAGATGATGATGTATGAATATATGAATTTGAAAATACTGTTGGTTCAAAACGTGCTTGAACTTCTTTTAATGGGCTTACAGTATATTCAAACTGTTCAGGATCATTGCTATTCACATTAGTTGTATAATTATTATTATTATCATCTTGAAATGGATCTGTATCATCATAATATGTGTCAAAACAATCATCATCTATTTAGGAAATATATACATTTATTATTATACAACAGAAATTAATTCGAACATACCGACTGCATCACTATCATACTCGTTTCCACTCATATGTATTGAATGATTACGAGTAAATATATTTCATTGAATAAGTTATGAATATTCGAAAAAAAAGTTGATCTAACAATCGTACACGGAAAGAGATCGAATGAGAATAAACAAAACGATGTTTCTTCCATACAAGAGCCAAAGACATTTTGCTCAAAAGATGTCGTTAATAGCCGATCTTCAAATGTAAATCAGACGAGCTCCACTATTGTATTTTCAATGTTATCATGCATTAGATATTTCATAGAATCTTTATTTTTAAAATACAGATAAACTAATATATCGACTCAAGCTAAAATCGAAACAACCTTCTAGTTTTTATGAGATATCTAATTTCATAAGCAAATAAGTTACATTCATTATTTCAGCAACTATAGAGTTCTTGATTTTTGAAACAATGATATTTTAGTTGTAAGTGCAAATCTCTGAGATAAAAATGAATTATGAGAAAATACAAAAGTAATTGACTAGACCATCTATATTGTATTCTAATGTCTGAATAAAATTTTGTTATTTTTACAATTAAATAAAATTTTTCACAAAACGAAGAAAAATATATAATAAATACATAAAATAAAACCATATATATATTACTTATTTAAATTTTCTTTAAATATTCGAATAAACTCTTGAAAAAAAAAATAATAGAAATGAGTTGATTATATAATAATAAAAGTTTGTTACTTACAGCTACACTAGTATTTGATGCAACTTCATCTCGATCATCATCAGGTACAGGTGAAATTGATTGTTCAAGAGCATGAGCTTGATCGATAGCTGCTTTTGTTTGACTAAGTCGAAGAATTTTTTTTGGTGTTGATGTTAAATCATTAGCAGCTGGTGGTGGTAACATACGTTTTTCTCTAAATATCAAACTTATTTATTATAATGACTAATCTTCCAAAATGGGTTCTATATGGTAAAGATTATACTTAAAATGTATTATAGATTGTAAGTATTAAGTATCACTAATCCATGAAAGACAAACTAACCTTGATCTAGAACTAAGAGCTGTTATTAGACTCATGTCATTCATGCATAAGTATATATCAGAGAAATTGTCCTATTCTCAATAATATTGATTTCTTATTAATAACTAACCGTGGATTAATTTTTGTTTGTTGATTAATTGATACTGATGGTGGTAGTGGTGGTCGAATTGAAGGTGTTGGTTTTTGTTGATTTGCTAACGGATGATTTATACCCGTTCGACGTACAGTTGGTGGTCGTGGTGATTGAGCCATAATTGATCCTTGTTCAAGACGTTTAATTTTTGCATCCTAAAAAATACAAAATCAGTAAAATCAATAGATTGTAAATGGATCAAACCTTTTCACCCATCGATGAACGTAATGATGTAAGTAAATTTTGATTTTTCGAAAGACGTTCTTCAAGTGATGCCTTCATATCAACGAAAAAAAACAAGAATCAGCTATTCTTTTTTAAGATATTAAGATCTCACATACAAGTTTTATTTTTAATTCTTCAATTTCTTTTTCTTTTTCACCAATTTCAATATTTGTTGCTTCAACAATAACATCTTTCTGTTTCGATTGTTCAGTATGTTCATCCTTAAAAAACAAAATTGATTCAACATAAACAAAGAAAAATTTCCTACAGTTTCTCGAAGTAAAGCATGATTTTGATCTCGTAATTCTTCATTTTCTTTTGTCAATTGTATTATATCATCATCAATAAATTCCTAGAAAACAAATCAATAAAAACCCTACTTAATCAATTTTTGAATCTAACTATTTTTTCTAATAATTCTTTTTGTTTAATATTTAATTCATCAATAAGTTTGGTTTTTTCATTTATTTCAGCAATATGTTTTTCCAATCGATTATCGTATTCGATCTAAATAAGTCAAAATAAAATTTTCTACGATAAAAAAATTGTTTTACTGATTGTTTTGAATAATCATTCATTTGTTCACGTGTTTGATCTAATTGTTTGGTTAAATTAAGATTTATTTCGATGATTTCATTTTGTAATAATTCATTTTTTTCTTTTAATTCTTCGATTTCTTTATGACGATGAGCCTTTAAAAAAACAGATTTAAAAAAACGTTTTTCATGGTTTTGCTTTTACGATTTGTTCAATTAATTGTTGATTGTTCATTTGTAATTGTTCCTTCTCTTTTTCCCGAATATTAATTTCAGCTTGATGTGCTTGAACTTCTGTTTCATGATATTCAGTATGTTTAACCTGAAAATTTAATTGTTTTTAAGCAAAATCCAAAAGAAATATTTACTGTTTTCTGTTTCATTTCATCAATTTGAATATGTAAAATTGTATTTAATTCCTGTAAATTAAATATTTCTTCTTTATTACCATCCTTAAAATGAATAATCGTCAAAAACTTTAAATAAAATACTTCTTAATACAAACAATTTTTAAAACTAATGTATCAATTCGTTTTTGTAAATCAACAATTTCCTGATTTTTCGAATTGAGTTTTGCATTATTTTCGATTGATAATGTTTCAATAATTTGTTGATATTGATTCTAAAGAGAATATCATTATTATTAATGAAAATGATTGTAAAATTACTCAACAATTTGTTCGTTTAATTCAACAAGTTTTAATTGTGCATTTGTATTTGTTGCCTGTAACTGACTGATTTCATTTTCTGAAATTGACTACGAAAGAAACTTTTCTTTTTAACAAAAAGACTAGATTGATTTTTTTACTATTTTAGCTGTTAATTCAGTAATATGAGCTGTTGCTTGAGTATGGTCTTGTGTTCGTTCATAAATTTGTTTATTAAGTTCCATACAAACTTGTTCATGAAGTTGTTCAGCTGATTTCAATTGTGATTTTACTAAAAAAAAAGAGACGAGATTGATTTGAAAGAAAACTTTGTTTGTTTAGTTTAATATACAATTTTGTAATTTAGCTTCAATTGTTGAATCAACACGATCAGCAAGTGTTTTCACACTTCGTTCTTGATGTTCATACATTCGTTCAAGATCAACACGAACAAATTCACCTAAATACAGATTAGATTCATTATCAAATGATTGATTATTATTCTTTCAAGTCGATTTTGAAGTAGCATCAATAAATAAAAAGGGCATGCTTCCTCCGCAACATAGTACAAGTTTTGTATTTTATACGTTAGGTAGTCATCATTAAACGCTGAAAATAAGTTTTCAAGAATCCTAATTTCGAAGTTCATATATGTTTCTTGAAATTTTTTATATGGATGCTCTCAATACTTGTAAAAGATTTCTTATCGGAATAAAGTACAACAATAGAGAACATAAAGATAAACATACACTTCGCTTCACACAACAATCATAAAGCAAGATTATGCGATACGGCCGTTATCATATTAGATACGACTAGTGATTATATTTAAAATAATGAGATTAACTGCTCGTTTCACTACAGACGTATGTATCAAAGTCTTTACACGTTATTAAGCAAATGAAAAAATCTAACCCATTGAAAAAAAACGTAGGACAACTTATATAGTGGTACATACATTGTGAAACAGTTTTTTCTAATTTAGCAACGTTTTTCTTCAATATATGATGAAGTTCTTCAAGTTTTGCTACTCTATTAATTATTAAAAATATAATTTTTATAAAAATAAATCATTTTCATATAATAAATACAAACTTTTTCTCTAATAATACTTCATTTTGTTTCATTGAATTAATGGTCATTGTTTGTTGTTCAATTTGTACCTAAAATATTGATTTACATAAAGTTTTTATTCGAAACACTTTTATTTTACAATTGAATCATTAAGTGTTTGTGCTTGTCGTTGATTAATTAATTGATATTTTTGTAATTCTTCGTTCTAAAAATTCTTAGTTTTTAATTCGAGTAAAAGAAAAATTGATTACTACAGACTTTTTCATTCATTGCAGAATCATACATTTGACGCCAACGTTTAAGACCATTGAGTTCTTCATGTAATCGATTTGTAGCAAATGATGACATTGCAAGAAGAGTTGGAGTTGATGCGCCAGACATACGATCGACTGGAGATGAAGACATTTTTGTTATTAATGAATTTTAAACCAAATTCTTTTTCAAAACGATCGACTATTCCGCCAAGGATTTATTGTCCTCCATAAAATAAATAACTTAATATCGAATAATTTTTTTAAAATATAAATTAAAATAAATAAATCGTTTTTTATACAAAAAAGTAAATATTAATTAATTAAAAATAAATAACACTAGATGTCACTAGGAGATCAAACGATGATTCATCTATTATCTTGTGCTCGGTCAAGAAAAAGCAATTTTTTTTCTCTTGAGTATGTAGATAGATATATTCACTCAATCGCTCATGTACATTTAGTTAGTTCTTTCTTATCTTCTGCTATCATCACAACAATGAATTCGACTTTAATTAATACAAGTAATGGTAGCCCAGCTTGTCATGATCAACAATCATCATATGAGCCAACTTCAATTCATTCAGCTTTAATCAATGAAATTTATGATATACCTATGATAGAAATTAGCCGTCCATTACTATCAATTCTTGATGAAGATAAAGTCAGATCATTAATGGAAACTATTCAAGTAATAATAAAAAAAAAATTTTCTTATTATATTTAGTAAATATTCATTTTAGTCGGTGGATTCTGATCAAATTCCACCGATTGATGTTCTCTGGTATGAAGCACCAAATTCTGGAAATAATTATTTTTTTTCCATGGGTGGTTGCCATCGTTGGGAGTATGTTTGCATAAAAATAATTTTTTTTTAAATAATTCTTATATCTTATTTCTAGAGCTCATAAACGTTTAAATTTACCGACCATTCGAGCGAAACTTATTCGAACGACATTAAAAGATTTAGAAGTTTATTTCGGTTCATCTCTGTCTAATTTAGCATAATGTATATTTATTATTTCATTTCACTTTTTACAAAAATGCTACACATATAAACTCTTTAATAAAATTAGCAATCTATAATTTGACAGTTTTGTAATCAAAGCTTTCTATGTAATAAAACATATAGAGATCACTTCATCTTCTGAGAATGACAGATGCTACTCTGTCATGTTTGAGTAGTAGGAGTGTTAAACTTTCATTTTTGAATACAAAATCAATTAAATTTCTTTTTAGATTAAATATAAAATGTCATCGACAACGACTATTGAACCTAAAAAAGAATCATTAGGCATATCAGCAGCTTTAATTCTCAGTCTTGTAGGATTAACAGTAAGTGAAAAGTTATTCAATGAATATTTTTTTTTGTATCTCATTTGTTTTAGCTTTTACTTGTCATTGCTATATTAATTAAACGAGAAATTCGTCGAGGAAATGTTAAATCTAAACGTGATGGACATTTTTGGTCTTGTAAATTTTTTGATAAAGTAAGTTTTCGATACATTTCATAATCAATATTTACTTTTCTTTCTTCAGTATAATCAATCAAGATTACCAAAAGATGGAAAAATTCCTGCAAAAGTTCGACCACAATGGCTTCTTGTTGGTCATCATGAATTACCTAGCCATTATTATACAAAAGATGGTAAAAGAAAATTCTTTATTTTATTTTTAAATAACTTATTTATGTTTATATTTTAGAATGTCCACAATATATTGCTCGAATGTTCACCGTTGATCTTTACAATGTCTTACGTAAGTTAAATATATGATGTAGAGAGAGAGAAGAAAATTTCGTATTTGTAATTTAGAACATACTTGTCGAGAAACATTTGCTGATATTGATACAACTACAGCATTTGAATCTTATTTAATTAATAATTATCCATCATTAAGTGAAACAATTCATTTATTTCGAAAACTTAAAATTCGAGCTGAAATCGATTTAGTTGTATGTATTTTTCATATTCTCAATTCTAAACTATACATATATTTCTTTTTCAGCCATTCACTCTTGATGATACGAAAGAAGGAATTCGTATGTATAATCATTTATTACAAAAATTATCTGAATTTGTTAATAATCAATATCTTCGTCAACGTGAAGTAGATTTAGCACTTTTTAATCAAAGTGAAGAACAACAAATAAAAATGAGTTCGAAATATATTCCATTATTACCAAAAGATTTATGTCATATACCATTACGATCAATTGATGATGATTCATTAGCAAATATGAATAAAAGATCACGTTCAAAAGGTCGTTTTCCTTTTCATTTACCATCGTTTTTAAATAAACGTAGATTTTTTTCAACAAAATCATCATCAACACCAACACAATCATCAAAGAATCGAAATGGTTATTTATCTTTTTCTTTTCTGTTTAAACATATTTCAATATCTTTTGTTTTTCTAGAACTTTATAGAAATGTTGAAATATCATTAGACGATAATGAACATGGTGACATTTCAATTGATAGTCCAATAAATAAACAAAGTCGCCAACGACCTAAACGACACGTCGCAACAGATGTTGTACCTTTAGTTGAATTTCATGATGCACTTTCTCAATCAACAACATTCGGTTCAGACACAGAACAACATACATAAAAAAAATGATCTCTTCTTTTTTATTTATTTTTATTAGTGTATAAATAATAAACAACTGTATACATATGAAATATGAATTAGATAGAAGTATATGTTTTGTTGTCTAGTTTTCTTTTATATATATGTATATCAATAAATTGATTAATATCACAGTTATTGAATGGATTTAAGTAAATTCTAATTGACCTTCAACACCATTGATTCGAGGAATGGTTAAACCATTTTTAATAAAAAATTGTTGTTTTAAATAAGCATAAATTAAGTCAGAGAGAAGAAATGTCTAAAAATCAGAATTTTAATTAGTAAATTCATTTGTAAAAGGTTATAGTATCAATATATGATGCAATATTTTTAACAAAAATGTCAAGCTCTTTCTTCGATAGACAGATACATGTCTAACTGAATATTCTTTTCTCTTTCGACCGATATCCGAATAAATGTTATTATATATTTATAACAAAAAAAACATGTATCAAATGAGAAGTTCTTGCATAATGTATTGATAACCTTTTATAGTAATTCTATAAAAACTCTAGATATTAGATGATGAGAAATATTTCAAATTGAATAGAGATAATGTCAGTGGCAATGATAAAACTATGGAGATAGACATTTTGCTGAGATTTTTACATCGTACATTATTTAAGACTAAACCCAATATTGTACAAGCTTATATAGGATTATCTTAGGTATGTCGTGAGATTCTTCATTGAATCCTTTTTAACATAAAGATTTTAAACTTATTTTTTTGAATAGAAATATTGATATTTCTAGTTTTCTCGTTTATAATACAAACCTGTGCTATATTAAATATAAATGTCATTGCGAAATAAAAGTTTGCATTGGCACTACCAGCATAAATCCACAGATACCATGTAATTGGTGTCATTAAAGCTGCTACAATCATCATACAAGTAATAACAAGACCCTGACGTACATCTATGAATGAAAATATAATTCGAATAAATCTTTTTATCGTTTTTTTAAATACTTACAACGAAAAAGAAAACTCCATATTGGTAAATAATTAAAATAAAATGCAACATCACCATAAGCTGGATATGATTTAAATATACAAAATATAGCACATAATAACCAAAACAAAAAAGCTGGATCATTTCTAAAAGAAAATAAACAATAGTATTCATTATAAAGAATATGTTTCGTATGAAATACCTTAATCGTATAGTAAATGGTAGTAAATAAACAATCAAAACATGCATTTGGAATGTCCAAACAAATAAAGAACGAAAATGATCAAACATTTCAGTAAAAAAATACCAAAATATTCCAATATTTGGTGTATAATCGGGTACATGGAATCTAAACAACAGAGAAATAAATAAATTTTAAATTTATCAATATTCATTACATAAAACTATAAATTGCATCAACAAATGACCATGATTGATGATTAAGATAGAAATTAAGATATAGTATACCAATATTAACCATAATAAATAAAACTAATACAAAAATTACTCGAACTATTGATCGTTTATTCTAAGATATAAAAAATATTAATATATATTTTGTTAATATTCAATACTCACATTAGTATTATTTGAAAATTGAACTAAACCCGGTACTATTAAAACAATAGGATAAAGAGAAATTGAGCTAGCTAAACATAATGTTAAAATAAATGGTAATAATTGATCTAAATATGAAGAAAAAAAACAGTTTTTTCTAATTAAGAAAATGAAATTATCTTACATGTTACAAAGAAATAAAAAGTCATTGTAAGTAAAAGATTATGAAAGACAAGACTTGATTTCGCAACACATGTTCCAATTGATAATGGATTAACCATTGCACTAATATATAATAATAATCAAATGAAAAAATTTCTTTTCGTTTTTTCTATTACCAAAGTAAAACTCTATAAGCATTTTTTTGTACATCTGCTTTTGTTAATAAAAACATTTTTCTTTCATCTTTATATGTTGCTTTATCTTTTAATTGTTGATCGAACTATTTTCGAAATAAATAAAATCTAATATATCATTCAATTTTTCTCTTACAAGTCGATGTAGAATATAATATGCTGCTCTATATGCAAGAAAACCACTGATGAGATCAGCAATCTATGGAAATAAAATACAGAATGAATTTATATTTGAATTAAAATAATGATATCGTACAATAAATAAACTTTCAACATGTCCATTTGTTATTGTATGTAATTTTGAATAGAAACATAGCGAAAGTGGTGTCTAAATAACTTGTTAGATTTAATATACTATCCAGGATTCCGACAGGAAATCGTCGGATATTCGACAGTATCGGAACTTAGTCATTCCGACAATTTCCTGTATCAGGAATTCCGGCAACTTCCGACAGAAACCCTATCGGAAGTTGTGAATTCCGATAGGATTTTATCGGTTGCCTTTGACCTAGATATACATACTTCGTGTACAACTGATCCAAGAAATGGTGAAACATTTAGTTTTCGTAAATAAATTCCTTCAATTACTAAATGAACAAAATTTAGTCATTAAATCTGTCTAATATTTCTTACCGCGTTTCCAAGAATTTAATGGTGTAACGAATTCTCCACTTTGTTCGAAATAATTTCTCAATCTTGTTTGAGAGAAGACAAGAAATATTCGTAAAATAAGGCCTAGACCAATGTATAACGATTCAATACCATCAAACATCTTGAAAAAAAAAGAAACAAATTCAAAATAAATCTAAATCTTATAAGTTCTTGTTTTTATCTATATATTATAGAAAATAAATTAATACAATTTAAAAAAAAACGGAAAAGAAGAAGAATGAGAAAACATTACAATTTGATAAAAAAAAACTGTTTAGATCTTTAACTTGATTTTTGTTTTTGTAAATAATTGACTAGAATATATCCGAATATGATTTATGCATTTCTATTATCTGGAAATGGAATGTATGAAAACAAAACTTCATTATTGTATAAGAACAGGATCTGGAGATGGATCATCCGATGATAATGATGAAACAATCGTTAATGTTGTATTTAATTCATCAACTATTTGAGTTGAATGTGCCATGGGTGGAAATGGTGTATTAACAATAACAGTTTCATTATCACTTCCTTCATTTGTCACAAGTATTTTTCCTTTTTTAATTTCTTCATTTATTAAATTATGTCGTTTACCATTACGTCGATTACGAATTCCATTCTCTTTATCCATCATATCTTCTAATGTTGTATGATCAAATACAATTGATAATGGTGCTATAGATATATCACGTACAGCACGAAATTCTCCACAATTATTTAAATGTTCATTTTCTAAACGAAAATAATTCCATATAAAACGACGAAATATTTCAATTAAACCAAATATAAATCCAATAACATCAGCATATTCAGCTGAATGTGTACGAAAATGCATAAAAACATTTATAATCCATATATAACGAAAAATGATATCTCCTAAAATAGCTGCATAATAATAAAATTTCGATGGATAAACAATTTGATCACGAAGAAATTTATTTTCATTATCATTTTTATCAAAAAATCCCCAATCCATTTTTAAATCCCATACTAATTTATATGTCGCACCAATAAATGATGCACCCATCCATACATATAAAAATGGATTCAATGTTGGTTCATCAAGAAAATTTATCGCAGTTGCACGACGTAATGAATTTGTTCCGATAACAAGAAATCCACTTGCATATTTTCCGGCATTAACTAAATGAGGAAATTTTTGTTTTGTATCATGATATCGTCTTAAACATTGAGCAAACCGAAACCAGGATGGTAAAATCATTAGAACTGTTTGTAAAACTATTTTTGGCCAACCATCACAAAGTAAACCACGATTTGGGGATTCGGAATAAACTGGCCACCATCCAACATCATAAATATAAAAGCAAATAAAATATTCAATATCGAAAAATATTAATTCTAATGATGTTAATTGATCACCTAACCAAAAATCAGCAAAACCAACACGATAAAATGGTGCACATATAACACGACCTAATGTTCTTAGAAACCAAAAACGTGCTTGATGATAAAGTGTTGGTGTTGGATTGAATAGAAAAAGAAGAATTAATGTAACAAAACTAAGTGGTTGTATAAATGGATGAAAATCATAATAAGATGAAAGAATAAATCCCGTAAAACTTAAAAACCATAGAACAAATAAAAAAGTACCGATTTCAAGAAATTGTTGATATGTTAAATGATTTCTTGGATCAATTTCAAATATAAGTACATGATTTACACCTGATGTTGACCAACCATAAACATTTATACCAATTAAAACAATATGAAGAACAATAAGAAATGTAGAACGATATAAAAATAATGCTTGTCGCCAAGCTAATGGTTTTGTTGATTGACTATCATGAAGATTTGCACCAAGTGCAATAACAGTTGGAAGTAATAAACAAAGCATTCCTTTTAAAAAAGAAATTTCATATTACTTCGTTTGTTTTAGAAAAATTTCTTACCAACAAAAAGTCCAACACGAAATGTAACTGCAGGCGATTGTTTTTCTTCAAGTGGTGGTACACGTAAACGTTTCATTGCACGAGCTCTATTGCCAGATTCTAATGTATCCGTGTACAATGTTTCGACATCATTAATTAATTGATCAACACGTTTTGATGTATGAAATGGTGCTGAATCAACATGTAATTTTCTAAATATGATATTTTTTTTAATAATTAATACAAGAAAAAAACGAATTCTTACCGCCATTCTTCACCACGTGTTGTTTGAAATAATTTATCATGTTTTTTTAATATTTTACGAAAACCTGTAAAATTAAGTGTTTGATAATTTTGTAATAAAACAAGCATTAAATAAAATTCACTAAAAGCTAATTTTAAATCAATTCGTTTTCGATATTGTAAACGTTGTGTTTGTTTTTCACGAGTTCGTTCAATTAAACGTTCAGGTAAAACACGTGTTAAAGGTGCCATTATATCATGTTCTTCGACATGAATCGAACGACGTTTTACTGTTGTTGATTTATTACCATCTGTCGTCGTTGCACCAGTATTTTGATCATTAGTAGGATGTGTAGTAGAAGATGTTGCATTTGTTCGATGTGATCCATGTCGGCGAGCTTGTTCAACATGAACAGCTTCGTGTTTTAATGTTTCCCATCGTCTCAGAGCCCTGAAATCAAAATTATAAAAACTTGAGCGATCGAAGAATGTATTCATCTATATTAACTCATTGGAAAACAGTATATAATGACTTTTTGCAATGTCAACACAATGCAAGAATGTACATTCTTCGTTTGATTTTTCTTCATAATAAAAAATAGTATAGATTGCAATCTTGTTTATATAAAAAGATAGATAATGAATGCTCAATTACCGTAGTTTTATTGTTCCTTTTAAACATCAAACAAAGTGCTATAGGATTTCTGAAGGTTAATAACTATTATGCGTCAACTGATGTAATCGTCAGGCAAATGAACTAATAAGAACACTCTTATGTAATGATTTCTAGATTGAGGAAAACGTACACGCGTCAAACATGTAAGAGAAAGAAATATATGATATGCATAAAATCAATAGAAAGCGGAAAAAACACATGACATATATATACCATATAATAATGCCGAAGGAATCATAAAACAACATTGTATGATGAGCATTATTATCAGACGAAGAAATAACACTTTCATGATATTCAAAGAATACATTTAACTTACTCAGCAAGTTTTTCTGCGAAGAAAGTATTAATTTTAGTTGATTCTTTTTCACAATACTAATAAAGAAAAAAAAAGAAATAGATTATGGAAATTCAATTGTAATATCTCTTACTTGAAAGAAATGTTCATCAACACGTAAAAAAAATTGTTCACGTAAAATATTATCACTTTCATCAGCATATGGTTGTGCCTTAGCTACTGATTGTGCAAGTAATTCTTTCATATCATCATATCGGATATATTGAGAATTCCATTCTGGTGTTACATGTGCTGATAAATGTTCGGCAAATTTCATATTTTAAAATATTAACATTTAAGATGGTTGTCAAAACTATCGATAACTAAAATGATATTAAAAAATATATATGCTACGCTTTTGATAAGATTCCGACTTTCTTTTCTACTGATATTATTGGGAAAAAATGACTATTAAACTTGCCCGATTTCTTTCTTCTCTCTATATACTCAATACATGTGTACATGATCAAATAGTCGAAAGAAATGATAAGTAGTAAATGGAACAAGAGGAAAAGAGAAATGTCGATTATGAGAAAGAAGGAAAAAAGACATTTGCCTGCACGTGTATTTGATGACCTTCATCTAATTATTCTTTTCTAATATTTTTTTCTTTATACTTGGTCATCAATAAATATATGATACAGCTATCGAACATTTTATGCTCAACATGTTTGCTGACCATGACAATTATCAATAAAGAGAATCATTCAAGCAGAACGATATAATCAAAAAAAAAGACGAAGAAAAAAAAAGACGAACGATTTTAATATACTTGCACGTTGAATGATAAAAAGAAAATCTTGTTTCTCTAAAAAAAAAGTCGATATCTGAAAAATAAAAAAAAAATATCTATGCAATTTAATCATATTGCTATTCATTTTTGAATACGAAATAATCTAAATTAAGTCACTGATTTAATGCAGAATGCAATCGAGTACATAATAATATGAAAGAAAAAAATTCGATTTACTTTATTCATGACTTATATGATTGATTCAGACTCTAAAAGAATAAACAATGCAGAATGAGAATCTTGAAGATTTTTTAATGCATATATGATGCGTATATAATCAAAAAGAAATATTTCTTTTGATAATATATTTTCATCGATATGATTCTTTATAAAACATTCAAATGTAGATTAAATACTTTTGACATGCTAATATAGAACTTATTCATGAGATTCTTTTAAACTAATCATAAAAGAAAATTTCCGAAAGATATCAACGTTAACTTACATTAATCCTCTAATTTAAACTTTTTATATAATTGAAGTTAACCAAACTTCGAAAAACTAGATTGAGAACTCCAGATAATTATAATATATGCTCATGTATCATAAAAAACTGCATAAATTATTATAAGAAGTCATGCAACTTGCATCTCATGAGATCTTTCTGTTTCATATATATCGCTCACATCAAACTGGAAATATAACTATGAACAATAACAGAGATTAGGCATGCAATGAATTCGAAAATTAGAATTCAGTTATCTCTTATGCCATAATTATACGTTTAGAACTACTATTACTTGTTAAAATGGATTTCATCTACTCTAAACATTTCAAACTGTAGTTTTATATAAATTTGAATAGAAGAAAAAGTGATCTTTATTTTTATTGAATTACAATACAAATCGATGAAAACTGATTAATTTGAGAATTTAAAAAAAAATAAACTTACATTATTCTTATTTCATTGTTTAATAAAAGTTTATTTTAATTATTAACAATGCATTGTTCAATCACAGATTTATAAAAAACGGCAAACTACGCGTTTTAATGAATTAAAATTTTAAAACTATTCAAATGAAAATTTTATTTTTTTCTGAACTTGTTCTTTATATTTAAGAATTAATTTTATTTATTTATTTTTTTTATTTTATTAAATAAATTCTATTATTTGTTCATTTTATTCATTCATATGCACATCAATATCAACCAAGTGACATTCGATTGGTTCGTTGTACTCCAGTTAAATTTCTTGTTGTATCCTTTTCATATATGCAACTGTTTACTGTGTTGCCTTCCATTTATTTTAGTCATTCGTCTATACGTTGTTGAGACAGCATTAGACAAACGATCAGACAACAAAGTCAAATCTTATTTCGTGAATAAACTAATTTTTTAAATAGTTTGTTTCATTTTCAAAAACAAAACAGTATACAATTGAATAAGGTTTGTATTAAAATAAAGTCAAAACAAAATTTTTCTCCATGAATCTTATGCAATAACACTGGTAAACACCAGAAAAGGATGTGTGAATCACATGTATTTTTTTCCCCTTTTCATAATGTTTACCTGTATTCGTTTAGACTTTATAATTTATATCTTTTTTTTCTTCATTCACATAGAGACACAGAATGGCACATAAAGATCGTAATTTAAATTTGAATGATGTATGGATCAAAGTATCGGACGGAATTGATCATATCTATCGTATTCAAGATATGTCACCTACAGCTTATATGGAACTATATACGTAAACATAAATTTTTGTTTTCCTAATTTCTTATTTACATATATATATATATCATAGTCATGTTTATGATTATTGTACAAATACACACGCACAATCATTTCAAAAGGCACCGCCAAGAACAGGTGGTAATAACCGACAAAATAATGTACAAGATGGAGCAAATATTGTCGGTGGGGAATTGTACACTAAATTAAGAAATCATCTAAAAGCTTATTTGGAAAAAATTTGTGAAGTAAGATTTATATAATTCAAAACGAAATTATCATATACTGATAATATACTAGAGAAATTTTATATAAAATATTGTGTAAATACAGACAAATGACATCAGAAGTCTAATGTTTTACTCTAAAAGTTGAAACTATGTATAATGTTGGGAATTATAACTTGTAATATCTTAGATCGTCTCAATAATAAGTAAAAGGTGGACATAATAGTTTATGTAATCTCCGTACTTTCTTATAAAGCTTTTGTTTTTAACTATCACATGATGTTACAATGACAATGGAATAAATAATATCGTTAATTATTAATAGATTCTCAACTTTGTAGTGAATTTAATATTTATAGTTATTGAGTACGTGTTATCTAAAATTAATAATTTCATGAAAACAATCTTGTTTCGGAGTTATGTTCCTCAGAAGATCTATGACATTGCATAGTTTTACAAATGCATACAGTAAAAGTTTACTAGAAGTTGTTTTCAAGCTTTGAAACGTAATTTACGGCATTGAGAATTATTTCTATACTATACTCTCCATCTATCTAGCTCATTATTATCTGTTGATCTAATTAATTCATCAGAGCGTCACAATCGAAATTCGAATCTAATTTTTGTATTATATATAGTTTCTTACTTTCAACTTGTGGTAATTAGTATAGAATTTTTACTAATCAATTAATATAAAATAGATTATTATTAAACAAATTTAATATTTCATTTGTAGAAAGGACTCGATTTACAAGGTGAAGATGTACTTCGTTTCTATACAACAAACTGGGAACATTATCGATTTTCCAGTAAAGTAACAAATGGTTTTTGTCATTATCTTAATCGACATTGGGTAAGACGAGAATATGATTCGGGAAGAAGAGATGTTTATGAAGTTTTTACCGTAAGTTCAAACAAATTATTCTTTATTTTAAAAGAAAAACATTTGAATAAATATATAGATGGCAATGGAAATTTGGCAATTGGTTTTCTTCCAACCATTGAATCGACAAGTTACATTAGCATGTCTTCAATTAATTAAATCTGAACGTAATAATGAAGTAATTAATACTCGATTAATTAGTGGAGTTATACAAAGTTATGGTAAACATAAACAAAATTTTCTAATTTAAAAGAAAAATCAAATTATTTTAAAAATTTTAGTCGAGCTTGGCTTTACTGAAAATGCATCTGTATCAAATAATAGTAATCAAATCACATCCCCGACATTGGCAATTTATAAAGATTACTTTGAAGTACAATTTCTTCAAGATACAGAACAATTTTATCGTCTTGAAGCAGCTACTTTTCTAGTTCATAATTCTGTTACTGAATATTTAAAAAAAGTTGTATTTTTAATTTAAAATCATTCATAAATATTTAAGAATATTTTTGTCATAGGTTGCACAACGTCTCGATGAAGAAGTACATCGAGTACAATCATATTTACATCCATCAACATTAGCAGCATTGATTAAAAAAGTCGAAGAAGTACTTATTCGTGATCAACTTGAAGTTATCTATAATGAAGCAAAAGTACTTTTACGTGATGAAAAACATTCAGGTAGTTAACTGATAATTTCAAATCATTAATTTTATTTTTCGTTAAATAGATCTCGCTCGTCTTTACAAAATAGTCAATCGAGTACCAAATGCAACAGTTGAATTAAAACGAATTGCTGAAGAACACATCCGCCAAATGGGTACGGATGCTATTGAACGTGTCAGTGGCACAGCAATTAATGTAAATTTAATTCTTTACTATATTTTATATCGATATTTATATTTGTTCTTTTATTAGGAACCAAAACTTTATGTTGAAACTATACTTGATATTCATACAAAATTCTTCAAACTTGTACAAGAAGCTTTCAATAGTGAACAAGGCTTTACAGCTGCACTTGATAAAGTATATAAACATTTCTTTTCCTTGAGTCCGATATATTGTTTATGCTTTTTAGGCTTGTGGTAAATTTATTAATAATAATGCAGTGACAGCAGCTGTTGGCAATACCACAAAATCACCGGAATTATTAGCTCGATATTGTGATGCACTTTTACGAAAAGGGTTTGATTCACTTATAGATTTATCATTGAATCATGATATATTTTTTTTTATAGAAGTAAAGCTGTCGAAGAAACAGATCTCGAAGAGAAATTCAATCAAATTATGGTATTATTGTCTAATGAACTAATCTTTAATTGATTTGTTTTTTTTAGGTTGTTTTTAATTATGTTGAAGATAAAGATGTTTTCCAAAAATTTTATGGTAAAATGTTAGCTAAACGTTTAGTTGGACAACTTAGTGCATCCGATGATTATGAAGAATCAATGATATCAAAGCTCAAAGTAAATACCATGATAAACTATAGAACTATTCTCAATTTTTCTATTTTAGCAAGCATGTGGTTTCGAATATACATCAAAATTACAACGAATGTTTCAAGATATTGGTGTTAGTAAAAATCTAATTGATCAATATCGAACATATTGTGAAAAGAGAAAATTGGATGATATTGGTATGAAATATAATCAGCTTGAAATTTATATCTATTTTAATTTTGTTTTAAGTCGATTTTTCTGTCATGGTTCTGAGCTCAAATTCATGGCCATTTTCTGCTCCACCAAACTTTGTTTTACCCCCTGAAGTAAACTTTATTTTATTGATTTTGAATCATGGAATGTTTTTTCTCTTTAGCTCAAACGAACATTCGATAGTTTTACTAATTTTTATACTCAACAACATAACGGTCGTAAGTTGACATGGCTCCATCAACATTCAAAAGGAGATTTACAAACATTATATACCAAACCAAAATATATTTTACATGTAAATATTGATTTTTATTTTATAAAATAATTCTAAATATCTTTGAAATAAATTAGGTTTCAACATATCAAATGGTTATTTTACTTTTATTTAATAAACTTCCAAATTGGACAGTCGAACGAATGCAAGATGAAACTCAAATTAAAGTTGATCTATTCTTGCAAGTACTCTGTGGTTTATTGAAGAGTAAATTAATAATATGTTCAGAACTCAATGAAGAGGAACTTGAAGAAGATTTAAAAGAAACTGATATTAAAATGGAGTATACTATTCAGATATCTAATGAATTTAAAAGGTAAATCAAATATTTCTTTTTCATCAGCATTAAGTTAAGATTAGAATAAAATATAATTTTTGTAATATCTACTGTAGCCAATGTCATGAATCATTGTTTTTTCTTAAAATATCACTTTCTATGATGTTCTCCGAGGAATGTCATAATACTCATTAGAGATTTAACAGTGTAATATCCAGTAGTGGTATAATACTGCGAAAAATTTCGTGTATTCGTATGACAACTAGAGATTTTGAGCATATTTACTTAAATCAACTTATGCGTATAAGAGATGAAACCAGCCTACTTGCCCGTGTCAATGTCGGTATTATTAAGAATCTTGTCTGTAACAATTAACATCGTAAATAGAGAATGCTATGTATTGTTATTATATTTTATTCGTACCTCAATTGAGTACTCTCATTTCTTTTTCACATCATGCAAAACATCAACAACAATTATAGCAAGACAAAATATATGCATCCAAATAAAGAGATGACATAACTATTTCATAGACTCTATCTGTATTCTGTTTCAGTATAATATTTTGCAGCTATATTCAATTAAAAGTTTCACTAGGTAATCTAAATCAAGCTTATACCAGGGCAAACGCAGTTCCCAAAACTAAACTCCAAATGCTCCGATTTCACTAAAGCACTGTAATTTTGTAGAGTATCACACTATTACACCAATGATACTTAGTATTAGTAATAATAATATATCAGAGAAGTTAGAGATAATCAGAATGTTGCTCTTATTGATATTCCAACAGAGGAGATGCATGTTTCAAACCTTTTATTGCCATTTCAGCAGCTTATAGTAAATTTGATTGTTGTAGTACAGCCTTTATCTCTTTGCCGAATTAGAAAATGACTTTGATTTATTTTATTTAGTAAAAAAATAAAAATAAACTTGAATGTGCCATTGAAATCAGTCGAACAAAAAGATATTGAAGGTTTACATCGTACAATTGATGAAGATCGAAAGATGGTTATTCAAGCTGCAATTGTTCGAACAATGAAAGCTCGTCAAACATTAAAACATGCATTATTAATGCAAGAAGTTATTCAACAACTAAGCTCACGTTTTAAACCAAAAATACCTGTGATTAAAGTAAATTCTTAGATATTTAATGTACAAAAAATATCTTTCTCTATTTTAGAAATGTATTGATATATTGATTGAAAAAGAATATCTTGAACGACAAACCAATGAGAAAGATGTTCTACGCTATTTGGCTTAAAAGAGATATAACCAAACGATTGATACGAAAAACACGTCGAAAAATTTAACTTTGATCTATAATTTTTTTCATGAAAAATCCAATAAAAAAAAAATTTTTATAATACCATCAAATTCTTTTCACTAAACGATAAAATCGACAATCCAAGTCTCATATCATTTTAGATTAGAATTAAATTTTTCGACTTCTTTTTCTTCTATCACACTTAGAACAACAACAATTTAGTTTTTATCTTCTTTTTTTTTCTTCGCATATCTCTCTCTGGGTCAAACAATTGGTTTTTCAATACTCCTCCTTTATCCTTATATTCAAGATAAATTCATTCATCATATCACAATAACTTCTGAAAGATAGTCAACTAGAAAACATTGTTCACTATCTCGTGTATACTCTTTTTCAACCGTCCATTTTTCTCTCTCTAGAACAACATTTATGAATATATCTATCGTATAATCACCTCAAATGTAAATGTTGTATGCATGTGTATATTAACCAGAGACGTGCTATTTTTCTTTCAGTCTTTTCTCTTTGACTTGTAACTTTTATTTCACTTTTTATTTTTGTTCATATTTCAATTTAACTTATATAAAATAACCTAGAAATATTTATATAAACATCGTGTTTCACTAAGCTGAGAAATAAATGATTTTCTTATGGATTTGAAACGTTCAATTTTATTTATTTTGGTAAAATATAATATAAACATGGCATAGAAAATACTTCAAATAAGCTTTTGACAATAAAAAAGAAGTTTATAGAAATCTAAATAAGATACATTAATATCAGATGAAATATCAAATAAGTATTATCACATCTGAAGTATTCTTTGATTACTAAGTAAAGAAACATGATATAATAAATATTCTCAAGTGTTCACTGAATGTATTATTAGAATTTGATGATTGATTATCTATATTACAGTATTATTGTTCTAACTTTTTATGTTCCTGATGATTATAGATAGTTACTTTAATATAAATTAACGAAATGTAAGTATTTATAAGGACTGTTGGCTCATTTTGAAAATTCGATCCTTGCCTATACGGTAAGTCTCAAAGAGGGACGATAAACTCCAAAAGAATATACTTCTATGAGTCTTCTATTCAGAGTTGTATGCATTTTATTGACATTTTAGTCATAGCATGGTATTAACCAAAAAATCGAATGACGATATTTCAGAGTTAGATTTTGTTCATACATAGGTTTATCGATCAGTAAAATATTTTGAAAATTTCAGTTCAAAAGGATCTTCCTTTTTCAAAATATTAAAGTTTCAAAATATAGAAAATATTGACACTATTTATGCGGTGTGTATATTTTTGACATAAAAACATCAACACATACAATACCTAATATCTATATACATTAGTCATCGAGATTAAAATAATATTTTGTCTTTACAGAGGTATAAACACAGCATAGAAAAAAAATATTTTTGAAAAAGTCAATGTCATTGAATTGCATCAATAAAATCGATTCTTCTTTCCACTAAAAGGTTTGTTTTCGATGAATTTGTTTTCATTTGGTAGTGTAAACTGTTGGTAAAAGAAGTTTATAGAGTGTTCCTTTGAACAGATTACTCATTTGCAGAAAAATAAAATACATCTATGACATCCTTCACCTTTTATTCCTTTGTAGTCATCGCGTTATATCATTCATCTTACATAAAATTTTTAAAAGACTCATCTAAGCAAATTCTTTTTTTAAGAGACTTTTAGAGAGTCAGACGTTTATCTTTCGGCGAAAGAACGAATCTTCTATGTAACCTGATTGTTGAGGAATGTTGATTATACATGGCCAAAACATCATCGTGTTATGCTCGTTGAGGCCGAATACTTAAAAAATATTATTTATATGTCGTATAATTCAGACGAAATAACCTTGAATGAATATTATATCCAAGGTGTATTTTGTTCTATTAGTAGAGGTCACTATTTGACAGAAAAAAACTAACTTTCGTATGTCAGATATGAGTCATCAACATTTTACCCTTTTTCCCACATTCATTATTTGACTTTACGAAAAAAATAAATTACGCGACGGTATGTTGGTAAACATGTTTTTTTTATTGTTTAGAAGTTTTCATGACTATTGCAAGTAAAAATTTCTAGCTCTATAGATCTTTCACGGTTTCAATCAAAGTATCGTAATGAATTTTTTCATGAGCTTTAAAATAATCATGAAACTAATCTATCATGTCAGTTCCTAACAGTAAATGAGAATATTTTGAAAATATTTGTATTTTTTTCTTTTTTCATCGATTTTATTAGCGTATATCTGCGTTTAATTCATACTCTGGTTTATAACAGTCAGTTATTTCGAAATTTTAATCGATAAATAACAAAATTCCTAGTGATGTTAATAGTTAACAAAATAATTTTTTTTACGTATGATGAAATTAAACTGCAAAACAACTTAGTCTTGCACAACGTCTATACGAAGGAAATTTCCATGTGCTTATGAGTCATACATTTTATCTTGCTTGTTACATGTTTTTATACTCTTGCATTCTTTTTCTTTTGCATTTAGACGATAAAACAGAAAAACATGTCACAAACCGATACTTTTTTAAATCAAGTATGGACGGATGTATCCAATGCAATGCGTCGTATGTTCGAACTTCAACCGCTGACCATAGCTACGATGATGAAACTATATAAGTCTGTTTTTTTACTTGAATGAATGTATATTATAATGAGATTTTTTTTTAAATATATTTCAGTGATATAGATACATATTTTAAGAGTTCAGAACGTGATAATTTGATATTAAGAGCATCGACAAACAAGCCAAATACAACTAATGATTCAAAACAAAAAGACAATCAAGCAAAAGGCAAAGAAAATGATAAATCAAATGAATCAAAACAAAAAGATGATCAAGAAAATGATAAAGAAGTTGATACAATTATTCCTGGTGGTGAATTATATTTTTATTTGAAGAATTTTCTCAAACAATATCTTACAACAATACATGCAGTGAGTATGATCAGATATAGATATATATTTGATCAATCTGATGAATGCTTAATAATTAAATTGATTTTTCGTTCTAGAATGGAAACAATTTAGTAGATGAAGATTTTCTCCGATTTTATGGTAAAACCTGGGAGATATATCAACTTGTATGTCAAGTCATGAACAAATCATTTACTTCTATGAATAATAACTGGATAGCTCGTCAGCGTGAAAAAAATAATAATCAAAATATTTATGATGTTTATACAGTATGTTTTGTTTTTTCAAATTGATTTTATCTTCACATAATTCTTTAATAGATGTCAATGCAAATGTGGCAAGATATATTTTTCAAAGAAACTACTCAATCATTAGCGCAAACTTGTCTGAAATTAATCAAAAAAGAACGTAATGGAGAAAAAGTTGAATCATCTTTAATTCGTCAAGTTTTGCAAAGCTATGGTATAAAAATTTGAAAAAAAAATGTATATATTATAGTATTTTGAAAATTTAGTATCGGCTGGTTTTACTGAAGATGAAAGAAAAAATAAAAATCATAAAACAACAATAACACCTTCGCTTTCAACATACGTAGAATATTTTGAAAAGCAATTCATTAAAGAAACTGAAGAATATTACCTACTCGAGTCGCAAAATTATATCGAGGAAAATTCTATTAATGATTATATAAAAAAAGTAATATTCGAAAATTTTCTTTTCCTCAGTTATATGAAATAAATTTTTTCATAGGTCAGTGAACGTCTTGATCAAGAAGAAAAACGTGTAAGAGATTATTTACATCCAACAACTTTAGAAAAGTTAATACCAAAAATTGAAGAAATACTTATTTCAAAACATATTGATCGGATACAAGAAGAAGCAATAAAACTATTACATGTTGAAAGAACTGGAGGTGAGTTTTGTTTAAAGAACTTCTTTGAGACCTCAATGTTGTTTAAAAATTCATTATATAAGTAGTAAATTAGATATTTACTGAAAAACTTAGAAATGTAAATCTTCTTTCAGTCGGCAAGATGACACATATATTTTTGCTCGATTCAGTTCTCTAATGATTTTTTTTCATCAATGGTACTGCATTATTTCCTTAAAATAAATTTCAATAGCTAGTTGATAGATTTCATGATGTCACGTATTACAACAAAGTATAGAACAGTAAATATTATATGTTACGGCTACAAAGCAGACTATTGAGGGTGTGGATGTACTAAAGAATAAGCTAACTGTTTATATATTTAGATTAGTTTGTAAGATGAGTGATAAAACTAATTTAAGTCAATCCGAAAACTTCGTTTGATAAAGATAGAATATTTCGAGAGACGTTTATTTCTTACACAGTGAATATTCGTCAGTACGCGAAATTTTTATTCGTATATTTCAAATATTTGACTTTTCGTAGATTTACGCATTGCACACGGATTGATTACTCGAATTAGAGATGCTAATAAGCCAATACAGAAAGAACTGGAGAATTTTACATATCAAACTGGTTTGGATGCAATTGACAACATAAAAGCTACTGTAAATAAGGTAAATAAATTTATATATTTTAATAAATTTCATTTATTTTACCATTTATTCAATTAGGAACCTAAAAGTTATGTTGAAGCTATTCTTGAAGTTCATGAACGATTTTCTAGAATTGTTATGGAAGGATTTTGTGATGAACCTGGTTATAGGGTTGCTTTTGATAACGTAAATATACAGCTTTTGTTATATTTACTTGCTATTTCTTCATTTCTAGGCTTGTGGCAAATTTATCAATGGTAATGCAGTTACAAAAGCAGCTCGTAGTGGTTCAGGCAAATCAGCTGAATTATTAGCAAAATACTGCGATACACTTTTAAAAAAAGGGTTTGTTTATTTTAAATATTAATAGTTCATCAGTATACTTTTTTTTGTAGAAATAAAACTGAGGAAAATGATAGTGACAATAAAATTGGTCAGATTATGGTATTATCTTCCATTTAATCATTTTTAAATTAACCAATAAAATTATTCTTTTCTAGGTAGCTTTTAATTATATCCATGATAAGGATGTTTTTCAAAAATTTTATGGTACAATGTTAGCTAAACGTTTAGTTCAACAATCGAGTGCATCAGATGATAATGAAGAATTAGTCATTACAAAACTAAAAGTAAAGAATGCTAAAATATTTTTTATTTTATTTCGAATCTATTTTTTTTTTTCAGGAAGCTTGTGGTTTTGAATACTCATCAAAACTACAACGAATGTTTCAAGATATTCGAATTAGTACACATTTGATTGAAGAATTTAAAAAAGATTGTGAAATAAAGGGAAAGGATATTATCGGTATGATCAAACGAAATTTGATGTATTTTATAATTCTTTTGTTTTCAGACGGTTTTGGTGTTATGGTTCTTACTTCAAATGCATGGCCGTTTAGATCACCATCTGCTTTCAGTCTACCAAATCAAGTAATACTAAAATAATTATCTAAAATAATTCAATGTATTTATTTTAGCTTCAACCAACATACAGCCTTTTTACAGAATTTTACACGAAAAAACATTCAGGTCGTAAATTAGAGTTGATTCATGAACATTCAAAAGGAGAATTACAGACATTATATACTAAACCAAAATATATTTTACAAGTAAGAATTGATTCATTTTGTTGAATAATATATTGATTTTTGTAAATGTATAAAAGGTATCAACGTATCAAATGGCTATTTTACTTTTATTTAATAATGTCAAAAGTATGACTGTTGAATCAATTTCTGATGCTTCTCAGATTGAACCAGAATTATTCAGACCAGTTCTTTTGATTTTATTAAAAAGTCAAGTATTAAAATGTTCAAAAATCACTGTCAGTGAAGAATTGAAAGAAAGTGATATTAAAAACGATTATATGATTGAAGTTGATGAGAGCTTTAAAAGGTTTGACATTAGTTTAAAGATGTAAAGTTTATTTGTTTTATTTTCTTTAGTAAAAAAGTCAAAATTAATTTAAATCAAGCGGTAAAATTAGTCGAACAAAAAGATGCTGAAAACGATGGTCAAAAAATTGAAGAAGAACGAAACTTTCTTATTCAAGTAAATAAATTAAAAACCTACTTTATTAATTTTATTTAACTATTTTGTAGGCTGCAATTGTTCGAACAATGAAAGCTCGAAAACAATTAGATTATAATTCATTAATAGAACAAATTATTCCACAATTAACTTCAAAATTTCAGCCAAAAATTCTCATGATTAAAGTATAATTTTTCTTATTTATTTCAAAATAGAACAAATTTATTATTTATTCTAGAAATGTATTGAACTATTAATTGAAAAAGAATACCTAGAACGTGATGCAAAAGATATAACTCTTTATCGTTATTTACCTTAGAACAATGATGATAATGACAAACTTTTCTTCTTTTGTCCTCAGTGAAATTAAATACCGTTGTGATAACTTTTGTTCTTGTACTTTTTCATATACTTGTCATTAGTTTTATTTATTCATAACTTTTTACACAAGTTTGTTTTATATAACAAAATTATTTTCTAATAAAACCAAGAGTTACTCACTTTAATATACTAAGAAGTGAAAAAACCTTTATATATCAAGACTTCTTTATCTCTTGCACAAGGATTATCTCAATAGAAAAGACGTGTCTATTGATTAAAAATCGAAATAGGTAATCGTATTTATTATGATTGTATTGGTTTACATGGAATATGTTTAGAAAGTCATTTTTTTGTGGAAGTTTCATAATTCTTTTTAAATTTCCCTAGACATTCATCGACACATTTAGGACTTTGTGATGATATAAACTTTTTAGTATATCATTGTCAATGATGATTTCATTCAATATTTTCTATTCTTATATTAGTCAAACAGAGAAAAAAAATACAATTTACACATATGTTTTATATATAATACTTATTTATTAATATATACCCAATATATCTTACTATTATTTCCCCAGACAGAAAAACAACGAACATCAAATATATTTTTCTCATGTATTATTGTGTTTTGTATTAATTACGTCATTTACTATATCATAAAGTTTAAAAGTCAAGAACAATCGATTTCGTTTTGATATTTACAGAAATCAAGATCGTATATGAAAGAAGAATTTTAGTTAAAGTACAGCGACATCTAATGTTATACCGACTAACCATAAAACATAGAGGACATTATTCATCGAGTATGATATATTTTTGTTCAATGAATTGGTCAAATTATTCTCTATGATCAATCCTCTTTCCCTTATATATTCATTGCTTTTCTTCATACGCTAAGTAACTCATCGTCTATAGTCACTCATCTTACCTTCGTATTCACTTCTTTCGTTCACGTTAGTTGAACAAACAAACTATCGTCTATGTCGATGTCTACCTTTTTCTCTTCCCTCCTCTTCTTTATTGCCTTGTTGCTATCGTCGAATTAGTCGTCAAATTGTAATATTTGTATGTGTGAGTGTACACAGACAGTAGGTTTATTTGCTATTTTTAGATCTTATTTTGTGACTCGTCGTGTATATTACATTATCCGACGATGTCTTCAATGAATGGAACAAGTGCATTACGAGTTAATGTTGCATTACTTGAACGTGATGTTGTTAAACTTATACTTGATTTTTTTCAACAACGTGAACTCTATATTAGTATGCTTGATATAGAACGTGAAACAGGTATATTTTAAAAAAGCAATTATATCTTGTTTCATATCTGATTTCATTATATTTTGACATACATATCTGCTTATTTTCTTGTTAATTATAGGCATTATCAATGGATCTTTTTCAGAAGATATACTGTTTTTACGACAATTGATTCTCGATGGTCAATGGGATGATGTTATTGATTTTGTACAACCATTAAAATCAATTGATGCATTTGATGCTAAACAATTTATATATATTGTACTTAAATATCAATTTCTTGAATTATTATGTTTAAAAACTGAAGCACAAATTGAAAATGATTTATCTGTTGAACAAATTGTTAAGTAAGTTCAAATAAATAATTTACTTAATTAAATAATTAATTTTTTTTTTCTTGCATAGATTTCTTAATGATTTAAGACCATTTGCACCAAATGAACAAGAATATAAAAAATTATCATTTTTACTTACACTTAAACGTTTACAAGATCATACTGATTATCATAATTGGAATCCAAGTGCTGGACGTGTACAATGTTTTCAAGAAATATTTCCACTTATTCATCGATTTTTACAAGTAAGCTTTCTTTCGAAATTCTATGTAATTAATCTATATTCTTTTTTAGGTAGAAAAACAAACAATACCTATTGCACAAGGTGATCGTCTTGTTCAATTACTTATTAAAGGTTTACTCTATGAATCATGTGTTGAACATTGTCAAGCACGAGCAACGAGTACTGAAGAAACAATTGATTTAACAGATCCAAATTCTTTATTAGCAATTACACGTTTATCTGATACAGATGTTTCATTACTTTCATGGCTTCATGCATTACCAACCGAAACATTTTCATGTCCATTTGAACAAAAAACATTAACATTAAATATTGATAAATTTCAAAAACCAATACTTGAAGCAACATGGGCTGAACATGTTTTAAGTACACCATTTAAACCACAAACAATGTTTCCATTTAATGCCACACCAACTGGTAAACCACGTTCAACTGAGCTAATGTCACGTTCATTAGCACCACAATATGATGGGTTATCTTATGGTCTTATTCGTTCACAAATCTTTGGAGATTATAATCGAAGTTTTGTTAATGATATGAGTCGTTCATTAGCTATTTGTAATTTAAAAGATAATGGAAATAATAATATTCATAATACATCAGCAACAGCAACAATATTACCAACTGTTGAAGAAGTACTTTATGAAGAAACACCACCACCATCAACACCATCACCACCATCACTACCACGTACATTATCACCTGCAGCAAATATTATTTCACCACAATCAACTCATCGATCACAATCACCAAAACGAAGTATTACAGAACCACACTTTACAAATAATAATTTACCATCATATGATACTATTGGACAACAACCACAACATTACGTTACATCACCGAAATCACTCAGTAGATCTAGTCAATCAAGCAGTAGTCAGAAATCTAAACATACAAATGGTTCAATTGTAAAAGAAAATGAGAATCTATCACCAATTAATCATACTCAAATATCATTAAAGTAAACCAATTGTTTATTATTATAATTCATTTCAAAAATCATATATGTTTATTTTAGTAATATGAATACTTCTCCAGTAGATACATCGAATGGTTTACTTAAAGTAAATTGATATTTTTGTTTTGATAGAATTTTATTTATAAATATTTTACAGGAATATCAAAAAAGTCGTGCAGAAATTATTCGACAATTTGATGAACATGAAACACGTCGAAATGAATTACAAAAACAACTTAGTACTGGTTTTTATTTCTCAAGAATTTTTTATTTAAAAATTAATTTTATATATTTATAGCATCAACTACACCCAATCCAAAGATTCGCGCAATTATTGATGTCACAAAATATGATTCTCTTGAAGTATAAAAATGATTTTTTGAATTCAAATAGAAAAATTTATGTCGTTAATTTAGGATATTGCTCGTTCGCCAGCATTTATACCAATAGCATCTATTGAAGATGTTCAAGCTATACGTGCTATTGATATTCATCCAACTGGAAAATATTTTGCTGTTGGTTCAAATTCTAAAATGGTTCGTGTTTGTGCATATCCAGATACAAAAAATGTTCGAACAGACTCTGTACCAAAACAAGCGAAGGTTTTATTTAAAAAAGCCAAACATCATTTGGGTAGTATTTATTGTATGGCATGGTCACCTAGTGGTCGAATTATAGCAACAGGATCAAATGATAAACTTATTAAACTCATTCGACTTAACATGGATCGATTAGAAGAGGAAACAAATCGTAAATAATAATAAATTTTTTTTTGATGATGATAATAATAATAGTTTTTTTTAGATACAGAAATTGAATTAACACATCATAATGGAACTATACGAGATGTAATTTTCATGCATGATAGTTTGAAAGATGATTCAATTTTATTAAGTGGTGGAGCTGGAGATTGTAAAGTTTATGTTACGGATGTTAAAAAACAAACAACTATTAAAAGTTATAGTGGTCATGAAGGTAAATAGAATATGATTGAAACTTGTAATCGATTTCTAGTACTAATTAGTTAGAGTTTATGGGATTGAAAATGTATCAATAAAGAATTTCTCTATATGATGTTGCCTATTGAAATCTCTACTGATCAAACTAGATGTAACTTGTGATGAATTTATTATCGAGTATTGAATTATTCAGTGAAAAATAAAATATTTTTAATAGAAATAAATGTCCTTTTTTATCTAGATGGATTATTCCATCGAATTGAATGACATTTAAGGGATGTTATGTCTGAAATTCGAGTATTATTATTGATTGATGATAATAGCAGACAATGACAGCATTATAAGTGTTGATATATTATCCGATGGGTTTATATGACATCTAGGGGAGACATATAATTGACGAATCAAAAGATCTTTGTTGTTATCGTTATCTCTGAAAAGCAAAAAAACAATTAGCATCCTTTACAAATCGATTTTGTTGTTTTTATTAAAATTTAATATTATTTCTTTTAGGGCATATTTATTCCTTATTTACTTGGGATGCATGTAGTTTTGTATCCGGAAGTCAAGATGGTACATCACGTTTATGGGATATTCGTCAACCAGAATGTGTTCATGTCATTCCACCTCGTCCTTCAAGTATAATCTAAAATATCTTTTGATATTAATCAAATTTTAATTTTATAGATAGTGCTGTTGCAGCTGTAACTGTTGATTGTTCTGGTCAATTATTAGCAGCTGGTTATGAAGATGCATCATGTTTACTTTATGATCTTCGTGGAAAACGTGTTGTACAAGCATATCAACCACATTCGAATGAAGTTCGAAGTGTTCGTTTTTCTGTAAATTCATATTATTTACTTACAGCTTCCTATGACAAAAAAGTTGTTATGACAAGTTTAAGTGGTAAGAACAAATGAAAGAATAATCGAAATTTATTTTCTTTTAATTAAGGTGATCTTACAAAACCATTGGTTTTATCTAATGTTGCTGCACATACGGATAAGATTATTCAAGCTCGATGGTATATTAAATTTGTTTTATTTTCATGCGTAATTTTGAAAATATTCTAGGCATCCAAATGAAATATCATTTGCAACAACAAGTGCTGATCGTTCATGTATAATTTGGGCCCCACCGCTTTCAGCTTTATCTGCTCTTACACAGTCACCATAAACCCACCGAACAAAATTCTATGTTTTGATCTCATTTAATTTCTTTTTTTAGTTCGTAATTTAATGCGAATACTCTTATCATTTTATTTATCTATTTATATATTTGATGCTTTTATTTCGATTTCATCTAGTATTAGTGTTTCATCTCATCAGAAACAAAAATATTGGCGTTCTCTTTAAATACAACAACAAAAAAATGCGCAAGTGTGCTGATAAATTTTATTTGTTTTGTTCAATTTATGTATATTTTTTTTTCTTCTTCCGTTTGAAATAAAAATAAATAAATTTTATGAGAATTATATTAGTTTGTTTTTATACTTGTGATGATGATAATCGATCGAGTAAACGTAATTTTCTAAGAATGGATCGACTTAGATCAGTATTTAATTGCCAAAGATTTTCTTCTGTTGTTTGAATATCAAATTTTTTCTGATCAATTTCAATTTTCAAGTTTTTCATACGATTCAAAAGAATATAACTACCAAATAGACAAGCCAAAGTTAATGATGAAAATGTGAAAGCTACTATAGATGGCATTGTAAAGAATAAGGCGAAACATAATTGCGCCTTTTTATAGACTCAATATGTTTTTGTAAATGTATGATTGTCTTTAATTGTAGATGCCTTTGGTATATTATTACGATTTAATGTCACAGCCCTCTCGGGCTTTGTATATTTTTCTTAAAATGACAAATATACCATTTGAATCGAAAGAAATTGCATTACGAAAACTTGAACATGTGACTGATGAATATTCTCAAATAAATCCATTCAAAAAAGTACCAGTTATCAGTGACTCAGGTTTTATTCTTACCGAAAGGTTAGAACATAGTAAAATAAATTGAATATTCTTACTGAAAATCTTCGATTTTAGTGTGGCAATTTTTATGTATCTTTGTGATAAATACAAAAAAAATGATTGGTATTCAGTAGATTTAAAAGAACGAGCACGTGTTAATGAATATGCTAATTGGCAACATGCCAATTTACGCGCTAATGGTGCAATGCTTTTTCGTACAAAAGTAAAATAATGTTATTTTCCTATTACGTTAAGTTAAAAAGTTAAAATTTCTGTTAGATTATCACACCTCGTATGACTAAGAAGCCACCAAATGAACGTGAATTAGAAAAATGGCATGAACGATGGGAAAGTTCTATTGATGATCTTGAAAATATATGGTTAAAACGATCATCTTATTTAGGTGGTAATCATCTGACATTTGCTGACTTACTTGGTAGATCACACTAATCAAAAATAAAATTTCAACAATATAATTATCGTTTATATTTAGGTATTTGTGAACTGATGCAACCAATTGCTGCAGGGTATAATTTAAATCAAGAAAAATTTCCTCGTGTTCATGATTGGGTGCAACGAGTAAAACGAGAAACACAACCCTATTTCGATGAAGCCCATGCCGTTCCTATGCGTATGAGACGAGATATATTAAAAAATCAAAATTCTAAACTTTAATTAAATGATTCTGTTTTTCGTTTTTGATACTATGTGATTTTATTTCGATTGAATAGTTTTTTTTGTGATTTTATAACTTGTGATTAATAAACCATTGATAGAAAGAAAAAAAAGTACATACATTTTGACATCAAAATATTATGATACTTTGATCAAACAACGAATAAATCAAATCTGTTTTTTTTTCTAGTGTAGAAATGTGTAAAGAATTAAAGCAAATGGTTATATTCTATAATTAAATCTTTCCAAACATTTCTCAATTGTCCGAGTTGCTTTTGTGTTCGTTATTTGCAAGGCTCTTTTTTTGACACATCTCTCTTCTCGCGCGCGTTCGCCTTGTTTATGCGATAGAACGTCGAGCAATGGACATAATTGCAATTTGATTTCTTCAATAGTTGTGTTTAGTAAGCATATATACAGTACGGTATGCAAATGGGATGCTATATGAGAGTGTTTATGGGATGGATATTAGAAAGAAATATGTATACACACATATATATATATATGAATTGTTACCAAACATATGTGATTATAACATATGAGGAGAAAAATGGAATTATTATTTTTTTTTAGGGAAAAAATCTTGATAAAAAATAAAACAATCAATGATTGATGAATGGTTATTAACATTTGAAAAGATAGAATATTCTACTCATTTGCATAATTTGAATAATAGTCTCATAGGAAGACACTAAGAGCATTTTGTTGTTATTTCTATCAGCGGAAGAGATTTGTAACGAATAGGAATTCTTTAACGATGTAACCAATAAAAAATCGATCCGTTCTGTGGATTTATATGAAGAAAAAAAAAAAAGAACTGTTATCTATTAGGAGAAAGAGAAGGAAAAAAAAGGTAAAGTAGAACGACGAGAGTAGAGAGAGAGAAAGAAAGAGAGAGAATAAATCAAATTATCTATCGAACAACGATTCACACATATACACAGGGACACACATCACATACATCGTCAAAAGAGACGCGACGACAAGAAACACTTGATTAATTGTTCGAACGGAAATACAATCATAAATATATTTCTCTTCCCTTCTCCCTCTTTCTCTCTCTCTCCCTCTATTTTCTCTCATCATTCAAATATTAAAAACTAATAACACATCGTTTAAAAATAAAGAGACAATATTTGAGTTTTTTAATTTGTGGTAAGTTAATATTATATATTTAAAATAAAATTATAGATCTATTCTTTTTTTTCTTCCTAGTATGTTATATTGCCATCATCTTCTATTGAAAATTCACTATTATTAGATGATATAATGTTATCAACTGCAAGTACATCGAATCAACATCAACCGAATTTTTGGTTTCCTGGTAGTCCATTGCCGTCATTTTTTTCCTCATCATCATCTTCGACAACAGGAGGACAAGAGAAAATTTCTTATATTCAACAACAACCAACAACAACAAACAAAGCTCTTTTTGATTCCAGTGCATGTAGTTCAAGTTCAGGAAGTTCACCACCATTATCAAATGATTTTCTTACACGTTCAAATCCATCGGCAACCACATTAAATTTAACTCAATTTAATTATATTCAACAAAATCATCATCACTCATCTGTTCTAACACCACCATCAAATAATTTTCTTCCTCGAGATGATTGGTCACAAATACCAATGGCACAAACAACTACTTCAAACACCTCCGCATGGCATCCACAACATATAACAAAAGGTAACAATTTTTCGAACTCATTTATACCATCCTATTGTATAGAGAAGAGCTTGCTCAATACCTCATTCATAGGTGTATATACATATATATATATAAATATACATTCATTCATTCATTCATTCATTCTCTATCTTAATGGTTATTCAATGATTGGAAGGATGATTTATAATATTTGTTGCCGGCGCATTACATCTGCACATTCCTTCAGTTTCTTTAGCTCGTTTTTTATGTAATACAGAACGGCATTTGACAATAGGCTTCCGTTTCTCTCTTTTTTTGTTTTGTTTGCTTATGTTTTGCTAGAATATAAAAAAAAGAGAGTCATCAGGCCGTTATTATTTTATATAAAATGACATTTGAGTTCGATCTATCAGGCAACATTTGTATGAATATGATCGCATCATTTCGGTCAATCGATCAACACCAGACGTTGCATGATTGAGAGCCAATTTGTCACACAAACTAAAATTTGTCTGTTGTTTTTTAATCGTTTTTTAACCGCATCAACACACTCAATGGCACCAGCAGTAGAAAGAATTGCACGTGCGATGTCTTCAATTTCTATTCATATAGCAAAGAGGCGTGACGAGTATATTTATCGTTGCTCAGCTGATTTGTTATTACCTTTTATATGACAGAGATTTTTGACTTTTTTTTAATGAGATCAATATACATTTAATGTATAGCAAAGAAGAAATGTTTTTCTACAAAGATAAATCAATTGAAAGAAAGATGTGTAATGACTCGAATCATCTTATGAGAAAAAATAACGGATGTTGATAGCAATAAACTATACGTATAATATGAAGAGAAAGTAAGAGAGAACGCCGCTTCCGTTGATAATGTCATTTACTGTCAATGAACCATCGTCTTTAATTTTTATAGATTAAAAAAATATGTTGTACATATAGAAAAAAAATAAAAATAATTGAAAATAGATGATCTTTATGTCCTCCTAACATACATCATTAAAATTTTATGATAGCATTGTAATATTAAGGTAGAAAAATAACCTAACATGATATTTAACTCGAGTAATCTATCAAGAATGATATTGAAATCAAGATTTCTTTCTATCATCATCATCATCATCTAATTGATAATTATATATATATGATGATCGATTGAAAAGTGATTTTGCCGGTATGTCCGTGAAATTGTCATCAAACATGTCGAGATCAATTCAAATGCGCATTCATTCGAATAGAGAAGATCACAATAAACAATGGCATCATCAAGGAGCACGTCAACCTTTTGAATAATTTGTTTTGATTTTTTTCTCTCTCAAGTGTGTTTACAATACATATGAACACAAAAGGTTATTAATAAGCCGTTACTTCGTATTGCTTTCTTTCATAAACAAATAAGTTCTCATAAAAGAAAGTATCTATTTAGGTGTTTCAATGGAGAATTCTCAAGTGTCACATTATTCCAGTATGATGACTGATAATGAATTATTATCAAAAGATATGAAACGTAAAAGTAGTCGACCAACATTTACTGGACATCAAATATTTGCATTAGAAAAAATGTTTGAAAATACGAAATATTTAGCTGGAACAGAAAGATCACGACTTGCTTGTCAATTATCGATGAGTGAAGCACAAGTAAAAGTAAGAAACTTTATTTTACTATCAAAGTCTTTTTCTAAATGCATAATTTCCTCTTACTTTAGGTATGGTTTCAAAATAGGTAAAATAAAATAATATTTTTTTTTATGTTCTTATTTATTTTTTAAATTATTATTAAGACGTACAAAATGGCGAAAGAAACATGCTTCCGAAATTCATGGAGCATCCGGTAAACGAAATAAACAACAAAGTAATGATGAATCAATTCCGACGATTGAATCAGATTCAAATTCAACTTAACTTACTCTTCGCTTCTTTTTCTGTCTTGTTCTCTTCGTCTTCTTTTTTTCTTGTTTTAGTGTTTCAGCTACTTGTGAAAATAAAGCTTATTGTGTACATTTATTTCCGTTTGTTACACATTATCTTTTGTTCAATGTTCTTTCTTAAAATTAAAATTGTTTTTTTTCTTTTTTCCTTTTTGTAATATGCACGTTTATCATCATCATCGCATGCATAGTCATTAAATATATTCTATTAGTGCATTACTTTTACACAGTATTAATACGTGCACATATATACGATAGAGGATAATCATCTATTTTGTCTATCATCAATAGAATTATTACATATATGGATATATCTTCGCGTGTTATTAATTTTGCTCTAGTTCTTAGATGTATGCAATAACAAAAGGTTTTATTTTGTGTCACGATGATCTCGGAAACGGAACACTAGAAATTCTAAGTTTAAGTACGAGTATATAATTTCCAGTATAGGTAACTCCGAAAAACTGATGGTCATATCTGAGAATGAACATGAAGTAAGTCTACTTGTGTAGTTTTCTGTAAGTAAACGAATACTATTGGTTTCGAACGAGTTTATATCCATTTATCGTTTTCTAAGCCATTGTGACCTAGCGAGTCATATAATTTCTTACTAATTCATAAGTAGCTAATTTAGTATTGAATCTAGATGCGACTCGGACCAAACTTCTGTTTGCTTGTTAATCAACTTAGATCCAACCAGTAAATTGTAGTGGAGATAGTGAAAATTTCAATTCATAATGATCTTATTTTGTGTAATCAAATTAGTTAAGAAATCTAGAATGAAAGACATTCTAAAGCACATTTTCCCTTTTTCACTTAAAAATAATCACGGCAAAAAAGGATTTTAAAAGGAATTTATTCGATAGACTAGCCAGAGTCATTTCTTTCCTAATTTTTTCCTTTTGTATAGTATAAACAAATTACATTGGCTGGAATCAACCAAACTTTTGTCCTAATTTCGAATCTAGTATGATGAAATATAAATATTTGAAGATGTATTTTGAGAATTGAAATTCCTTTGCTATTAATATATTAGTTGTCAAAATAATTACAGCAGAAAGCGCATTTAGATAATCTCTCATCATTTATAATCGTGTGCATCTATTCGATTGAAGTAACTTTTTAAAATTAGAAAATAAGTTTGACTGTGATAAATAAATATATCTTATACGCAAATGCAAAGAGATTGCTGTTTTCATTCTTTGCTTTGAAATGTTTAATCAAATTTGACAGGTATTTAACGCTTTTTATGTCAAATTCTTGCTGAAGAAAGAAAGTTTAATTTAGCATCACATCAGGATAATTAGTATTTTGATAAAAAAATACTCTGTGCTCATTCATTTACCTGAACAAAGAGTTTGATCAATGGCTGATGATGCTACTGAAAGTCTCCGATGGACAAAATATGTCGTTCTACAAAGTACTATTGTTCCATCATTACTTTGTGATATCTATGTTTTTATTTATTTTATTCGTCATTGGCAAAAAGAGATTGTTAAATCTCCACAACATCATGTCATTATCTGCATGCTTATCATTAGTTTTTTACAAAAAACCACTGATGCTCCCCTTCTTCTATTCTATCTTCGTTGGGGTGAAAATTTTCAACAAACGTATACATTCTGTGCCGCTTGGAATTGGTTAGATTGTACATTAACTGGCTGTGCTATACAACTAGCAGCTTGGTTTTGTATTGAAAGGCATTTATTTATTTTTCATAGTCAGTTGATGAAGAAGAAATGGTGTTCGATCTTATTTCATTACATACCTTTGTTTGTCTACTGTATCTATCTTCCAATATTTTATGCAGTTGTAATCTTTTTTCCAAGACAATGTACGAATATATGGGATTATTCAGTAGTATTCTGCGGAGGAGCATGTTATAATTATTCCGACCCATTCTTACCTACTTTTGATTGGCTGTTTCATTATGCATTATCACTTTTGATTATATTATTTGCTAATCTGCTGCTTTTTTATCGAGTTATCTATCAAAAACTGCGACAACTAAGACCAATAGATTGGCATCGCCAAAGACGAATGATCATTCAGTTGCTTTTTATTTCTACAACATTTATTATTTTACAATCTCCATCAATTGTCATTGGTGTTATTGAAGCATTATGGTCACCAACTTTTGCTTTTGATATACAATACAATTACTTCGCTTATCTTTATTATTTTATTAATCAACTTTTACCATTTGTTATTATTGGTTCATTACCTAATATGCGGAAAGAAATTCAGCAATGGTTTCAACGTATCAAAAGACGTCTAGATGAGCAACCACGTATTCATCCAGGCACAACAATTGCCTAAATACTGATTGAGATTGTAGGTTATCAAGACATACACCTATTTGTTTTATGTTGTAACATCATGTATTTCCGATTCATCAACAAATCTAAAACTTACCTATTATCAATAATAAATAAATATGATTAATTAATCACTACTATAGTCATGTTTTGATATCTGAGAGGAGCATCGTATTTATTTTCATTCATATTCTAAAACAAAGAAATGATCACATAGACTGTGTCTAAAAACATCGATCTATTGAATTTTGCTTTGCATGCATAGTACAATCAATATAGTCTTCTGAATATTATTTGATTCTGTTTCTTGAGAAAAATATCTCCATTCGATTTTATGATTGAGTGACAATATACATTTTAAACATCAATGAAAGAAGAGTCATCCATACTTTGTTAATTATAACCAGAAATGCAATAGTCATACCTATTATATATCATTTTATATTACTAAAATAATCATAACAAAACATTAAATATAGTTTCTATAAATCAATTCTCCCATTGAAAGTGACATCTTTATTTTTTCATTCTTTTCTTCCTACAAGTAATTACAACATCACGTAAAGTAATATAACGCATGACGAATATGTATTTATTAAATTGGAAGAGAAAAACACATTATACAATCAAAAAATAAAGCGACACAACACGTATTTCATCAGCAGTCTATAATGGCAAATCAAACTATCACCAGCTTCCTCATGTTACCAGTAGAACTTGTCTACCGAATTCTAGATCACCAGACGCCTTACACAATTCTCTGCTCAATGAGAAACGTATGCCAACGATTCAACAGCATTATAGACAGTTATTATCCATATCAGGTAAACTTTTCTCTACTGGCTCTTGAATAATTTTTCATTCCTACAATCTCTATTCAAGTAGAATGATTTCAATAAAATAAATGTGAATAAACTATTTATCACTCAAAATAATTCATCAGTTATCAATCTCTCCCCCCAAAAATTCATTTTTTCAATTATAACAATATGAATATAATTCCTATTTTCTTTTCAATCTTAGCTAAATATTACACGTGTCAAACCAGGTTTAATTTCATAAACATTCAATGTTTAGATAAGAACAAAAATAAAGGGACAACACATTGTTATTTGCTTTTTTACCTGTATCTAAACACTTTTTTATCTACCGTTTTGATATGAACAACCAGATTTCGAAAGAGAGTAACAGTCTATAAACTAGTTTATCTAGTTATAAGTAACGTCCGAGATATTTCCTTGAGAAATATCTATGCTTTCTATCTAGACATTCACCATACTGAATATCAGTGGAAAAGGAATTGGAGACCTTGGCGCACAACATCTAGCTGATTCATTACGAAACAATACAGTAATTGTTATTATCTTTTCGTCTGTATCTTGTCTTTATTTTCACTTTTTCATCTAGACACTCATCACACTATGTCTCGCATATAATTCAATCGGCGATGATGGAGTAGAACATTTGGCTGATGCTTTACAATACAACACAGTAATCGTCATACTGTTCCCATCTGTATCGTGTCTTTATTTCCACGTTTTCACCTAGACACTCACCACACTGAATCTTAGTGGAAATGCAATTGGAGAGACTGGAGCACAATATTTGGCCGATGCATTACGACACAACACAGTAATTGTTATTCTCACTTCATCTATATCGTATTTTTCGCTACATTTTTTATCTAGACTCTCACCACATTAGATGTCGGACATAATGAAATCGGAGAGACTGGAACAGAACTTTTGAGTGATGCATTGCAGCAAAACACAGTAACCTTTATTCTCTCTTCATCTGTATCATGTCTACTTTTTCACTTATTCACTTAGACACTCACCACACTGAATCTCAGTTCAAATGGAATCGGAGCGCTTGGAGCGCAACATTTAGCTGATGCATTACGACACAACTCAGTAGTTATCATGTTCTTCCCATCTGTCTCGTATTTTCCCTGCATTTTTCATGTAGACACTTACCACATTAGATGTCGGACATAACGAAATTGCAAAGATTGGAGCACAACATTTGGGTGATGCATTACAACACAACACAGTAGTTCTCATTCTTTCTTCATCTATAACGTGTGTTTACTTCCACTTTTTATCTAGACACTCACCGTACTAAGTCTCATTCGAAATAGAATCGGAGACGTTGGATTACAATATTTTGCTGCGGGATTACGACACAACGCAGTAATTCTCACTTTTTCTTCACCTGTATCATGTCTTTATTTTCATGTTTTCATTTAGACACTCACCACACTTAATCTTGCTAGAAATGGAATCGACGGAGTCGGAGCACAATATTTGGGTGATGCATTACAACACAATACAGTTATTCTCATTCTCTCTTCATCTGTATCATATTTTTATTTTCACGTTTTTATCTAGACACTTACCACACTAAACCTCAGTGGAAATGGAATCAGAGAGGTAGGAGCACAACATTTGGCTGCAGGTTTACGACACAACACGGTAATTGTCAATGTCTCTTTATCTATACCATCTATCAACCTGCATTTTTTTTATCTAGACACTAACTACGCTATATTTCCAAAATAATGGAATTGGAGATGTTGGAGCGCAATATTTAGCTGATGCATTACAACAAAACACAGTAATTACCATTCTGTCTTTATCTATATCACGCTTTTACCTTCATTGTTTTGTCTAGACGCTCATCACACTAAATCTTGCTGGAAGTAGAATCCGAGAGGTTGGAGCACAACATTTGGCTACGGGATTACGACAGAACACAGTAATTGTCATTCTCTCTTTATATTTACTATGTCTTTGTTTCAATATTTTTATCTAGACACTCACTACACTAGATCTTTGGGAGAATGAAATTGGAGACGATGTTATACACGAAATTGATCAGCTTGTTGCATGGAATAAAAGTGGAAGAAAACGGTGAATGCTAATAGTAAATGTTTGTCGATAACAAACACACATCTGGTGATCATGACACGAATTTTTTTCTTGTGTTGTAGTTTACGCAAAAACAGTAAATAAAACTGCTAGTTTTATGACCGAATGTGTATTCTGATGAAAGGTTTTGCTTAGCATATCTCAAAAAATGTAGGTATGATGCCCCAAAAAAAGGAGCCTTGACAGAAGTAGTGCGTGACTCTGCAGAACGTGCAAGACCAAGCTCTGGTTCTGTATAACAGTAGTAAAACTGAAAAAGGCTATGTTCAGTGAGACTGTTCTAGACAAGATTTCCTAGGATGGTGACAAAACTTTGAAAGAGCCTTGTGGGTGCCGTAAAATGAGACAAGGTACCAAAGTGATCATAATAAAATCCCAAGCAATTCTTACCTGTGATGCTGAAGCAAAATATTCTGTCCGATAATACTTAGATGGAAATGTTTTTTTTTTGAATAATGCTGAACCGTAAAATGTGTAGTTTCAATTAGTTAGATAAATAAAATATTACATTACATTGGTGCTGAATTCAGAAAGATTTTGTAGCTGAGTGACTGAATCATCAAGAATTTTTTGAAAGAAACAAAGGCTTAGTAAGTATGAAAACCCTTTTTCCAACGTGTTTTTGTATGTGTTTAAAAGCACTATCGCATTTAGTTATATTCTTTTTTTTAACTAACTGCATAGTATGATTCTAACAGTATGTTTAATTGTATTTTTTCGCAATTAAAACAAGGCACATTTATTGTTCCTCGAGTTTAAGTATAGAAATGTTCTAAAGTGTTACTTTAAGATGTCATTCTGCTATATGATTATGATTAATAAATAAACTTTAACAAAAAGTGTGTTATAATAAATAACGAGATCATTTCAAATCAAGAATTCGAAGTCGGAATAATAAATATAAGGAAACCTCAGTATCAAAATATTACGTGTGAAAATAAATCAGGTAAAATAGAACGTTCATTTAAAAACTGATGTATTAATAGAATAATCTAAATATTATCTTTAGAAGACAATTAAATAGTTATAATTTAAACTTTAATCTCTGAAATTTTTAACATATACATATTAGTAAATGAAATTGATCCGAATCAAAATAAACATTTTCATTTATTGTTTACAAAACAATCGTTTAACTGTTGATCTCACGAATTAATAAGATGTATTTATTGAAATCTGAAATTTCTTACATTGAAAATATAAACACACAATCCAGTATATTGCAGATATTACACATAAACAAAATTATTTAATATGACTATATAATACTATTCAGTTTTAACTGATGTTTGAAATCGTTTTTGTGCTAGATTTAATCGTGCAATCTTTTGATCTTTGGTTAATACAGGCATTGCTCGACTATTACGAATAAGTGTGATAATACTGAGTAAAATTTCAATTAAGATTAATGTTAAACTGATTCCTGCAAGAAGCATTTCTAGACGTTGAGCGTATGATTGCAATATAAGAAAGAAAACAAAACCAATTGCACAACATAATCCATAGAAAATAGAAATAATTAGAAGGGCATTATTTAACATTAAATTGCCTTTAATACAAAAAAATTGACGAAATAAATCATTGAAACAAACCATAAATACCAAAGAAATTTCAATACCGAATGCATTAGAAGCATATGTTAAATGGAAATTTTTAAAAGTAAAAAGAAGAATTTCCATAATAAACCAAAAGATTGTATAAGGTAGATTTGCATGTAAAAGAATATGAAGAGCCGTACTTGATTGATCAGATACAGTAAGAAACATGTTTCTAAAATAAAGTAACTTATTATAAGATATTTTACTACTATATATATAACTTAGATAAAATATAAACATTATATATTTTTTCAAAGTTTAACTATCAATATGTGTTATACATTATTGAAAGATATATTCGACAATCTTAGAAAAATAAATATAATAATCATTTAGTTTAAAATCTCAAATTAAATGTCTAATAGACATTGCTAAATAGATAGTCATATATAAGAAATAAATTCGAGCTATTCTATCTACCATGACAGTTTGCATTGTTAAAGTAACACCTCTTTATCACGTTTTCTACGTGTCTATATAATACGCCATCTATTTTATGTTTTACTTTATTCTGCTTGTCGTAAATGAACATACATGGAGAACACAAGTAGTTCATATTGTTATTTTGCCTAAGAATAGGTACTTAAAATATTTCTTAGTACAACACATACATAGCAAATTCGTAAGAGAGAAAATAATATAATACAGTCACTGTGTGAATTTCAACGAATATTTTGTAATTGATTTATCTTAGAATGATTATTACATATGATATTTTTTCAATGGCATGTAGATTATGTCATTCAACATTGTTGTTACGAAATATCGATATGCACTATTTATATTTACGATAGAAACTATTTTAATTACTGTCAATATATATATTGTGCACTTGTTGATAAATACACAATCATAAAATACAGTTAACACAGTTGTGTACAAAGGCATAGTATTTATACTTAAATATATACTATATGTATTGTTTTGATGTATCGTGAATCGAAAAGCATCAAAACTTGATTGAGCTATTTACCAGGTATCAGAATACAAAAAGAGTAAATCATGTTTACTTTAATGATTTCTTGTTATGAGACAAACAAAAATGAATGAAGAATATGAGAGGTGTGTATGTTTATTTGTTAGCATTACATTAACATCGTGTTACTCATCATCTATCATGGTATAGAGATGGTTTTCTAGACATCCTACAACATCATCGAATATATCTCGATTAAGTTTATTTATTGTAGATTTAATCAGCTTTAAAACAGAAAATTGTATCTCATATCTACAAAAAAAACTGAGTATAAGAATAAAAAAAGCGTTAAATTCTGTTAAACTTTATACTTAATTATCTCAAATTTGTTTCTTTAGCTCGCTCGATATGTCTGTAAGTCAGTCAGTCCAACACTAAAGCCGATCATTTAATTAGTTTCCATGTGATTAATTCAACATGAATTATTTCGACATAATTTCATTCTATCAGTTTTTAATGAGACTCTTTCAGTTCTTCAGTCGATCTAGTGAGATTCTATTGTTGTAATTAATTGATCGAATGTTTAATAATCCAAGAAAGGGTAAATTATAACTTTCACTCGAAAAAACTATACGTATTATAGTGACTAACGGTGACATCTGTTTTAGAAAAAGCTTATATTTAGCTTCGTTCATTCTTAAAAGGAACAAGTATAACTGTGTCTGAGCGCGGGTGCTCACTGTATACAAAGAGAACTAAGAAAAGGATATAGTTTCAAAATAATAATTTCATATCCTGAAGTGTATTTATGTACATTAGCAGTTATTTTATTGGCTCATATCCGAAAGCCATACATATTCGTGAGTGCAATCAGTATGAATATAAGGTAATCTGAATTTTTCGTGTGCATGAGTCAAAATATAATAGTTTTTTACTTAAATTATTTTTTGTTTTTTTAATGCTTTTAGCAAGATTTGAACATTTCTGAACGAGAACTAACAATGAATAATGAAATCTGTTCTTTATTTTATTTTTTCGGAATATTTGGGGACTGTTTTACATTACTACAGAATTTATGAGGAAAAATGTGATCTCAACATAATCAACTAAAATTTACTCTTATTTACCATGAAAGCATATATGCTAACATGAATAACTTACGTGTTTATAGTAATTCTTAGCATAGTTTGATGAAGTATTTCTTTTTTTCATTTCTTTTTAGATCACTATGCATTCTTCATTGTTTTGCATTTCTGTTTTTTTTCTAACATTCCTTATTGTATTTACTCAATCCACACGTGTAGCTGATCAAATGTATGTATCATTTGATCGTGCACGTTATTGTGTTCGTCATCTTAATGGTACACATGAAATCGGTTGTCAGTCATCTATGAGAGGCAACTCCGGTCGAATGTATATGATTGATAATGAGAATGAATTTAATTCGTATCTTAAAGATAGTAAAACAATTGATTCATCCAATTCATTTATTATTGCGCTTAATATCGAGTTATTTAATTCCGAATATGTTGATAAATTAATGAATCGTCTTGATTCAAAATTAAATGGTCTTGTAATTTATTTAAAATCAAATCTATCTCGACCTAAAGATTTTTCACATGATGATCAATGTCCAAATCATCGTCAATCTTATTATTTAAATCAAACTGAAACAGTTCATTGGAATCCGAAAGGAACTGGTTTATTTTTTCGTTCATTTCCATTTCCAATTGTATTACTCGATGAAAAAGATGATTATGAACGCTTAGATAAATTTTATCGTCAATTTTATAATACTCAATCATCACCAACATGTGGTCTAGAAGTAAAAGCATTTCAAAGTGCTGCACATACATCGAAAACATGTATGCGTAGAAATGAAATATCACATTCATTACTTGATGCTGTCGATGGATTTTGTGATCCTGTTGGTGGTTTAAATATCTATAGTAAATTACCTGATTCATTAACTCTTGTACCAAAACAACGACAACCAAAATCAGTTGTTCTTATTTTAGCAACAACAGATAGTTTTCAAATGTTTTTGAAAGCACAAGGTACAACAGGTGGTGCACAACAACCAGCAACAGCACTCATAACATTTCTTGCACTTGCTCATGTTATTGGACAAGAACAAAAAGAATTTAATAAACAAGATAAAGAAATTATATTTGTTACACTTGATGGTGATGCATTAGATTATTCAGCTTCATTTCGATTTCTATTTGATATGAATAATGATTATTTTCCAGCTGGTGATAAAAATGAGCAACGTATTAAAATAGAACATATTCATTCTATTATTGAATTTCAATCATTAAGTTTTTCTAATAATCTTTCTGTAAGTAAATTATTTTAAACTTTGAATCATTAATTCACTGTTGTTGTTGTTTTGAATTCTAGCTTTATGCATATCCATCATCACCATCGATAATAAATGAAACATTTATCGCAACATTACTTGAAAATAATCCAATGATTACTCGAATGAATGCTAATTCTCCTCTACCACCAGCATCTTCACAAATTTTTCAGCGTGAAACATCATCATTATCTTTTCCAACCTATATTCTAACATCAACAAATGAAAATCAATTATTAAATCATTATTATCATTCATTTTTTGATGATCCTTCAACATTATCAATTAATATATCATCATTAGAATATAATACAACTACTGAATTCAGTCAATGGATTAAAAGTATTGTTGAACCATTAGCTCAAACATTACTTGATTCATATGTTGGTAATAATATAACAAATGTTACTATTGAACAAGAAATTATAAATAATCTTGTTTATTGTGTTTTAAAAAATGTAAATTGTCCTCTTATTCATAATGTTTCAAATGAATCAATTGGAAATTCATTTGATGCATTCGAACAAACATCATTACCTTTTTCAATAAATACTTATCCAACAGCAACAACACCAACATTTCCTTTTGTACAAAATATACTTAGTTATTTTTTACGTGATCGAGAATATGATAAACAAAATTTAACTGAAACAAAATGTTTAGAACAGAAAAATAATGATACTCTTCGATTGTATAGATATGTTGGTGGATATGCACCATCAATAATATCTGAACAAAATTATTCTGGATACTGTGTTCGATCATATTTACGATATGCACCGTCATCTTCACCAGCGTTTAGTATTGATAATTATGATCTATCACAAACAACCTATCCAGCATGGACTGAAAGTCGATGGACAACTTTTACTTTACGGTTGTTTATTATTCCAACAAGAACACATGAAATAGTTACACTTATTATTGGTATTCTATTACTTACGATTTCATTTATTGTCTTTTCTGTATTACGTTGGTATGTAAAGCTTGATTTATTACAACCGTCTTCATCGTGATTATTGCAAATAATTATTATATTTAATGGGAATGTACTTTTTTGATTTTGTTGCCCGTCCGATTTTGTACTTTCCATAATTCAGATTATATCATTGTTTATCTATTCTGTAATTATTAAAATAAATTTTCAAAATATTTATATATATTATAATAGGTAAATGAAATATCAAAACATTCAAATGTTTTTCAGTTAAATGATAACTAAGAATTCAACTGTGAGTGTGTGTGTGTGTGTGGGCGCCGATATGGGTGTAGGTAACATGATAAAACCCACTACCACAGCCACCAAAACGAATGATTTACATTTGTGATTATTAGTTTAAATATAATTAAAATAACTAAATATTATGAAATTTGAATATATTTTCTCTAATAATGTATCTGCTCACCAACTATTAAATTGATTTTTGAATAGTTTTGAAAGAATTCTATTTTATAATTCGTATGATTTGATAATAAAGAAGAAAATATACATTGTTTCTATGTGTCTTAATTTATGAGTTGACATCAAGATTAAACTAATAATCATTCTCTTCTATTGACGTCAACATATGTTTTTGACTTTTATTTTTCATTCAAATCTTTTTTTTATTTAAAATGTTATTTGAAATAGTTCTATCATTGAAAAATATCAAGAACAAACGATTTTATTAAAATACGAATATTTTTTAGATTGCGGGTGTAGCTGGAATAGAATACGCACACTCTCACCCTCATTGGCCCCACACCCTGGATGTATGATCAGTAGAGCCCGTCGGGTCCGCGTTTTTCTGGATCCGGACCCGATGCCCGGTCCGGGCTGGACCCGATTTCGACGAGCACTAGTCTGAACTCGAACTGTACCCTTAGAAAATTTTTTAGTCTTGACTATCCAAAACCAAAACTGAGGAGCAAAAAAAAAGGTCTTTGATTTGGCTTTCTGAAGACCTATCAACCAGTTTTCAAATCCAAAATGCCATTTTCATGTTCATCGAGTAGTATAAAAATATCATGTTGATAATATATTTCTTTTTATCCGGACTCGGTCAGAAAAAGCTTCGAGACCCGGACCCGACGGGCTCTACGTCCAATACAACATTTGCTTGGTCAGTCAGCATCTCCATCTTCATATCATCCAAATGCTGGTTCAATAACTCCAACACAATCATCAGCTCGTCGAATAAATTCCTCGTTATCAAAACAACAGCCTCAATCATCAACTGGTTCATTAATACGAACGAAGAATCATGAAATTAATATTTAGTAAAATATATAAGATAATATTTGTTTCTTTATTTATACGATCTATTCTATGGTTTTCTTTTCTTTTTTGTTATTATATAAAAGTATATTTCTAGATTTATTCTACACACATTTTCAAAAACGAAAAACAAAACTTGCAATAAAATTATGAATTCAATTCAAATACCATCTTGAGGGTGTGGGTGTGAGTGCTAGCGTGAGTCTTTTGGTCCGTTACATCCATACCCACACCCACACCCTCAAGTGCTTCTAAATTAGCAATACAAGACTTAATTCAAAAAGAAATTAATTTTGAAGAACAAAATCAACTTAATAAACATGGTGTAGTAGCATAAATTAATCGTAACCATTTTACAGTAGCTATGATAGGTGCTGAATCATCAATGAGTAATGCTGAAATTAATAAATATGAAATGATTACTGGTATAGTAAAATACTTACGTGAATTAGGTAAACTACAATAATTACAAGATGATGGTCGTGATAGTCGGTGGTCAAAATTAACATCGTGGGGTGTAGAATAGGTGAGAGTGTGGGTGTGTGTCTCTTAGTCCGTTGCATTCACACCCACACCGTAACTATATTAAAGTATATTTCTAGATTTTTTCCATACAGGTTTTTACAAATTCAAAAATCAAATTAGCTTCTAATCGAACGGTCATGCTTGAAACTAAAAAAAAATGGACCAACGACAGTTGGGTGTGTAGGTGAGTATGAATATAACGCAGCAAAAGACTCACGCTGTTACTCACACCCACCTGCACCCAAATTTTTAGAATGTATTCAAAAAGTATAGTGTATTTCTGTTCATTTTTTTTAATCGTTTCTTTCTTTGTCGTTTATTTGTTAACTAATTACAATAAAAGATTAAAGAAAGAGCTAAATTAAATAATTCATTTTTTATTTTTTTATAAAATGAAAAACGATAATTAATAGTTAATATTTCTTCATACTAGAGAAATATTATTAGGCTATAAATACAACATTTATTATATCTTTAGTTTATTGAATAGATCAAAACGAGAATACATCTACTTATACAACGAAGGAAAATAAAGACATAAATCTTCCGAATGTACCACTGGGATTATCGAAGTTATTTTTTTCACCTTCGCACAATTGCGTCGTGTTTCTTCTCTTGTAAAATCTTTCGTTACAGCTTTTAAATCATCGTCAAATGAAAATACAAATTCCGTCAGACAAGGTACAAATGTCTTTGTTTCATTTAAAAATTGTTCAGCATAATCTATATGTGAAAACTTGACATCGAGTATAGTCAGATGAGGATATTCAATAATTGAGTGTAATTGACAATTGTCAGATGAAAATGTCACATGACCATCCAATTTTTGTGATTGTTGATTCCGAATACATAAATGCTTCAGTAACGGAAACGATCGGGTAATTCGCATGAAGAATTCATGTTCGAATGGAAAAATATCTTGTATAAGTAAATAGGTAACATAACTAAATACAATATTTGGAAAGTTATTGCCAAGATCTTGAAGATAGTTAAATTCAAAAGGTAGTGAGAAAATTGAGCATGCAGCTCTGACACCATAAACAAAATTGACACTAGAAGTAACATAATTGACCATACTACTAACATGTTGTAGCCCAGTATTTGTTAATGTTAGTTGAATATCTTCACTAGATAACTTGTAGGGTAAAGCAGCAATTGGACCAACATAAGTACAAATATAGAAAGTGAATGAACGAAGTTGTGGCATATAATCCAAAATATCATGTTGAACAAAAGCAACACCAATAACTTTATTTCGACCTTCTACAGAAATATGTAGAGTTAATTTTTCCAGAGTAGACATACGACGAAGAAGTAATACCATGTTATCATATTGTTCAGATGGATAGGACGATTTTAATGAGAAACATTTTAGATTCAATAATTGATCCTCAAAAAAGAAAGAAATATTTTTTTTGATAATCCAGAAGATTAAGTCATAGGCATCATTATTTTACACATGGTATATGATCTATATTTTATATGTGAATGACCACAAATAACAAATCTATTATTTTGATTTTCTCATTTTATAACACAACAAACGAGTGTTAAAAGAACAGCTAAAGTTTCAGACCGCAAAATTTCAAGCATATCTCAATTATAGGAAAAATTGTTATTACAGAAAAACTTTCGTTCGATTCTATGCTGATGATCATTCACATACGATAATATTTAATCAATCATGAAACAGAGTAATCTAATGTTTAATGTGAAACTTATCTGATAAAATATTATATAATTATACTTTCTATTAAGTATAAACTAAATGTTGATGATTTAATGTATTCCTCAACACGTAATTCTTTTTTCTCCTTATCAAAATGAAACTTGACCATTCGATATCCTGTCTGAGTTTTCTAAGATCAATCGTTAACTGCATTGAAATAGTGATAATCTTCATGGCATAAATGAAATTATTTATAACTTACCATATTGTGAATACCTTTTGAAAATGTGTCTATATGATGGACATTAATACACAATGTTGTCAATTTTCTAAGTCGACCATCAAGTAAATAAAAACAATCATCAAAAGTGTCCACATTGATATATAAATGAGTAAGAATCGAAGATGAGAAACTAGTCGATGGTAAATAATGAAGTGATAAAGGTGGATATGATCTAAAAGATGGTTCCATGATACTTAATTTTTTTAAATTTTTGAAAAAGGTCAAGATGCGATCATATGCATTTTCAGTATAAATTTCCGGTAAACTTTCCATTTTGTATCTATCACTATTGATAAGAATAAGATTTGTAATTTGTTCTTGAAAAATAGATCGAAGAGATGATTCATCTAAAGGAGAAAAGTAATGCAGTGAAACATACTATAGTCTTTTCCTTTTAACACCTTTATTATTTCTCAACTAATCAAATTCATATCAAAAACTTACTTGTAAAATAATTTGCAGCGATTTCTTGTTGAAATTGAAAAATTGTAAGTACAGTTAAATTCGGATAGTGAATGGCAAGAAGAATACGTTCCATAAAAACTGGATCAAAAACAAAACATTTCACATTATGATGAATTCTTGGTAATATATCGATGCAGAATCGATCGATGATAGAATTATTATCAATGGAAACAAACTTTAGAATGTTACTGAAAATGTATTCTTGTGCAAGAATTTTAAGGCGTTCATTGTTAATATCAAATAAAAAATAAAGCACATCAATATTGTTCAAGTACTTCAAAATAATAAGTAATATTTCATCAGGTAAATCCAGAAGATGGGCATTTGAACGGTTCATATTTTATTATGACTATGATGTTTTTGACTAAGATAAAGTTTTATATGCATACATATTTATTCATTGTTTGTATCTAATGACTTTGACGTCAAACAGAATGAAAACAATAAAACGAAGTGAGCAACATGATTGGTCTATTCGAAGTTAAATCAGCTTTTTTAGACGATTTATTCGTTCATTCAGTCTGTTTGAACGTTTTATGCCATTGTCAAATTCAAAGATGACACATTGAGAAGAAGAAAGGATATATTTTTCTTATAACAGAGTCAGTTGAATTTTATTCGTTTAGTATTTCTTACATTCGAGAATTTTGTCAGTTTGAAATCAAATCTGAAATTTTTTGCAAAAAGATAGTTTTTTTAGGATCTTAGGTCTTTTAGTTATAAGGAAATTTTACTACATGTTACAATGTGTAGATTTGAATGTGATCTAGGTACACTACATACACACACACATATGCACTGTGAATCTGACGTTTCCTGTCCACATGAAAACGTTATTAAGCCATTTGATATGAAGTATAATTCCGTCACTGTTCCACTAACATTTTTTCATGATAGATAAAAAAAGCGTTAATAATAAGTTTAGAATTCATGGAAACGAGAAAATAAACTTTAAGAAAAGTATGCATTGTCAAGATAAGGATACATACGTACAACGTTACTTTTCATCAAGAAAGATGAAAGAAAAAAGGATCTAAAACATAGACGGTGATTTGGGCATGAAAATTCTTGAGAAACGATTGATATTGACTTTCAATTTGTGTACAAACGAAAATTTAATCGTTGAAACCATATGTAATAAGATGTGTTTAAATAATAGTTCGAAGTTTGATCTTTATCTTGAAAAAGGTTATCCTTATAACAATTAGAATAAACAGTTTTTTTTATCTGACGTGAGTTAGATAATCGTTTACAAATATCCGCTTCTATTTTCGAATTAGTTGTATATGTGACTATAATCGGTGTATACTTTGCATTATTGTACAATAGAAGAAGAGATAAAGTACAAAATGAGAAAAACAGAACTATCAACAATATTTCACAGATAAAAATGAAAAATAAAGAAAATTATTTAGTTTTTACTCATACTCATAAAAGATCTTAAAAATAAGAAAATATTAACGTTTCTAAAATATTCATTTCTAAATCCACTTGCAATAGAAATTCCTAATTGACCATTATACTTCAATTGATTTTCTTCACTATTTCATGATAACAGACGTCAAATAAGCTCGATATAAATAATCTAAGAAATATTTCTACTTTTTAATTTACTAACTGAAGTTTGTTTTCTGATTTTTTTAAAATATGAAGAGCTTTATTTCATGTTTTATACTTATAAAATGAATATTATGAACACGCAATATAATATCATTACTATCATATTAATCACATTGATATTTAATTATTATTTTTGTTTGCTTTTCAACTGTCTATCATATACTTCACTTTTTTATGATTAAATCTTCAAATAACTTTCTATTAATCATATGAATAATCATTGCACCAAAATATAGTTGACGTAGTGCAGGAGAAAAACATCGTTTCATATTCGTTCCGCCTCATAACATTTACACTTTACTGCTAAGGTCTATCTAATGTGAATTATATTAGTATTTATATATGAGAACGAAAAAAGTATCACCATTAAACGACCTTCTTTATCGATGATTTCGCTGTTATTAATGCTTTAAACATAAAAAAAAGATATTTTCTTTCGATTATAAAAACCTTCTCATAATTAAACAAAAATAATCATATTTATCAATTTGATTAAAATAAAACTATGTTAATGCAACAATACAATCAAATATTATCTAGGTAAATTATTTTTTTTATTAATGAACAAAGTCAACTAGAATGAAGCAGTTTTATAAGAAGAACATCAGTGAATGGATAAGATGAGTTCTCTTTCAAATAAAAACAATCGATTCAGACACTATAGTATATTTAGTTTTCAAGGATTATTCAATCCCATCCGATTTTAGAATGTTGAATATGATTAACTAAATTGTATAACTGATCAACTTATATTTTACGTAGATCTGGTTGGGCCGTTCCACTTGCAATATGCTGTATTTTGTCCACACTTTTAATAATTGCTGGAACAATCATTCTTTCATTAATTCCAGTTTATGTAACACCAAAAGATATCAATCATAATGCATTATCAAGTATATTTCTGCTTGTATATTTGTAGAACAATTTTTAATTACTTTTCTTTTTAGATAAGATCTCTTTTTATACTATCTATGCTTCGGATATGATTGACGGTCGATCACTTACATTATCTGACACAGATGATTTGTCTTTACAGGTTTATTATCTCTCATTTAATTATTTTATTTAGTATAAATTCTATTTATTTAGATGGAGAAAAATATTCCACGTTTAAATAAGATGATGAGCATTAAGTCACTTCGATTTTTACCTCAGGCAGTATCGACTAGAAGTAAAAGACAAACATCAGACAGGTTAGTTTTTAAAAAATAACGATTATCTAAATGGTTTTTTCAATTTTCTAGTACGATCATTTGTGAACAAAATACAGGACTAACTGGTGATTTATTTGCTACCAATGATGAAGTTCAGTTATCATCGACATGTCATTCATCAAATTGCCATCAAGGACATCTTGAAAAAAGTGAAAATACTATTCGAAATAATAATAATCGTCTTACTGTTAACATGAAATCTACTGACAATAAAACACGCATTGTCAACTTAGCATTTTGTGGATTTTCCACAACAGGTAGATAAAATTCTAAATATGAGTTCTGACATTATTTATATTGATTTAATTTAGATCCTTACGATCGAATAACAAGTGCAACAAAATGTACATCAGAAACATCAACTTATGTTTATTTATTAGATCAAGATAGTAATTTGTTTCAGTTTCATCCTGAAACATTTACTGTGACATTTATTGCCATGATAAACTGTTCTGCTACTGCCTATCCATATTCTATGGCTATTCAACGTAATGGTACAGCTTGGGTTTTATTTACTGATGGAAGTTTATATACTTTTGATGTTACAAATGTTCAATGTCGAACAACAACATATGTTGCTGAGCAGGAAGGTTTGATTCTTTTTGGAATGCATTTTGCTACAGATGGATCAAATAATAATGAAAAACTTTATCTTAGTAGTGATTCTTCAAATCCTCCATTTCGTCTAGCAACTCTTGATATTGATACTCTAGAAATTTCTATTATTGGATATTATGAAACTATTAGTGCGCGTGCAGAATTAACAGGCACAAATGATGGAAAATTATTTGGTTTATTCGAAGGTGCACCTTATATTATTGCTGAAATAAATCGAACAAATGGTGAAATCTTATCAAAAACATCACAAGATATGATACAATATACTTCTGATTCATCAAATTTTGCTTTTACAACTTATTCATCAAACTTTTTTCTATTTGTTGGTGATAATAGCTTTACAGACATATTTATTTATAATTTATCGACTAAAATAACAACGAAGACGACTAGAATATCTAATGGAATTGTTGGTTCAGCAGTTTCGACATGTTTATAACTATATTTGAAAAAAACAAGAACAAATGATAACGAATAGTTTTATATTGTTATTTATTGTTAAACTAATCTACAAAAAAATAAAACGTGATAAAAATAAGTGGATACGTATGAATAACTATGTATAAAAACAATATATAAGCCATAATGTTAACTTTTACCTGGACAATATTGATCTGATTTGTGATTAATCAGAACGATAGCTGTCAGAAGTTGAACAAAAACAATTGAAAGATATAATAGCTATTTTTTTATTGTTAATTCAACTTGATTTTTCTTATAAACGAGAAGAAAAACCACTTTCAACAGTTTTCATTCATGCATTATTCCCATAAATCTTTCAAACTAATATTATTCTTTATGACGTAGTGCATGTCATTTTGTATTCAATATTGTTCTATATTACACTATAATATGATAGATACTAAAATCTTTATTTCGTTGTATTTTATTTTTAATAATTTTATAGCAAGTTCACATGTATATATCTAATCAATCTTTGTTAAATGCAACCGAGTTTTTAATATTATGAGAACATAAGTAAAGATCAATAACAAAGATTATATTTTCATATTTATTAAGCAAATAATATAAAATAATTCTTGCATATGTCGATGTAGTATTATTCTTATCACTGCACTTAAAAACCATCTGTATATTTCTATCGTAGTTCAACTATAAAGAAGGAATAATCCTATTTTTAATACTTCTTTTATATTCATAAGTATCATCATTAATCTGCTTAATACACATATTTTCTTTGATCTTCTATAATATCTCATCGATAAATACAAATGATTCGTCTATTTTTATCTTTTATCGACACTAAAAGCTCACGCACATCTTTAACTCTTGATTTATCTATAACAATACGTCATACTTTTAGTTTTCTTTCCTTCCCATTTTAATAATCAACATAGGTTTTTTTAGTTAAGTAAATATAAGACTATGTTCCACAAATTTCCACCGCATTTGCTCATTTATTTGATCATAAAAAGAAGGAATAACATAACTGTATTTTACTAAAGAAGACAAATTTTGAATAGAAAACAATGGAAACCGATTTGATATCCAATGGGACTATAAATGGAAATGTTAAAGCACTTCGAAATATGTGGAGTATAAAAGCTCAAGAACAACAAACATCATCTCAACCACGTTCTAAACAACAAAAAATATCTTCAAAAAACAGTATACCAACTTTCAAAATTACACATGAAACAATTCAAAACAAATCATCAATTAGTTCTAATAATGAAGGTAAGACATTTAATTAAAATACCGAGTCTTTAGAAATTAAATTTTTTAGAAACACTTTCGACTCAATCGGTAAAAAAATTATCATCACTTGATCAACGTATTTCTCTACCAATTACAGCAGCAACACCACCACCACCACCAAAAACAACTTCAGTCATTTTTAAACATCAAGTTCAAACTGTTTCAACTCTTAAACAGTCTATAAACAAAATGACTACAAATGTAAAGAAGAATATTCCTCCGAAAAATTCTAAACATAATGGTAATCGTCTTTGGTATGTAACTCGTCATGTTTTTCATAGTGGTTTTATATTTAATCGTCCAAGACGAGCATCAGATAGTATCTTACCATTATTAATGAAAAAATATTTAGTTAAACAACAGTCTCATAGAGATAGTATAGATAGTACACTTAGTGCAAAACCATTTGAAGATTTTATTGATTATTTAGCTTATGATAAAGAAAATAGTGTAAAAATATCACAAAGAATCAAACGCACTAAATCGGATATCAGCGATTGTATGCGAAGTAATACATTAGATGATACTATATTACAATATGAAATGATACTTCAACGTGTGAAAAATTATGAACAATTTATGACAATGTATCCTAAAACAACACCGCCTATTTTAAGACAACGAGAAAAATCAGTTGATAATGATTTAATAAATACTGGAAAATTAACAAAAGAAAAATTACTTCCGAAATCACCAATTTCAATTCGACAAACACAATCTTTATCAAGAAATATGGGACATACATTTTCAAATTTTCTTATGAATGATCTTATGTTATCACCAACACCTAAATCACAAATGAATGTTCAACATACTTTAAGTTTATCGCATGCATCATCACAAACAGATCTTTATGAACCGGCTCTTAACGACAACAAAGAAGAAACTAATTATTCAACGAAAATAATTAAGAATGATGAAATCGAAAGCTTTAATTCAATATCAAATGAAGAAGTTAAAGAAGTTTTAAATGAATTTGATACAATGCTTGTTCAAGAATTACCAAGAACACCCGATGCTGATGCAAATATTAGTGTTCAAGAACCACCACCAACAACGCCCAATACTGATGTAAATGTTCAAGAAGTACCAATAACACCCAATATTGAAGTAAATGTCGTTGTTCAAGATATACCACGTTTACCCAAGCCAGAAGCAGTAAAGGAAAAAAATATTTGTTTGATAAAATCAGTTAATAATTTATTATTTATTCTAGCCATTAACAGCAGCACAATTACTTATGAAGCGTTTATTCGAAGGAAAAAAGAGTGCATATAGTCCAAGTGATCTTAACATGGAATTAAATCGATTATGTTAGTTAATAAATATTAAATTTCATTTATATAAATTTCTATCTATTTCTAGCGGAAGAACTAATACCAGTATATGAAATTGCAAAAGAGAGATGTTTTTTTGAAACGGAAACACCCGTTGTATGTCTGATAATTTTTATAATATAAAATTTTTTTTTGTCTTTTATATTTATATAAAGTATGTTTCCAAGATGTTTAAAATTAGACGTCGATCATATACACAACATCTTCGAATACTTTGCATAACAACGCAACGACTATATAATATAACAAAGAAAAATCCATATCCTAAAGAAGCTTTATTATATAATTCAATAATAGGTGTTACTTGTACACCATATAAAGATGGTTTTATATGTATTCAAACAAAAGAAACACATGACGATCGAGTAAGAAACGTGTAAGGTTAATACGAAAAATAAAAATATTTTTTGTATGTCAAGGGTGATTGGCTTGTTTTGGTCGATCATCCATGTGAATTTATTACACAATTATTTATGATTATGAAACGAGATCATAATAATGATGGTTTTCTTAAAATCAAAACTGAGTAAGAGACAATCTTAATTTATAAAAATCAATATTATAAAATTATTTTTAGATTTACACATTGTCGTCGATTTTATGGAGAATGTAAAAAGAAATTTCGATTATTTTCTTTATTATATATTTATTTTCTAGTAAGTTCAAGTTTATGTATGGTTGAAGCTCATATAGCGGATGCTTTTCGTATTAAAAAACTCGATTTTGAAACAGTTGCTATTGTAAGTAACGTGTAATTATTTATAGAATATTTTACAGCTATTTGTTTTTGTTTTAGTATACACCCTAATCAAGATTCTTTTCTCATTAACTTTTCTTTTAATGTATGTTGTTATTGCTGCTGTTTTTATATTTTGCTACATATTGCTTGATTCAAGAGAAGAAAAAAAAAGTTTGAAATAAATACATTCTATGCACATGTTAAACTAAAGGTAGTAAGAGAGTCAATGATGCATATCGGTCGAACGACCTCGTTATCAAGAACGGGGAGAAATGATGAATTCTTTATATTTCAAATTAATCTTTCGTATTATTTTCTTTTTCTTTCTTTCTGTCCTTACCTCGTCAAGATAATACCTATTAATTCACACTATTTGTTTTCGAAGCAATATATCTCGTCAGTCACGCTGATGAATAAACCCTACCTTTAATGTATTTGAATAGATAAGCGATGAGTAGCGAGTCATGTGCATATATACGAACGACAAAATGATCATTCTTCCTGTCCTCTAGATACCTATAGGCGTTTCGAAGCGATATAAGTATTTTTACATTTATTTATTTATTCACTCTTTAACATTTTGTTTCGACTCAAAAAACATTTCATGGTTAATTGAGTAAAAAGTACATTAAATAATTTTTGCATAGTATATTTGATAACATACAAATGACTATCAAAGATCGATTATTAAATCTTTTACCAGGTATTATCATTTATTAGACATTATCAAGAATTTGTTTTTATCAAATTTTGTTTTTCTTAAGGTTCCGCCGGGAAAAATAAAAAGAAAGCAGCAGCTGCTACTGATTTTGAAAATTTAAAAAAAGAAGTTACAATCGAAGAGCATAAACTAACATTAGATGAACTTGTTGAACGTTTTCAAACTAATATTGAACAAGGTCTTACAACACAAAAAGCTGCAGAATTATTAGAAAAAAATGGTCCAAATGCATTAACACCTCCACCTCAAACACCTGAATGGGTTAAGTTTTGTAAATTACTTTTTGGTGGTTTTTCGGCTTTACTTTGGGTAATATTTGAATAAAAACACCGGAAGAAAATTATTTTTTTTGAAATTTAATAGGTTGCTGCTATACTTTGTTTAATTGCTTATGGAGTTCAAGTCGGCACAGATCCAACAACCCCAAAAGATAATTTATGGTTAGGTATTGCTTTAATAGTCGTCGTTGTTATTACAGCTGTATTTGCTTATTATCAAGAATCGAAAGCTGGAAAAATTATGGAATCATTCAAAAAAATGGTTTTAATTTAATTAAATATTTAAATAAAATACAACATTTTTTTTAATTTTCAGGTACCACAACAAGCTAATGTTATGCGTGATGGTCGTAAAATAGAAATATCAGCTGCAGACTTAGTTCTTGGTGACATAGTTTTCGTTAAAATTGGAGATAAAACACCAGCAGGTAGGGAATATCAATAAATTTTATTATTATAAATTAAAATTCTTTTATCTATTTTAAGATATACGAGTATTAACAGCTCAAAGTTTCAAAGTTGATAATTCATCGTTAACTGGTGAAAGTGAACCATTAGCTCGATCACCTGATTGTACTCATGATAATCCACTTGAAACAAAAAATCTTGCATTTTTTAGTACATTTGCTGTTGAAGGTATATACAGTATCCTTGTTTTTATTCTTATATTTATATATTCATATCTACTAAGGTTCATGTACTGGTATGGTTATTCGAACAGGTGATAATACTGTTATGGGTCGAATTGCCGCATTAGGTAAATTCTATTTGAATTCATTTTTTTTGACTTTTTCATTCGTATTTGTTCAACAGCAAGTGGCCTTGGTAATGATATATCACCGTTAAATGTTGAAATAAATCATTTCGTTCATATTGTTACTATTGTTGCAGTTAGCTTTGGTATAGTTTTTCTTATTATTCTTCTTGCTATTGGTACTGGTGTTTTACAAGCACTCGTTTTTGTTATTGGTATTATTGTATCAAACGTTCCTGAAGGTCTTCTAGCAACAATAACTGTCATGTTAGCATTAACAGCTCAACGTATGGCAAAAAAGAAATGTCTAGTAAAAAATCTAACAGCTGTTGAAGCACTTGGTAGTGTATCAACAATATGTTCAGATAAAACTGGTACATTAACACAGAATCGTATGACAGTCTCACATTTATGGGTTGATGGAGCAATTGTTTCTGTTAATTTATCACCTACACATGAACCAGAATTAGCTTTTGAAAATCCATTAGTTGACCCAAAAACTGGAGAAGAAACAAAAGCACTTAAAACTGATCGACCTGGTTATCAAGCACTTTTACGATGTGCTATGTTATGTGCTAAAGCTGTTTTTAAAGTAAATTTAAATTTATAAATAAATCAATAAAATAAATTGAATGTTTATTTAGCCTACTGAAGAAAATATGAGTAAACCACCATTACATCGATTAGTTCAAGGTGATGCTAGTGAAACAGCTATTCTTCAATTTGGTGAAATGGTTAATGGCAAAGTTGAAGAATATCGTGAGAAAAATAAAAAGGTTTGTGATATTCCATTTAATAGTGCAAATAAATATCAAGTGTCTGTACATGAAACAAATGATGGTGATGAAAGACATTTAATTGTGGTAAAAAAAGTTTTCTATTATTATTATTATTATTCTTAATTTTGTTTGTTATTTGTAAGATGAAAGGTGCACCAGAACGAATACTTGAACGATGTCAAAAGATTTTTGTTAATAATAATGAATATGATTTAAATGAGGAATGGACACAGAAATTTAATGATGCTTATATGCAATTAGGTGGTTTAGGTGAACGTGTTCTTGGCTTTTGTGATATGAGATTACCATTAGGAAATTTTCCTAGAGGATTTAGTTTTGATCCAGATAATGTCAATTTCCCATTAAGAGGATTACGATTTCTTGGTTTCATTACTATGATTGATCCACCTCGACCAGGTGTTGCAGATGCAGTTGCTAAATGTCGTACTGCTGGTAAATAATTTTTGCGAAAATAATACTGAAATAATTATTCTCGTTTATTAAAATATAGGTATTAAAGTTATTATGGTTACCGGTGATCATCCAATTACTGCTAAAGCAATTGCTAGAGGTAAATAATATATAGAAAATAAATAATAGATAAACAAAAAAAAACTTGATTATTTAGGTGTTGGTATTATTACATCAGATACAGGTATGTAAACAACTAGAATATCTTGAAATATAGAAAGAAATATATTTTTTTGTAGCACAAGATTTAGCTGCACGTCTTAATATAGCTCCAAGTGATGTTGAAGCAAGAGATGTACGTGCAATTGTTGTATCTGGTTCTGAATTAGCCGAATTATCAGCTCAACAATTAGATGAAGTATTAACACTTCATAGTGAAATTGTATTTGCAAGAACATCTCCTCAACAAAAACTAATTATAGTTGAAGGTTTATTATCTATTTCGATTATCTTTTTTTATTAAAATATAAATTATAATATTTGATTAGGTTGTCAAAGGCAAGGTTGGATTGTAGGTGTAACAGGTGATGGTGTTAATGATTCACCTGCTTTAAAAAAGGCTGATATTGGAATATCCATGGGTATAAGTGGCTCTGATGTCAGTAAACAAGTTGCTGATATGATATTACTTGATGATAATTTTGCTACGATTGTTACTGGTATCGAAGAAGGTCGACTTATATTTGATAATTTAAAAAAAGTTATTGCTTATACATTCACAAAAAATTTAGTCGAATTATTACCATTTCTTGTCTATGTTGTTGCTGATGTTCCACTTGCATTAAGTACAATTACTATTTTATGTATTGATTTAGGTACTGATATAGTACCAAGTATATCATATGCATATGAAGGAATTGAAGCCGATATTTTAGTAAATAAAGATTTGATTTTTTTTCTATTTATTTAATATATATTTCTATTATTATTAGAAACGACCACCACGTAAGAAAACAGATAAAATGGTTACAAGTCAAATGGTCACACTTTGTTATGGACAAATAGCAATGGTTGAAGCAAGTGGTGCATTTTTTGCATATCTTGTTGTTATGGCTGAAAATGGATTTTGGCCATCAAGACTTCTTGGCCTACGTGAAGCATGGGAGGCAAAATCACTTAATGATGTTATGGATAGTTATGGACAAGAATGGACATATGAACAAAGGTAATTCATATCATTATATTTTCTTTCAATTAACTATTATTTATTTAGACATAATCTTGATTTAGCTGCACAAACTGCTTATTTTATTGGTGTTGTTATTACACAATTTGCTAATTTATATGGTAATAAAACAACACGTCGATCTGTTTTTCAACAAGGATTATTTAGTAATCGATTTATGGTCTTTGCAATAGTGTTTACTGTTGCTCTTGCTTGTTTTCTTCTTTATACTCCAACACTCAATCGAGCACTTAATCTTGCACCAAATCGTTTTCTTTGGTGGTTACCAGCAGTACCATTTTTCTTCTATCTGTTTGCATTTAATGAAGCAAGAAAATTTTTTATTCGAAAATATCCAGATCGATATCCAGCACGTCAACTTACTTATTAATTTTGTTTCATAGTACTTTTAATGCTGAGCATACGTTCTTTTTTTCTTCTTGTATTTCGTTTTTGAAAATTTTTTAATAAAAATTCTTTGTGCTATTGAGTAGTTTTTCGTTCAATGTTGAATAATTTTTATCAATTTTATTAAATTCTGAAAAAAGATAGTTATTGCACATAAAAGTAACTTGAGAAAAGTCTTCTCTCTAAATATAAGTCTGATAAGAAATTAAAGTTAAATATTATTCTAGAAGTTTCGAGATCAAAATAATACTATATATCATAGACAATCGATATAAAATATGCGATATTATTTACTCGTCAATAGTAATATGAGTGTATATCAAGAGACAATATACTATTTTAATTCATCGCAGCGATAAATTCTTCACTTTTATTATATTTATCTCATACAGTTCAATGAAATACATGGCTTTCTTCTATTCACTTGTGACATCTTTTATCATCTATGAAATAATGATTGCATTGGTTATTTTCTCGTTTGTACCAGTATGATGAATCATCTATTTTTTTCTTCTCATATGTTCATGTGTCATTACATCGTCAGTTCGGTAAAATTTTGACATGACGTCAGGTAATTCGATAAAATCTGTAAAAATAAATAGTCTGGCATATTTTTATTTCATTTCAGATGAATAATATTATTGTCAACCGTCAGAGATTTTAAACAAAAAACGCAATTTATTATTGATACTATTGAATGTCTTCCATTTTATTTAATTAATCTGCTCAATATTATTTTAGTATGGAAGGTGAACCAGTTAAACTTCAAAATGAGTATTATCAACGAGCAACTGGATTACTTCGACAGGCTCTCGAATGCGATGAACAATCAAGTATATATATATTCTTTTTTAATTAAAAAAGCATTCTTATTAATATTTTAGATAATAATGAAACAGCGATTCTACTTTATAAACAAGGTATTCGTGAATTAGAAAAAGCACTAAATGTTAACATTGATCCTAATAGTAAGATATTTTAATTATTATTTGCTTTTAATCTATAAATTTCATTAATAGATAGTCGTGCTGTTGAATTGCACACAAAAATGCGTAAAAATTTAACTATGGCTCGTGAACGAGTAAACTTATTACGTGAGTATAATTGTTATTCGATGTTTATATTTCATATTGAATTTCTGTTCTTTTAGAAAGTTTATTCCGAAAAGAAAATGCTATTCCAACACAAGCTCAACGTCCATCACCTCGTAATATTGCTTCACCACCTCCCGTAAGTAACTATCGTATTTGTTTTTGCACTAACTTAGCATGCTCATATTTCCAGCCAGCTTTACCTAAATCTCGCCATCGTGCTATGTCTCCTGCTGCTATTGCTCCTCCATCTTCATCCAATCGTGTAGCAATCAGAGCAAACCAAGCACCTATACATATCATTAATGTGAGAAAATCATTTGACTAATTCATTAATTGATGATAAATTTATACAAATTAAAATATAAACTTATATTTAGACAGGAAAGAAAGAACTACCATCAAAATCAGATCACGATGGTGCAACTGCTCAAGCTAAACGACCTACGCTTAAATTACCTAATGTTGATCCACAACTTATTTTATACATTCTTGATGAAGTTATAGAAAACAGTCCTCATGTTAAATTTGATGATATTGGTAAGTTATTTTACCATATACTACAACTATATACGTTTTATAAGCTTTTTTTTCATAAGAGAATAAATGTCATTCCATTGACTTCAATACTTTTAAAGCAAACTTTTTTCTCTTCAATATAACATACTAATTTTTATTAATTCCATATGCCTTCAAGCAAATATTAGTCATTTCCAGTGATTGTATATAAATCTAATGTAGTGGAGTTAGAGATTTCCTCCTTGCTTGTAGCATTAAATTACAATTATATTTTTATTTGTAGGCGGTCAAGAAAGCGCCAAACGAGCACTTGAAGAAGCTGTTATTTTACCTGTTCTTCGACCTGAAGTATAAGATCATCTTTAAATACAATAAATGATAAAATAAATGCTCTTTCTTTCAGATGTTTACTGGTTTACGAGCTCCTGTACGAGGTATTCTATTGTTTGGACCACCTGGTAACGGCAAAACAATGCTAGTAAGTTATTTCTGAATTGTAACATAACTATTTAAATAATTTTTCTTTTTATAAGGCAAAAGCTGTAGCTTCGGAAGCGAAAGCTCGTTTTTTTAATATTAGTGCATCTAGTTTAACATCAAAATATGTATGTAAAATGATTTTCTTTTGTACTCTTACGTTATTGTTTTATTAGGTTGGTGAAGGCGAAAAACTTGTACGAGCATTATTTGCTGCTGCTCGTGAATTACAGCCATCAATAATCTTTATTGGTTTGTTTAGTTTTTGATTGGTAATTATTTTATTTATGATTTTATATCTAGATGAAGTTGATTCATTACTTAGTGAACGTAAAGAATCCGAACATGATGCAATGCGACGACTTAAAACAGAATTTCTTGTTCAATTTGATGGTGTATGTTTGAAAATCAACAAAAGAACAACAACTCGAATTTCTATTTTTAGGTTCAAACAAACAGTGATGATCGTATACTTGTTCTTGCGGCAACCAATCGTCCATTTGAATTAGATGATGCTGCATTAAGGTAAAATTCAAAAAAATTTCTTTCTTCTTAAAGTAAATATCTATCGTAGACGTTTTCCTCGTCGTATTTATATTCAATTACCTGATTCAAGAACACGTAAACATCTTTTAAAACATTTACTCAATAAACAAGACCATAGTTTAACATCAAGTGATTTCGAATGGATTTCTCAGTAAGATAATATTTTCATTTTATATTATAAATAGTAAAGAAAATGTTTGTCTTTTTTTTTCTCAAGTGAAACACATAGTTATTCAGGAAGTGATTTAACAGCATTAGCAAAAGATGCTGCAATGGGACCAGTACGTGAATTACGTGTTGATGAATTAAAAAAATTATCTGTCAGTCGTATTCGACCAATATCAAGACAAGATTTTGTTCAATCATTAAGAAAAATTCGACCGAGTGTAACACCCTCAACACTTGATAAATATATTCAATGGAATCGATCATTTGGTGATTGTAGTTCATAAAAAAAATTATTTTATGTTTTTCTTATTGCTTTGTATGTGTTTTTTTTTTGCTTGACTTTATTATTCCTTTTCATCTAGTCACATATTTGATATGAAAATTTACATTTAGAATACATAAATGTACAGCAAAAATAACTACTCGAATGAATGTTTTGTTTTTTTCTCGTCAGAAATTTGATTTTTGTTTTATTTCTGCAACATATTATTCCTTGTAAAAACAGATAAATAAATTGCGATTTTGTTTTCGTGTTTATCTTTATACTGTACTTTGAGATGATTAAATGATACAATGATGACGAGATCGAATGTAGTGCAATATGAATCTAGTTTTTCAACAAATTGCAGCAACATCGACCTAGTCACATTGATTAATTTATTCTGTAAACAAAAGAGAATTTATTCGTATTATTTCTTTTAGAAGAAAAAAGAACGAAGAAGAAAGGCTAATTACATCACATAGAATGATTATGATCGGTTAGTGCGGTACAAACGCCCTTTTCCTCGGCTTCATACTGAGTATGTTCTCATATCTTTTTCCTTTTTTGATCTATCCTATTAATCCTGATAATGTTCATTAAGTATAGAAACATAGAGAATCTCTTTTACCTGTATATATGGATAACGTAATGACTTACACTTCTATGTCGCTTCGAGTAAAAATAATACATATGGCATATATCGTAACAGAACACAAAGGTGTAGAATGAGAAAGACATAAGAGTACGCAAGTAAAGTGAATTGTAACAGAGCAAGAAGAAGAAGAAGAAGAAAGAGAGAGACGTCATGAAGCACTTATGATTTGTGAGCGTCAATCGAATCGAAAAAAAAAAGGAAGAAAAGAAGAAAAAAAAGAGAACGACAACGGCAGAGAGGTAGCATACCTGTACATATAAAATCATCATCAGAGAACATAAGCAAGAACAACAATTGAAATAAATAAATAAATAAATATATGTATATAAAGATATGCATATATATATTCATTGTCGTAGCAACGATGATGACAATAGCAATCTTATACAAGGTCTTAATATAAAACTCTTCCTTGTCTTATATATATATAACAAAAGAAAAAGAAAAAGAGAATTCGTCTTCATCTTTCTCCTTCTCCTTCTTCTTTTTTTGCTACTATATACATAAGACAGAGGAAAAAGAACGGATAGAAAGAAAATATCGACATATGCGCGTATATATGCATTTATTTCTCGCTCGATCTATTTAAGCATACATACAAATGCACAATTCCTCAACTATCTTATGATATTTATGACTTACATATTCTCTTCCTTGCCGATGCTCAAGGTGTAGAAAATAGAGAACGCGAAAGAATGAATGTGTATCGATAGAGACTGATTATAATAACTCACGATATGAATATATATATATATATATATACATATACATATATGTGTTATTGTCTCACCTTAATTACAAATAATGAAGTCCTATTTGATCATATAAAGAAAACTACAGTGATAATTACCTTTATGAATATAAATGTCCAACTCTCTCACATACCTTCCATACGAATGACTGAGCTTTATATGTGTGCGTTAAAATGAAAATATATTTCAACTTTCTCTCTGTCTCTCTCTCTGTCTGTCTCTACTATTCTTTCTCTCTTTTTTTCTAATTATACGAACTCTTTTTCTCTCTTTTTTCTCTTTCGATTTATGCACAAACAGACACAATACTTCTTCTACTGTAGCTAGCTACGAGAGAGCAAACAGGTAATGTGAAGACTTTTAACAAAATTCTTTTACCTCTGAGAAAAAGATGACCATATTCAAGTACTCTTCTCTTTCTCTCTGTCTCTCTCGCTCTAGTTTGTATGTATAATCAAACAAAGACATAGAGTGAGAAAGAGATTGATTTTTCTGCCGCGCGCAAAAACGCCAAAACGGTACCTCTCAAGTTCTCTTTCTCTCTCTGACTGAGTTGAACTATGTAAACAAAATGCAATAAATAAGTGTTTATGTATCTACGTCGTTGTCAATGACACAAAATGAAAGTACCCTGTGAGGCATGTCAACTGTTTTATATGCATTTTAAATGAAATCATCCATCATCTAAGATATTTATACAATTGAAGTAGAAAGAAGGTACTCTAAAAGAATAAGAAAAAAAAAGGAGCTGGAAAGCTCTTGAGTATCAAGATACGAATGTATGAAGATATTGAATGAAAAATTTTTACGAACAAAAGAATGAAATGAATTGATGATTACCTCATAAGTAGGACCAGGATTATTTTGATTGATTAAACTTCCAACATCGAATAATTTCAAAGATTTTTTTTAATGTATTGATATCAAACGACAAGAAATAAATACAATATTACACAAAACATATACTGAGAAAATCAAGATTAAAAAAGAATTTTAAAGCTTTGTACAACAAATTTTGTTTTTCAGATCTGTCATATGAGACTGATCTTTTTATCTCTTCGACGATTTACTCCGTTACGTGCTCGTACGAATAATAAATGATTCTTTTTTTTTGCTAATAAATTATTACTCTATAATGTTCTTTAGTTTCAACAATGTCCGAAAATCTTTCAAAATCTATGTGTTCATGTCAGTCATCTGACCCACGTCGTGATAAACTGATGATCTATCAAATTCTTGTTCGATTATTTGGTAATCGAAATTTAACTAATACAGTTCATGGAACAATCGAACAAAATGGTGTTGGTAAAATGAATGATATTAATGATGCATGTTTAAAGGAAATCAAGAGATTTGGTTATACATATGTTTGGTATTGTGGACTACTTGAACATGCAACAATGACTGATTATACAGCATATGGAATTCGTAAAGATAATCCTTATATTGTCAAGTAAAGAATCAGTTTGAAAAAAAATATCTTTGATGACTTTTGTTTTATTTTAAAGAGGTTTAGCTGGTTCACCTTATGCAGTCAAAGATTATTACGATATTGATCCAGATTTAGCAGTTGATATACCAAATCGTATACAAGAATTTGAACAATTAGTTCAACGTACTCATGCACATGGTTTAAAAGTTCTTATGGATTTTATTCCTAACCATGTTGCAAGAGAATATGGTTCAGATGTTCGACCTAATGAAGATTTTGGTAATAATGATGATCAAACAAAAGCGTTTAGTCCAAAAAATGATTTTTATTATATTGAAAATGAAGAATTTCAAATGCCAAATGTTGAACATATACCACCATGTATTGATATATCTAAAATACCTAAATATACTGAAAATCCAGCACGTGCAACCGGTAATGATGTCTTTCATTCTCGACCATTGATTACAGATTGGTTTGAAACTGTTAAATTAAATTATGGAACTGATTATACAGTTGGAAAAAATTATTTTGATCCACGTCCACCACTTTGGGATAAACTCTTTCGAATTTTATGTTATTGGATTGATAAAGGTGTTGATGGTTTTCGTTGTGATATGGTTAAGTTCTTTTATTTTGTCATCGTCTTCCTAATAATATGATTTATGATTTTAGGCTGAAATGGTTGCAGCTGATTTTTGGCATTGGTTAATAACATCAATACGTAAAACATATCCTGAACGACGAATTATTTTTATTGCTGAAATTTATCGACCTGATTTATATCAACGTTATATTGAACATGGTCTTTTTGATTATTTATATGATAAAGTTGGATTATATGATTGTTTACGTTGGTTATTAGAAGAAGGATCAATTTTAGGAAATTGTAATGATATAACCCGTATTCAAAATGAACAAAAAGGTATTGAAAAAAATATGTTAAGATTTTTGGAAAATCATGATGAAGTTCGGTAAGAAAAATTCTAATAATTATTTTATCAAAAAAACAATTTCCTTTTGATATAGAATTGCTGCAAAACAATTTGCTGGAAATCCATGGAAAGCAATACCAGCTGCTGTTTGTACAGCTGTTTTACATTCTGGTCCAGTTATGATTTATTTTGGACAAGAAATTGGTGTTGATAGTGTAGGAGCAAAAGGTTTTCAAAGTGATGATGGACGAACAACTATTTTTGATTATTGGGTAATTATACAAATAAAATAATAAATAAAATAAGTCTTATTTTTTTTTCTCAAGGGTATTCCTGAACATCAAGCTTGGTATAATAACGGTGCATGTGATGGTGGTCAATTAACAGTTGCACAAAAAGCTCTTCGTTCATTTTATGAAAATCTTTTCCAACTCATCCATAATTATAAAGCCTTACATTGTGTTTCATCAAAATTAGTTGATTTACAATATGCTAATCATTCATTATATGATACGAAAAAAATTTATTCTTTTATACGATATCACGAACATGATGAACAATTATTATTTGTACTTAATTTTGATTATACATGTAGTTATGATATTGAATTAACAATACCAAATGAAGTTTGGTCAACAATTGGATTGGATACAACAAAAGTATATACACTTGATGAAGTATTTATTGATAGAAAAGTTAAATTACAATTACGTGCAAATGAAAATCTTCGACTTACATTACCAAATAATCAAGTCTACGTCTTTCAAATACGAGAACAATCTTAGTCATACATATTTTTATTTTATTTTATTGTACTGGTAGAAATTTTGTTTAAAACAAAATATAGTATTTAATTCATTAGTTTTTCTGAGGTATATGGATTTTCATTATCTTTATAAACATAATCTCAGCAAGAATGAGATTTAGCGTATAATAATATTATTTCTATAAAGAATATTTTCATAAGTATGACTACATACTTGAAATATATCACAACGAGTACAGTATATGAAAATGTATTGAGCCATGCTATAAGAGGTAAGTTTAAAAACAACGAATACTATTTGAACAATGAGTTATAACAAAATATTTGTTTAGATTTATTTATTCTATGCATAGATGCACATGTACATCAGACATTCTTGTTTTCGTTGTCATCAGTATGTTTATGAGTTATATAATTGAACGAAATATACAGAAAACGAATGTGTAGAGATTGTATAAACAATTATATTTTAGTTTTAAAAGGTGACTTATACTATATATGTTCTAATTCAGCTGCATATTATCAGACAGAAAAATAGTTCTAGCGCCGTAGTTACAGGATCAATATAGATGTCCTTGCTAATTATTTATGATTGTATGAAAAAGAGTCCAGTACCATCACAGACAATCGACTTATATTTATTTATATATTTATATACTCAACTAATCGACAATCATCAAATTTTTTCTTTAATTCAATCAATTTTCATATTCATAAAAATAGAGACGAAAAAATGAGCAATAATTCTGTAGAAAACAAGTCATCAGATACATCTGAAATAAAACCTCAAGAAATGACACTCGATGAATATGCGGAATTAGTAAGAAGATGGCAACAAGCCTATTATACATGGAATGTTAACTGTGTTACTTATTACAAGTATATTTTTATAAATTTGTTATATTATTTCTATTTGTATTTTATTATAGTACAATGATGTTGAATTCATCACAACAATTTATTCAACAAATACCTATGTTTACAAGTGCTAATCTTCTTGCAATGTTAACAGAAACGAATCGTTCCCAACCATTTGATCCTTTAGCTGAAATACGAAATGGTCTGAATAATTTTTTTATTTTTTAAGACTAAACGAATAATTTTATAATTTCTAGCGCGTCTAAAAATAGCTTCGATGTGGCGTCGTTTTCTTGCTGAAACAATTGATTTTATTCTATTGCATGTATTTAAGTAATAGTTTACTTGTTGAAGAAATTTTTTTATATTATTTTATGAATTTATTCTATAGAATTCTTGTTATATTCATTCTCTCCAGTTATTTTGATATAATCGATGAAAGTCGTCTTACATTAACATATATAATCTCCAATTTACTTTATGATGAAACATTTTCATTTCCAATCGAACTTATTTGTATTGAATTTACTTATATTGTAGCAAGCATTGGTTTTGAGGTTACTTTTGTTTTATTTTTATAATAAGAAAATATTTAATTTTTTTCTTTGTAGAGTTTCTGTCTTACGCGTTATGGTGCCACACCAGGTAAACGTCTTCTTCGTTTACGTGTCCTTAAATGTGATCATTTACAAATACAAGAGAATGGAGATTTAACAATCGAACCTGGTACAATGCTGAATGCTGTTGCGTAAGGATTATCTTTAAAAATTTTCTCGTCTATTTTCTTTTCTCATTTTTTTAAGAGCAATAACTCGATCATCATTTAAAAGTCTTATGTCAATTTTTCTTTTTCCAGCAGTTGTAGTAGCTTTAATGACATCACAACATCGACAAACGAGTTATGATATGGCTGCTAATGCTGTTGTTGTTGAACTGGAACCACAACTGTAGTTTTTGTTGTTACAGTGATTTTTGTTTTCATTTTCTTTCTCATGTAAATAAGATACACAAAAAGAAAGGGAGAAGAAAAAATAATGAGAGATGATTATATAATTTTTTTATGGTGTTTAAGATTATGAATAATAATAATAAATCGAAATTAAATGTTGATTTATCAACGTCAAAATTAGATGATAAAACTAATGATAGTGATAGTGAAAGTGAGTTAAATGAACCAAATCCATATAATGTGAAACAAGAAATTGATACAGTAAGTTAATGATCACTGTGTAAATCGATTCAATATACGTAAAAGTTTTTGATTAGAGTGAATTAAAATTAATTCCACGAATGTGGTATTTTATGAAATTCTCTGCAAGGAAAACTTATTCTGTATGTTGTACAGCTGGAGACAAGATAGCTTGGTTTTTCGGTATTACAAAACCAAAATATCATGCAGAAATTCAACATTATGAACGTATGAATGCAGAAGTATATTTATCCCAAATAGAAATTTTCTTCATTAGATATAAATATGTATATAATTTATAGGAACAAAAAGCCTGGAGAGAAGCATTTCAAGATATTGAACATACTAATCATATATTAGATTCGATCGTATGTGATAATCTTAAATTTTTAATATATATATATTAATTTTTTTTGTAATTTTAGAGATAAATAAGTAAGTAGCGAACATCAATTGGCTATTTATTTTCAAATATTACTTGAATTTTTTTTCAAATAGATTATTGTTCCAATTGTAAAACGATTATCTCTCAGATAAACAGCAGATATCTCCAATTTTTCAACAATAGTAAAATCATTGTTATCATTTTTCTTATAAAAACGTAATAAACTTAATCACTTACTGTTTTATATATATATATACTGATCTAACTCTTGTAATATTGAATTATTTGATTCGTTATCAAGTACATCTTACGTAGGACTACATACTTCATAATTAATCGATATTCTTTTTTTCTATTAAATTACATGTATTATAACAGTAACGTACAATATCATCATTTCATTCACATACTTAATAAATCAGACAGTAATATTGCTCCATTATATCGACACTTAAGTCAAGTATCTTAAATATAGTATTCAAAATGATCATTGACATACGCAAAAATTGTAATCGTCTATTACCAATATCATTCAACTTATTCATAAATCATCTCTTCAATTCTATTCATGCGATTTTAAACAGATGTTTCTTATACATAATATAACAAGAAGAGTAATTTCTGCTTTTCAAAAAAATGATTGTCATTATAATTGAAAAAAAGAACAACCTTTTTCATTTTCAAATAAAACATAACAATAAGTTTCATTGATAATTGATCTATTATATAAAAGGAAAAAGAAGGAACGGCATGATACCGACATACTTATCCCTACTAGATAGTTCTGTCCACTTCAACTATCATTTGTCTCGTCCTCTTAGAAATGTATCAATGAACGACGCCAATACGTATCACTATATCTTCCGCTTGATTTATATTGATATCCAACTGTGTTTTGATTATATACGCTCTTATGAATCTTCTTTGCTGAGATAGACATATTGATTTAAAACTCAGATTTATTTATATAAAAAAAAATATTTACATATTCAATTTGAATGTTTACAAAAGCCATATTTTTATATTCTTAATATTCTTTCTTTTCGAATCATCATTTGAATATCGCACGAATGATTGTGAATTAGGTGTGAATTGTAATCGACGTTGTGATATTATTGGTACAGATGGATTTTGTTCAAGAAATATTTTTTGTTTTAATGTTAAGGATGTCGATCGTCCTTGACTGTTATTATTTGGTATTTGACGACGAGTTTGTTTTGGTGTACTACAATAAACAGGTGGTGTTAGTACAAATCGTTGATGTCTCATCATAGAATCTAGAAAGAATTTATAAATGAGAATGAGAAGTTTTAATTTTAATGTAACATATGTCAATCAAATGTGATGAACTTACGTGGGGAGCCGTCATTGAATGAATTTGATTGTTCAATATTGTATGGTGTTGAGGCGGCAAGTGGTCGAAATAATGTATTTGTTCGATGTTTTAAACGAATTGTAGTATTTGTCTGTTCAATTTTATTGAATAGAAATGTTGTTTCTTGTTGTGTATGAAGAAGTTTTGATTGATGAGAATGACGTCTTTTTGTTAAAGAATATTTTCCCATCATTGATTTCTAAACAAAATATTTTGAAGAAAATCTTTTTCAGTATTCAAATAAATTCTATAAAAGATGATATCATGAATGTAGTTTACAATAAAATAAATGACGTCAAATTAGTCATGAATTGTCTCAATATATATATAATTCTAAGTAGACAATCCATTGACCAATTTATATGTAATATGCACTTCTAATTTCGTTTTTTTTCAAGTATTTTAATCGAATGGGATGATTTAGCGATTTTAACAAACCTGAGATGATGATGTTTTTCGGATAATTCCTTGTTGATTAGTTTTGCTTTGCTTTGTATGCATAGAATAGATGAGCACTATTGAATCAGATGCGTATATATATATATATATAAATTATGATAGAACCAATCTGTCTTCGTTCTCTTCTCTCTTTTCGATGTAGACAATTGGTGAAAAAAAAGAATATTATAATGATCAATGATTCGTCAATCAAGACAAGAAAAGAAACGATTATCTTTGATCATAATTAAATAGAAATGGATCCATAAAGAAAGTTTAGACGATATATTAACTGAGTTTTTTAAATAAAGGAAAATACGAATATAATCATTAAATTCTACATATAAGAAATGGTGTCTTATCGAAATAATAGTCATAAAAGAGATGCGATTGACATGAATTTATATAAAAAAAAATATCGAATAGAATCAATTAATTTGAAATTTTTATATAGATTTTTTTAAAAACAAATTCATAATTACCTTATATGATTTCTTAACTAAACACTTCAAGTGTACTCTAGTGATAGTTCATGATGCTATTTATTAAATAAACTTTATCAAGTGGTATTACAAAGCTTTTATAGAGTAATTGACAGATTATTTTCATACAGTACGAATTGACTTTTAACATAGTGTGATAAACAAAAAATATAGACGAGAGAGAGAAAAAGAAACTCAGATCTGTTCGTTCATATCCTCAGGGAAGACATGTCTGGTAGTGAACCGAATGAGTCTCAATTTTCTTTTCTGCTCAATAATCTTTCATCAGGTCCACCTATTTCTAATTGAGCTAGACAGAATAGAAGTGATTACATCAGCTCAAAAGCAGATCATATTCTGTCTCAATAACACATTGTGCTGTCATCAAAAAAAGAAAACAGACGGAACGCCTATGACATGTGTTGTCTGAATAAACGAACATTCATCATCATAAAACACCATTAACAATAATCATAAAATCTCGATAGTGATATTCTTTAAAAAACATTTTAATCATTTATTTTTTCATTCAGAAAATCAGGATAGTAGAACAATGTTGCGTATAAAAAAAAATTATAAACAATTTTTGACACATAGGATTCATGCGTAACATACAAATGTTTTTTTTTTCATTTCGAAAGTGTCAAGCAATGTAAAACGACATAGTGTGATTGAATATAATGTCATGATTAGCATTAAATTGATCATTGATATATACCCTTTTTGTATCTTTGCTGAGTTAAAGAAATTCAAAGCTTATGCTCTTTGATACTTACCATCAAAATTTCCATCCTTGCTTTTTTTATAGATCAAAACTTTAAACAAAAATTAGCTGATATTTGGTACATACATACAGTAAACAAATAATTATTCTGTGAACTTTACAAGTATAGATTAGAGCATTAGCATACATTGACTATCTTCAATTAACTTCTTAAGTTAATTTTTTACTATGAAATATTTCGATGAAGATTAAATAGCATTTGTTAAGTATAGTATTTAAAAATGAGTTTATTTTTTTTCTCTTTTATCAAATCTATATCCTAATATATAAAAATCTAGAAATGAATAACAAAAAACTTGTTCGTTTTTTTCCTACGGAAAATAACAAAAAAACAAAACGACTAGTGAGAGATGTAAAGAAATAATTTTCGGAATTATTTCGTGTTTTTACTTTTTGTATCGATTTTAATGACGGACATGTTAATCATTCCTTGTATAATTACATATCCAAGTATAATAACTAATACAAACATCATCTTAGCAAACCAAGTACTGACTAGAAGAAATTGAAGAAACCATTTCAAGGATGGAACACCAATTATTACAAGCCAAAAACATTCAATTAATATATCATAATAAGTTCGATTTAATGTTACTTTTGGTAAACCGAGACCATCGAATGTATCATTTTGAACAAAATGATCATAGATACGATCCTAAATTAATCAATAAAAAAAATTTTTTTTTCAATAAGGAGGAGAGGACAATTGACTGCTAATGCTTAGAGACATTACTAAGATAGGATCAGGCAGAAAGGCTAAGCCCTACTATAGCTTTTTTTTGGATTATCATTAAATTGCAATTAATAATATCTCGGTTATATTCTTGTGACTTCACAATTATACAAATGAATCCTCTAATCTAATCAAGCAACACTATGTCTATATATAAATATAATATCAGACCAACGAGCAGAAAAAATAATCAATTAGCAGAAGGTACAATAAGAAAAATATAAATGAGATGAACAAGGAATAATAATAATTTACATGATGAGGCACCGTATCATTACATTTCTCTATCTCTAATTTTACATACAATCAATGTGTCATATTCATGCGTATAAGATTATCTAAAAATGATTTTCTTTTACTCCTCTATTTTTATAGATTTTATCGAACGAAGATTGTCATAATTGGGCCTAAATCTACAAAAATCAAGATTACTTTTTCTTGAAAAAGTTCTTGTAACCATTGACCACATTTCTTTTCATCTTCATATGGAATTTCTGAAACAGGAATACGTCTAAAAATATAATCAATAGAATTGCATTGTATTTTCAATTAACTTACTTCACATAAAGTTGAGCATTACATCGACGTCCTTTAAGTAATGTACGGAATTTTGGTGAAGCACTATCTTTGGTAAATGCAAGCATGAAATTATAAACACCCGGTACTAATATAAAAACAATAAAATCGAATTTAATTTAATTTATTTCAATTCAATTTACTTTTTCCTTTAGCTCCTTGGAGAATTAAAGTAAAACCTCTTGTTCGTGGTAATATGTGATATTTTAATTCTGGTAGATTTTTTTCTTTAGCATATTTCATACTTTCTGATCGTTTCTTTTCAGTAAATCGAGTACCTTCACAAGCCATTAAAAACTATAAATATCAAAATTTAAAATATTTTCTCGATATTATTATTCTTTATACATTAAAATTATAATTATCAGGATAACCACTAATAAGTTGTTGAATATCATGTTCAAGAATTCTCTTATCACTTTCCCATACACGACGTAAAAAAATCGATTCAGTAAAATACCATGACCAACCAACAATTGGAATTAAACTAAGTGAACTTTTACCAACTATTTTTGAACCCTAATTAAAGAAAAACATTTTTTGTCTAATAGATTTTCTTTGGCACAATAGAAGGAAAACTTACTCCAAGTATACCAAGTTTTTGAGCAGTTACTAATCCAACAAGCCAATCAATTTCATATCGATGATTGACAAGATTGAGGGCATATTCATGTTTTAAATATTCAAGATCTTTTGGATCAACAAAAACAGTTACATCCGAATCGGCCCACCATGTATAAATAAAAGTTAATTCTATGTAAATGAAAAAATACGAACAAATATCTAAATATAATTTAGTAAACATACGACTCCATAATAATGTTCCTAAATAATAATTAATTCGACGATAGAGTTGTTTATGAAATGGCCAGATGATTATTTTTGAAAGAAGTTGAATAAAATTCACAAGAAAACCACTAACACAAAAACAGTAACCAATAAATATCTGAATTGGTATGAATAACTGAATAGCATTGAGAATACGACGATTAGATGCCATTATCTAAAATGAATCCTAATAAAAATAAGAATAAATGATGTGCGTATTATAATTAACAAAAAAAGAATGAGAGAAAAAAACAAAAATAAGATTAGATTTCAAAGTAAGTCATGCAGTATGTTTCTGAGAAAATGATTTTTTATTTTTGCCTAGAAAAGAAACAATAGCGAAGTCTATGAAACCAACCATAAAATGACTTTTCATTGTATTATAATCGACTAATAGAAAATAGCTTTTCTCTTCGTTCGTGAAGATTAGTCTATGAAATATCACATAGAAATCATCGTAGAACAAAATAAATAAGATGGGTTTTTCTTTACATATGTCACCATAATTTGAAACACGTTCTGTTTCTATAGATGTTATCATTCATCGGACGGACACCAACTGTTACTAAAATAATCAATTCTATTAGTTTTCTTATTTCTAAATAAGCATTTCTTACTAATATAATTTACTAGAAATAATCGAATAATCATATAATTTATTTTTTTTTGTGATGATTTCTAAATGTTATTAGATATGAATGACCTTTTAATATATTGAGAAATGTCGATGCAACTTTCTCTTTTTTTAAATCCTATGCACTAATGACTAAATAAGACGACAGAGACACATTATACAAACAATCTGAATATCAATATTCCATATGTTAATGACAGCTAAATAAATGAAATCGTATTTGTTTGTCGTTTGGAGATATTATTGTATTAACAAGTAACGATTCCGATATGGATGAATAATTGATATTACATAGATTTTGTACGTGGAATAATACAATGTTTACGGTCTACTAATACTTTTTTGTAAATACGTGGTAAAAATATTGATTCAATAAATATCAAAACTAATTTAAGTGAATATTTTTGATCCTTAATTCATATGAAATCAAATACAAACATGCAAATATCATTGAAAATTATCTGCATTTTTTTTCTAAATATATATAATTCTTTTACTGTATTAATATTCAGAAATGAATAGACTTTAGTAACAATAGAATGTTTATTACGAACTTTTTTCACATCATCCGACTATGTAATTACATAACGCATAATTGCTTTTTAACCATCATTGTGCAAAGAACAAAAAAAAGAACTTACACGGCAGCTACTAGAATATTGGGCACTGTTTGACTTGCTTAGATTGCATATGAGCTATAGTTCTGATGCGCTGAATGCTTAAACATGTAATAGTTAGACAAAGTGATCGATAAATAGAATCAAAGCCATTACTGACTCTTAAAATTAACCTAGATATTCTGCTTAGGGGTACTACACTTACTTTTTTGGAAAGTGGTATATTTTTAGATTTAATCGAAATTCTCCTCGGGAAAAAAAGTCATGAAATCTAGAAAGTGACAGCACCATTTCCTTAAAAAAGTAAGTGGTGCACCCCTGGAGATTCTGCCATTAATAACTATAATACTTGAAGATATAAATAGATTTAATGTTCTTTTAAATTGTTGAGTTCTATTTATTCTCTTACTCATTTTTCGATAGAATCTTTTATTAAATAATCATACATCACATGATCGTCATTGTAAAAAGTTAATCAAAAATTATAGATATGTGTTATCTTAAATAGTATATGCAAATATGACAATTGGATACAAGACATGTATTTTATCTGAAAAAAAACAACGAATATAAAGAAAACAAAATTTGCTTTTTCAATCACAAAAACAAACAATATCTTTTTATTTCATTTCATAAAATTAAGATACTTTCGTGCATATTCAGATACGCAAAGCGCACCACTAACATGGACGTTTAAAGAACGAATAACACCGGCTTGTGGAATCTCAACTGTAACATCAACTAAAGATAAAAGATCAGCTCGAATTCCTTCACGTTCATTTCTATAACAAACAAAAATTCATTAATATTAACAAAAGAAAGAATATTTTCCATACCCAAGTAAAAGTAATGTTTTCTCCGGAAATTGATATTCATATAAACTTTGACTATTTACTGTTTGTTCAACAGCAACAATTGTATATCCCTGAGCTTGCATATCAATTAAATAATCTTTTAATTCTCTTTCTTGTACCTAAATTATATATTTATTAATATAATGAAATAAATATATATATATAATTATCATACTTGTTTTATACGTAACCATTTATGAGCAGTCATACTTAAATTAAGAAATTGTTGATCTTCCAATATACGAATACTTCCTATGACCATTTCTTTTACACCAAATACTTCACCGGTTCGACATAAACCTAAATTTAATTAATAGAAAAAAGAGAGAAAATACTAATATGACTTCTATATATATGTTCGTATATCAAAATTTTATATTTATTTATTCTTACCACCTAAATTTGTTTGTTTATCAATAAGTGAAGCAACAACAATTAATTGTGTTCTTTTAATACTTCCTCTTAATTCCGTATCATCAAGTGACTCAACAACTGGATATGGATTTGCTTTATGTTGAATTGTTGATGAACTTTCTTCGTCTTGATTTGGTCCTATATCACTTTTTCCAGCAGCTAAATAATTTCAACAGAACAAAAAAAATATTGTTTTCGAATTCTATTTAAATATTTATCTAACCAGTTAATCTCCATATACCAGCTTGACATGATTGTAAAATAGTTGAAATATTATGAACCGATATTGAAAATGTCATATGTAATTTTTGACTTGTTTCAATAAACCATTCAGGCCATAAATATTCATCTTCAGCTAATAAAGATAATTTCGGTAATGTATAAAAAATAGTTTCAAGTGAAAAATCTCGTATTGAATCAAATTGATAAAGAAATAAACTTTGTAATTTTGTTATATATCTTGCAAGTCTATCAATAGATAATAAATAAAATATTAAATTAAACACAAAATTCAATATTTTACTCTGATTTTTCATCATTTTGTTTAAAACATCGATATGCTTCATACGGTGTTTCATTTTCTAGATTATGAGATTCAATAAATTCAAGTAATTTTACCATTGTTGAACAAGCAAATGTTCGAATATGAAAATTTGAATGTATTAATAATGGACTAATATATCCAAAGATTTTATTGATATATTCAATCTAATCATAGAAAAAAGAACTTGGCTTTTATTTTATTAAACTTCAGACTAACTTGATCCATTCGATCTGTTAAAAGATTTGTCATATGTGATGATATCGAAATCCAGGCACAAACAGCTCCTGTTCTGTATCGATGAGCATCTTGTAAATATCCATATAAATCATTTAAACGTGTTGTTCGATCTTGTGATATTAAACGAACAAGAATCCATTCGGAAAGTAAACGAAGTGATGGTTCATTTTCTCGGATTAATGTTTCCACGACATAATCATAGATTATTTGTAAAAGACTCTAGAAAAAAATAATTAATCTTTCAAAAAAATTTCGTTTTTTGTTTCTACCGAATCTTGAATAATAGATGTTAAACAAAGAAGACATTGAAGTGCACGAAACATAATACGATGTTCAAGAGAATTCGTACAAAATCGTGGCCGACGTTCTTTTGATGCTAAAAGACGATGTTTTTCAATAATTTGCATAATAATTTCATTTTGTTGAACATTATGTAATAACGGCCACATATGAAGAAGAAATAATTGCATTAATATACGAACGTTTCGATCATAACGATATTCACTAGAGAAATTATATAAATAAAAGTACTGAAAAAAGAGTTTAGAAGTAGATCTGTATTTTTAGGAAACTAGTCAAAATTTGTTTAACTTACGGTGTTATATGAGTTTGAGCAATCAATAAGCGAACTGATTCATCCTGTTCAACAAGTTGTTCAGCTTGCCATTGTTGTCTAAGAAGATGAAAATAAAACTTTTAGTTTTAATGGTTTGGTTTTTTACTTTTTATCTTTTTGATAAGTTTGTCCAAAAATCACACATTCAACTACAATTAATAAATGACTGGATTGAATTCGACGTTCATGTAACCATATTGGTACTATTGATTCAAGTAGTACATTCATAATTCCTGATACATGTTTAGATCTTTCAAACATATGTGTAAACCACTATTCCGGAAAAAAAGAATATGATCAATAATATTATCATCGTTGAAATTATTTACATACTTCACTTAAAATATTCGATACTGTTATATCTGTAATAGAAGATGAAATAGCTTGACAAAACATTGTTAAGCAAGGCCAATAAACAGGCGTTCGATGATCAATTTCATTAAATACATTAATTGAGCTTTCAATTAATTTATATCTATCTTCATTAGTTGTCTAACAAAATATTGATTTGAAATAAAGATAAAGAATTTAAAATTTCACTTACTTGAACCTGTCGAAGTACAACACCAATAGCACGAAAAATATGTGGAAGTTCTTTTGGTGATGCTTTGAATAGATCATCAATAATATTATTCGATAACTCAATTGATGGTATATTATTAGCAATTAATAAATATTTAGCAATTAAGACATCCGCATGAGATATACTTTTTCGAAAATAAAAAGTAAAAATGTATAAAGAAGAAACAAGGATTCCTTAAAATTCATACTTGCTGTTCTGTTGATCAAGTAATGGGAGAAGTTTGGAAAATAATGGAAGATTACGATATGTTGTATTCCATTCAGTATTAAAATCAGATAATCGATTTGTTAATAACCAATCAATAGAATGAGCAAATAGAATTAAAAGAGGTTGCCAACTATTTCCTGACTAGAAAGAAGAACACTTGAGTACGAATAATTCAAATGTATTATTAGATAAAAGGAAGTTCATGTTATTTCTGAAAGCTTTTATCGATCATATTTCTTTATATTCAACAAATCTCTACCTGTTGTTGTACTATTGTTTCTATTTGACTAATTAATTCTTGTAAAAACCGACTGATATCTCCATGATTTCCAACCATAAAAAATACAGTTGGTAATTTCATAAACATCATTGGTTGTTTAAGCTACGAAATAAATATAAGAAATATGAATATAAGATATAGAAAATTTTTCTTACAGAATTTATTTTAATAAAATTTAAACCTTCTCGTACAACTGATCGAATATTTGATGAAATCCAATCTTTAATAAAATTTGGCGAATGAAAATAAGTTTCCTGTAATAAACCCATGAAAAGTTCAATTGATCTTCGAACATTATTTATCGACATATATGGGCGTTGATAAGCTGTTCGAATATTTTCAATAAATGGATGAAATATCATTTTTAATATATCTGTATTATGAATATCGATGAGATCAAGGAGGAATACAATTTGACGAGTTTGTAATAGATCATTATCAAATGCAAATAATCGTGTATCAGAAAATGTATTTGTTGAATCTGATGAAAGAAATTCTTCAATTAAATTTTGTAACTGTCGAATATTAAATGAAAAATGATTTGATAGAATTGAGAAATGTTTTGTTAAAAATGTTGATCGATCAAAAAAAGCTAAAAATCGTAGAAAATTTAATGATGTTGTACATAATGACCAATCAAAAAGATTTGTAACAATATCGAGTATTGATGAATATGCAGATAGACGTAAAACAGGTGCATATGTATGACATTGTGTTACTATTAATGATGAAAATATTTTAATATGTTCATCATTTAATAAAGATTGATTATGATGATTGATAGCAAATGTACGAAATGAATATAATACACGTACATGTGATGTTTGAGACCATTTAACTGTTTGTATACGTGATAATAATGTTAATAAAGATAAATCTAATGAGACATAAATAAGAATTTAAAAGCGAATTGAAAATTCATTTTACTTGAATTTTCAAGAGTACAAAACCATCGTTCGAGATAAGATTCTAAATACTTTTCCATAGGTTGACAATCATTAATTTCATCACCTCTGAATAAGAATTCATATGTGAAAGAAAATAAAAATAAACAAAATCTTACTTGAGAAAAATAAAATTATTTGATGTCCAATCAAGAACTGTTTCGAGAAAAAACTAGATTAACAAAAATAAAATTAATTAATACACGATCTTGATAAGAAAGTTTCTCTCTCAATATTTCTAGTACAGATTCTGATAATGAAAAGAATTTTCAGGACAATTAAGGGTGTGAGTGCGGGTACTATCCTTTTCACTCTCATTCACTATTTTCACCCACATTCTGATGCATCCCTGTCTATATGGTATTTCATGTTGTAGAAAACGTTTTTTCTATTTACATTCTCTACTTGACTATCAGGTAATATCATTGAGTTCAAAAACCATCGAACACACCAACGTCCAAGTGGAGCACTTGTATTCGCGAATAAACGTTGTAATAAAATAAATAACCATGTCAAAGATAATTCTACAAAATATAAAATAAAATTTGTATGTGAATATAAATAAAATTACCGTATTCAAGAGATGATTTATGAATTCGATCAAATTTCGTCAAAAGTGGTTTAATCAAATGAACAATACCATCATCTAATGCTTCGTAAAGAACAATAAAATCTATCCAAAATTGTTTTGTTTTATCATCAATTAAAATTAATAAACGATTAGATTTTTCTTCTTTTATTTCAACATGTTTATAGTCATCATTGGTTAATATTTGTTTAAATAAATATAAAGCACATTTACGTTTACGATCATTATTTGTTATATTATCACCTAATGAACGTTGTATTAAATACCAAAATGATGGTATGGATACAAAGATATTTGTTGATCGTAATTCAATTAATAATAAAAGAAATAATTCATCATTGTTTTCTATAGTTGATAAAGAACGAATAAGCATTTGTTCGAGATCATTTTGATGATGTTTAGAAAGAAAACGCCATATATAGGGAAGAAATTTTGAATCATGTTGATAATTCATTGCAGATTCTAATTGTGTCCAATTAAAATTTAATAAAATCGATGAAGATATTTCAATAGTATTGAGTAATTTGCATAGAATTTCACGTAATTGAACTGTTTGTTCATTATCAAGTATTGTTAGAAGAATATTGTTTATACGTTGAAGACGATCTTCTATTTTCATTAAATTTAAACATGAAGATAATAAACGATAATGAACAATTGATGATGAATTTTGTAGAAAATAATCAAATAATTGACAAGCAATTGGAATTGAATTTAGTTGTAAATCTACTGGAAGAGCATCTAAAAGTCGACTAAGTTCGTCAATTTCTTTTTCTTGTCTAGTTAAATCATTTTGATAATTTAATATATTTGACATAGATGTTGAGATATATTGTAATAAACCATCACGATTAAGATATGGAATTAAAATATCCATTTTTACTAAAGAAAATCGAATGTAATCTTAATTTTACTAATATTATATTTTAATTCATACATTGAATTTTTACTTGATACGCTAATATATCCAATCATATATGAATCTATCAATATTCATAGATGACGCCTGTTTGTTATAGGACCCCCCTCAGATATATTGATGAACTTGTAATTTTGGAATATATATTACGAATTATCTGGAGTAATGTCATATTTATTTACATCTTTACTGAGAAAATTCACTAAAAACTGAACGTGGGTTAGAAATGGATCAATAAACTACCAATGAGTTGAGTTGGAAAAACCAGACTCAAAATTGCTAGTATCTTGAGCAAGAATATCCTGACAGTCTATTGTAATTTGCATTCTAGGAGACGATTTCAAGGTTGTAATTGAGAAAATTGAATGAAATTTAAGAGATCATATTACCGATTACTAAGTTTTACAGAAATAATTTCTTATTATTCTTATAGAATACTTGAATTAATTTCATTTATCGTTGATATATATCATAGTTTCGATTATTCTGTAGTAAACTAATGAATATCTTTTTTTGACTTTCTCTTTAAGAGCTTATTAAACAAATAATATTTTCTATTTTGATTTTACGTGTTCTCTAGCGAAGAAGTATGTAATCACTTTAAAAACATATTTGTTTACTCCGTAAATCGCGTTCTTTATATAGTTAGAAGAGAATACAAATATATGTATATTTAATAAATATGAAATAAATCATTTTAGATTAATATTTTCGAAAAATATTTCCAATGGCAAATAACAATTTAAATACGTTCGATGATCTAATGGATATTGATGGTACACTCCGTGAGAGCGCATTTATGCCTACATCCGGGTAAGTATTGATATTTATTTTAATTTCAAAATTAACCTTATTATATTTTAGAGCTATTTTTCCAGAGGTTTTTGAAGCATCAAATTTATTATATGCAATCGAATTTATTCTTTATAATAATACAAAACACAGAAATAATGAAACACTAACAGAAGTACAAGCAGATTTGTTTCAAATCGTTGAAAACCTACATATACAACCGCAAAAGATGTTTATGTATTTACGGCAAAATTTTGCCAAATACTTTGATATTGACTTATATCCTATTGCTTTTGTTAATGAAGAATTTTCTTTAATTACTGAAAATAATGATGAAAATAAAAACAAGGCTTTTTTATTATTTAATGAAGACAATACTGTACGTGGACCATTATATACAAAAAATGGCAGTGGAACTACTGAAACTGTATTCTCTGCTAACTATGATACTCAAGTAGATGTTGATTCATATTTGTTTGGGCTTAATCGTAATAACAAAACTGTTAATTGAATATTTTTATTAAATTTTTCATCTTCTATTTAGTATCGCTAGATAATTATCCTCTCCAACAAGCACAGCCAGCTGCTGGTTGTACGCAAGAATCGATTGAAAGTAAGGAACAATAATATAGAAAACATAACAACTGTTTTTAATTATTTAGATTCATCGGTCAATACTATTTTGACGTCGAGTAATCAAGTACTTTATGGTAAATATTAAAATACGACGTTTATACGCTACGTTTTGTCCCATTATTATCACTTATTCGCCCCTTCTTTATATCTAATCATCACTCTGTTTTTCTTTATTTTTTCAAACTTTTTACTTAAAACTCTCAGTTAACAATTACGCTTACCAACACAATAATAGTTGTTGAAAAACATTATTTCCAAGCACATCTCTGATTATTATATCAATATCTTATGTTTTACACTATTTGAAATTTGTTGTTTTTATGATATAGATTTTTGGATCATTAACCTTATTTTACCAATCTTTTTACATTATACTTAGACTCACTGACATTCAATTGTTTTTTTTATTCTAACAGATCATTCCGAGAAAACACAATCTCGTGTTCTAATTGACACAGCTTTATACCAAATTAGTCGAGTTTTGGACAAACTTCCAGTATGTCCTGATACAATGGATCAAACCTTACAAACATTTCGTAAGTTATTTAACTTACATGAAAAACTTTTTCACTATTAATATTCTTCTAGTTTTTCAAATTGTAAATTTTGAACAATTGACTCCTGAAGATTGTATTTTGGCTTCGGAAGTTATAAAAACATGCTTCTCAAATCTTATTCAGGCAGTAAAATCATCTAATTCTAATAATCGTAATATAATTCTTTAATAAAATCTTTACAATATTTAATTTTATGTTTTCTTTGTAGAAAATAATTCGAATGGTAATGCTGAGTCTATTACACTTCCTAGTGAAGTAAATCAACAAAATACAGAAAGTAATTCAACTAATCTTGATGCACACAATACATTACAAAATGAAATGAATCCGATTTTACTTGATGTTTCAATACCTGATCAATCACTAAACGTATCAAGAACCTATGATCCACCAACAATGGATAAACCATTAAAAAGTCCCTTTCATCCTCGTACATTGAAAGAATATGCAGCAACTAGCAGTTCTCCTGTTCAAAGCGTTCGTTCTAAACAACGTGAACCATTACATATAGGAGTAAAAAGCTTTTTGATACTAATTGAGAATAAATATTTTAATACTATTCAGGTTCCTCCCGATGATGATACTCAATTATATCTTGCCATGGAAACTGTTACTGATACTGATGATAATGAAGCTCATGTTTCGAAATTTCTTGTTCCAGACAAAACAAAACTCAAAGATGAAAACCTAATAAATATGAATGATTTAAGATGTTTAAATTTCGATAAATGCCATAAAGATTATACATTTAATAATGATACAAAACAACTCTATGCAAAAATTAGTTCACAAGAACGAGATGCTTTACAGAAAGAGTAAGCTATTAGTTTATTATCTATAATATCAATGTATTTTATGTAGTATTCGAATTCATATGTTGAATTTATATCAACGAGGTTCAATAAATAGAAAAATGGTTAATGAGAAAGGTCTTAAAAGATGCAAATTGGCTCTCTGGTTTTGTACCTATAAAAATGGAGCTTTCAGCTGTGTTTCTCCAAGATATTATTCTAACGTTATTGAAGAACGTAAGATTCCAAAGTAAACTGTTTTAAATTTCATTAATTTATGTCTTATTGTAGGTACACAAGTTATCAATAAGACGATGAAGAAGAGTGTTTCGAAAAGCGAAAAAAAATCACCCAAAATTTCTGTTGATGTACATTAACTAATATCAGGAGGAAACAACAGGTTCTATAAATCTTAAAGATTCAATAAGTCTTATGCTTTTTCAAAGTCTTCTATATCTTTTGAAGTATGAGTAAGTCTTTTCTTTAGAAAATGTTCTTCACGGTTTTGTCGCAAGGTTTTTTGAACTTTTCTCTAAGTTTCTTTCAAAATCTTTAATTATAAATCAAATAATTCAGTTCATTTTGTCAGAGAACATAAATTTGATTGCACTATAAGATAAAATTCATTGTAGTAGAGGTCATCTATGTTTCATCACAATAAAATCAAAGATATTTTAACACTGTCTATTCATTTGTATCTTAAATACAAAAAAAATATAATATCGAGATATTTAATTACTGTTAGTCAATGAACAAACTTACTAAAGATTGATATGTACGCATGGATAATAAGAAAGAAACAGTTGGCTTCTGATAATTGGTAGTGAGATATGCACTGAAAGGAGTGTTAGACGTAGAAATTTGCATCCATCTACTTGTTACTGCTCTCACAGACGTGACAGATATTATCAATTAACACTAATTAGTTAATGCTAATTAATGGATTATTTAATTAAAATTAGTTAATATTTAATTACTAATAGTTCGTGTTACAGATCATGGTAGACGTTATTAATTCGTATTATATAAGTTATATTACAGTTGGAGCAATGTGAAACTATGAATAAGTGAAATATTGATTGAGATTAAAACAACAAAATGAGCATTATATGTAATTGTTTTTGTATATACCATACAGATATCAAATATTGTCTGTTCTTTTTACTATTTTTTTTCTCGTTTTCATTTAAAATGTTTTAAACGAAAGAAGAAGATTCACTTCTATTGTCTTTCTTTCGATAAATTCTATAAATATTATTCTGTGTATGCTGTACCTAGTGCTCTTACATTCATAAAATGTTTAAAAGTTGTTGCAGATTTCTAAAAATTTATGACTTTATTTAAATCTTTGTTGCAATATATACCCTGTTGTTTCCTCTTTGAACTAATCCTACTAATCACTTATGTAACTTAACCCATATTTATTCAAGCACAAATGTATATCAATTTGTTTTATTTCTTTTCTTTTTATTGTTTTTCTGTAGTATTGAACACAAACATCGGCTACTTGTTTTATTCTTAGGAATAGAAAGATGCAATGTCGACATCTATTTCTGAGAATAGAAATACCGATAGTTAAATTGTAAAAAGTGTTCTTTTTTTAATGCAATTTTTTGTATATTAAAGTATAAATAAATACTTCAGCATTAATATAAACTTCGTCACAGAATCATTTAATATATACTGAATCACAGCTATAATCATAGATATGACAATGACAAATTGTATGGTGATGTAATAAACAACGTCGCACTAAAGGTATATTCCAATGAATAATGCAAAATGACAAAACGAATTTCCAAGATTAGTAATAATGATGCGTAACAGAGGAAAGTAGCCAGAGGGTAATTCGCTGGTGTGCACCCCTTTTCCTCATGCAAAAGTTCTGAATACACCCCTGCTTCATGGACCTTAACTGACATATATTGACTGTGACACAGGTGAAGATTCCAGAATTGCATTATTTGCACTAAAAATAACTTTGTTTATTGATGCAATGTTTTATCCAACCATTATTTGGATTTTTCTACGAAAATGTTTTTTCCTACTTACGAAGAGGCAAGGAAGTAGAAAAAGAACGGGCTTAATCTTGGTATAAATAGAGAAATCAACGCTTGTTTTACAGTCATTATATATTTCTCATCTACACTGATTTGCTTGGCTATTATAAATTCACGATTAGAATATGTCAATCAATCCATAGACAAACAAAACTTCTACTTACACGATAAAAAAATATGAAAATTATGTGGCTGTTATAACAAATATTGATATTCATTACAAATTAATTTCGACGAACATAATGAGTTATTCATTAAACCCAAATCTTCTGTTATATTTGAAAAGTGATTATAATTATTAGAAAATGAAACCTGATCATTTTCAATCAGTTACGTGAGTAATTTTTATGGATTAAAAGTGTGAGTAAATATTTATTCAATGACAATCGAACTTTAGTCAGGTGATTTACAATTATGGTGAAATTCAAGCGTCATATTGATAGAACTCGAACACCTTTTTTAGAATGATCATAATCTTTTATTACCTAGCTTGAGTTAAAACATAATTTTTATTATTATTTTTGTGTATTGTTACGTAACTTTATATCCCATCATGGGAATATTGACTGAATTACATATGTTGTGCTTGAGAGATTAGTTGCAAAATCATTTATTAGAAATTCCAAATATACACAACTAATGCACATAGATTATTTGATGCAAAACAGTTTTGTATACGATGAAGATATTTTATCACATGAAATGATATTAAAAGGGATTATGATATACTTATTTTTTAAGCTTGAGTATAGACATAAAATCTTTAATGTTATCTGAATAACAGTATGATTTTCGCCAGACTTCTGTATCATTTTAAGTTCGCGTAAATCTGATTTTTTGGTAAATAAGTTAGAAATTTTTCTATGAATCTTCTGACTTGATTGAGCAAAAAGTAGTTACCTAAGAAATTGAATAGCTTAAATCTAAAAAGTTTTGAATTATTGTTGGAAATTTCATAATTTAGTGAAACTTTCGAAGTAAATTTGTAGATAAAATTCCCACGGGTATATAAACATGTCATATTGTTAACAAATCTTGCATAATAAATCATTCAAAAAAGGTTTTATTTTCATGATTCAAATAAATATTTCCCCATATATATAAAATTTAAGTGCATCAATCCGATCTATTTAATATATATTGGTGGGAATTAGTAAGACATCATCTTGTAGTAGAATGCAAGTATTTCTAATGCTAACTTCTAAACGGTTAATATTAACCGTATTATAGTTATTCCAATTTTGTTGACTCTTTCTAGATAAAAATTTTTCCCAGTGTGTCATTTGAATTTTCCATTTAGTTTGTTACTAATATTTAAATATTCGTTTTACTCTTCCTACTCTTTTTTTTCTTCTAAACGTTATATCATACTATATAAAATACTTAAACACGTATCTGCTCTTTATCATTCGTAGACTGTCATGTCTCTATTGTCTATCTCATCTATTCTATAAATACAAAGAACTGGTATTTACCCATAGCCGAATTACTTTCCAACTTTGTATGTATATATATACATTATTTTGATATAGGAGATAGTGTTTAGATTTATTTATCTCGTTTCGGTATTCTTTATGCATGATACTAAAATATCAAATGAAATAATTTCTATAATAAACGCATATAATCAAGTTATAAAATATACATACTTGCATTTATATTAAAGTAAACAATTGAATTCTTTTTCCGTATTGAATTCACAGTTCAATCATTTTTATACGATAAACTAGTGCTTACAAATAAAATCAATGTGTAGTTTATGTACCGTTTTTCTTTAATAGTTTTTAATTGCTGTTATTTATATGTTTTCATCAATGAATCAAAAGGACTACTGTCCTTGACGTAGAACGAATTATATTAGAATGTCGTAGGCTTTTTTATCTTCTCGAAAAACAAAATATTATTTTTCAGGTGGGATTTTTTTGTGATTCATTCCGCCAACGCACTATTCATTTTTTTTCGTTGCAAAGGGTCTCTTTCTACATGTTTTTTTTCCTTTCGTTCTGTATTTATCTAGTGACATCACTGAAAACAAGTGTATAAACACAAGGTTTATATCCATCTAAGGGCACATAAGCTTCACTTGGAAATCAGCTACTAGTCATGATCCGATAAATTCCAATACTTATTCATGTTGAGTATTTAATAACTTTGCCATGAGCTATATATGGTATAAAAATTTATTAACTTATATTAATAAAATAATAATTTCATTTTATTATTTGTTATGTAGTTTTATTTATATCTATACGATTCTATATAGTATTGACAAATTACTATTAATATTTTTTCTCTATTTCAGATATCATAACTGATAATTCTATATAGTTTATTTTTACACCTTTAATACAATTATTTAATCTAACCATATACGTTTACTATAATTTGTAAATATGGGTAAAGCAATGAATCCAAATGGTAAGTATTTATTTTTATAATAATATTCAAAAAACAAAAATTAACAAATATATTTATTTGATTTATTTAGATAGCTATGAGGAAACAAAGTACGATACATCATATGGTCTACGGTCTTCCGATATGTCTCCATGTTTACCTCTTGATTTATCCATGAAAAAGAAATCTTTTCAATATCCTGATGTACCAACATCCCCTTTAGATTTATCTATAAAATCTGAACCAATCATTAATCGACAAATGTCAGTAGCTGATCCACGTCTACCTCCAGAAATTCTCAAACAACCAAAACCAGACTGGCATTATCGAAGTATAAAAGATCTTGCAAGTAATCATCTTCCTTACTTAGCTGGCGAAGGCCCACAACGTACACCAGTTCGAGTCACAGTAAGTTCTTAATCAATTTTAATACATTATTATTACATATAACTTTATTTATAACATAGGTCCCCCCTAAGACGTCTGCCAGAGAAATGTATCTTGCTATTGGAATCCTAACTGTAGAAAATGAACTTCATCCCTCGAAAGTAATTGTACCAGCAAAAACAACAGTCAATTCAGGGTATCTATCTCATGACAATAATCTTAATTGTTTACAATTCGACGGAAATTCATCGGATTATTTTGATCGAAATCATAGATGCATTTATTCAAAAATTAGTTTAGAAGAACATGTAGCAGGACATAAAGAGTAAGTTAAATTTGATAATTTTATTTGATTATATTTATATTTTATATTTAGTATAAGAGTTCATATGTTCAACTTATATCAAAGTCAAGTGATAACGAAAGAAATTATTATAAGACAACAACTTGATCGATGCAAATTAAGTTTTTACTTATGTATTCGTGAAAATGGAGAATATATACCAACTTCTTTGCCTGCATTTTCTAATATTATTAAAGAAAGTAAGTTTAATTAAATTGATTTGTTAATTTTTCATATTTATTTTATTATTATTATTATTTAGCAAAAATGAAATCTCAACCTCGTATATCTAATAGAATCAATCAATTAACAATATCACCTATGTCAAATTCCGACTTTTATGACTCTTCCACCCATCAGGATACTACAGATGAAGATAATAGTTATTAAATCAGTGTTCTATAATAGTCAAATTTTATTGATACATGTTCTTCATATCGGATATTTTGTATATTTATTTTTATGTATAAATTTTAATAAATTGTTTTAACTATTATATACCTTTTCATTCTATAGATTATTACTGGCTATAATTTAGTAAAATAGCTGATTAGTTTTATTATATCAATCGTTAATTTTTATTTAAATTTTATATTATAACTCTTATTAAACTATATTGTTGACATGCATGAAAATATTACAGTTAAATTTATTGAACATATACAATTGACTATCAAAGACATATTGAGATTGATTTGAATGCTTGATGGCTTTATGAAAAATAAAAAAAAGTCACACAGAACCATTTAAAGTACTCGAATAAAATAGAGTTTTATTTTGAACTTGTTCTTCCACCATATAAAAATGCTCATATCGTCAAAATCAAACCATTCATACGTCAAACATGAGTTGCTACTATTGATTTGATAAACTTCTTGTTTCTTATTAAGTAAGATTGATTATTACGATACCTATAATAGATAATATATAATTCTCTTTACAATTCTATATCATCATACTTACATACAGTTCACATTTACTCTACTTTCTTGAAAATAATCATTGTCTGCTGCTTAAAATGATTTTGGATAGAAAATCACTACATAATTGAATATTATGTTACAAAACAATTATTTTTTTTCTTATTATATCCGTACAAGTAAACATAATTTAAAGATGATTCATTTGAAGCTTCTCATTGATCAATTGCATTGAGTATAAATGACTAGTTTTTTTTAATAGAGGTCTGTAGTGATCATAGTGGTTGCTATTTTTTTATGTTGGGCAGAACAGGTAAAATTTTCGAAAAATACAATTTTTTTTTCTTTTCGTTCTTGGCGTACTTTTTCATCACCTTGCTATACACTATTCCTTTCATACGTTATAATCTTATTTTTATTACGAGGTATCTATATATAAAATCAATTCGAACAACATCGATTATTATGTGATCAATCTTTCATAGTTGATGATATTTTCTTGAATTCGTAACTTCATATTAATGAAAAATAAAACACATCATCGAATAATATCTCAAAGTAATTATTAGTTGTTTTTTGTAGAAAACTATTACATTCTTCTTAATTACAACACCAATAATTTGATGGAAGTTAAAGAGATAAAAGATTTATCTGATGGTTTTGAATTTATTGTATCAAATGATGGTGCACTCAAACAAAAACATGGATTTCAATCAACATCGAGCTCTTTAATTAGAGACTTCATGATTTTTTTCAATATTCGCTTATACTTCATTATCATTGAAGAAGGAACATTTCAGAAAACAACTGAATATATTACGTTAACTCCCAGCGATCAGACGAAACAAGCTTTCATTGTTCTCAATGGCGATAAAACAGTATGGGGTGTATTATATACATATAATTTAGAAGATAGAATACAACCCGTTTTCGATATCGATGATATGCGTATTCAGTATTATGTTGATAAATATACTGAGCAACTAAATTTAACAGGTATATCTTCTTTTATTAGAAATAATTCAATAAGACAACTTGTTGAATAGATTCACGATTGTTTACTGTCCTAGAAGAAAAATCAAATTTAAGCATCGATAGTAATACTGTGGCCGGTAAGAAATGATGTGAGCATTATTTAATAAAATATCTAATTATTTAGATGAATCGGGAGATGCAATTTCCACATTACCAAACAGTTCTGATCAAAGTATTTATATCTGTCAGTGTTATTACCAATAATACTCATTTCTTATTTTAGTAAGCTTACCTACAACTGAAGATAATATCAGAGTCTATACCCCAAATGATCACATTGCTCAAGATATTGTTCACCAAAATAACAAATTGGTAGTTCATAATATACTCACACCACTAATTCAAGAATCTGGTAGAGTAATGCAACTTAACCTAGGTTCATTTATTTTTTATATTTTTCTTTCAGAAATAAATACTAATAATGGTGATCGTATACGTAAAAATGCAGTTACAACTTGCGAACAAGACCGCTCTGTTTTGGAAAAAATTATAGATGTACAACGTATGTTGAACTACTTTTTTCATCATTTTTTACAATTGATAAAAGCCTATAGGGAATTGCAATTTTTTTATAAATCTAAAAAGATAGCATTGAACTAGATCGTAACGATAAATTTCTAATACTAAATAGATTGTTAAATAGTTTCCTATACTAATTTAGCTCAACGCGGTGGATCACATCATGCTAGAAAAGCTGACCAAATGGATATTTCTAATGCATCGGACGGATTAATTACTATGTCGCATACTACTGAAGTCACTTCTGCACCTTCATCAACATTCATTAAATACAAAAAACCAGTACTTTTAAAACCGATAAGACCCTACTGGAAAATTCGCCATCCAAAAGATCTAGCAAAAAAGTCAAGAAAAACAACGACAGGCGATAAACAAACGAAAACACGGTATATTGAACTTCTCCATAGTATTGGTGATGGAAATGCTCCACTTAAAGTTAAAGTAAGCTATCAATAAAAGTGAAGAAGATTAAAACAAACATTTTATATATATTTGATTAGGTTCCTCCTAGAGAGGAACGAAAAATGTTTCTAGCAAGTGCAGTTCGTACTATTCTTAATCAACCTCACTCTTCAAAAATCATTGTACCAAAAGGGACAAAAGTAGATATAAATCTCTTCAATCGCAACAACAATCTCAACTATTTGGAATTTCATGAATGTGATCCAATGCATACCTTTGATTTAGGTACAAAAATAGTTTATATGGAAATTACTCCAGAAGAACATGAACAAAAACTTAAAAAGTAAATTTTTTTTTATTTTATAAATGTTTTTCTATATGATTATATAAAAAGAATACCAATATATATGGTTAATCTATATCAAAACCAACAATTAACTAAAGATATGATTAAACGTGAAAAACTTAATGAATGTCAATTAGTTTTCTGGTTATGCGTAAAATCTCATGGAAAGATTATACCTGTTTCGGCTGAGTCAGTGACTGACATAATTACTGAAAGTAAGATTCATACATATTTTTTAATATACTCATATTGTTTTCCTATAGCAAAATAATATATAAAAAAATGGCTCTTAATGTATTATATTTCATCAAAGCGAATAAACAAGCAAATTTTTACCTTGGATGAAAGAAAAATTTATATATGATAAACATTTTTTTAACTTACATGTGTGGATTTTTTCGATTTTACGACGCACATGTCATTTTATTTTTTTTTCACCTTGAGTATTCTAATTTTTTCGTAGATAGGATTTCTTTTTTTCTTGTTCTTTGAAAAAAAACTCTTTTTTATTTGTCATGTAAGGCTTTTTTTACTAACATAGTTATTCGTCATACATTATATTATTCAATAAAATTAAGCTAATGTCTACGTAGTTCGTTTTAGATCTGGAAAAAAGCAATACCAAATGATTTCAATAGAAACAAGATAACAGACGGCTTTTTACCTGCTATTGAATTCGATACATGATTTTAGACGAGGTTATAAAATGTGAATTGAACTCTTATATGTATGTTTGATATATCATGTTTATTAGCTTGATTTTTATGCTACATAAGAGAAAACTTCAAGCATATTAACAAAATTATAAAAGAAAAATTGATATGATTTATTTAATTCAAAATTTAATAAGAAAATAATATAATTATATATGGTGTTAAAAAGAAAGAAATAAAAAATATGTATCAATCGTTTATTTCTTCATATATATGAAATCAGAGTTGACGTTAACAATAAACTTACTCATAAATAAAAATGTCGTCAATATATTACTGTTTATTTAGAATAGACAAATCATAACGCTCTCTTGCAGAATAATCTGATTAAATATGTAAAATGTCATGTGTACAAATTCATTTTAAAACGATTCTATGCAGTATTATGAATCCAAACAGATCGAAGGATATTGAATGCATGTTATCGATGATGAACAAGAAAAATTATTCTATCAACTTTGTCTATTTCCTATGCATCTGTCTTATTATTTTTTTTTCTTTTTTCTTGTTGTCACAAAGTGAAATTTATGATTATGTTACGTAAGAATATTAATTGTAATGTGAAAAAAATATGACAGTTGACTGAATGTGCATATAAAACAATATTGTTGTCAGTTTTTAATCATTATGGAACAATAACTTAGATATCAAAAACAAGATAGTTATTCTTTTCTGCTTTTCTTCAAAAAATTAAAGTCAAGAAGAAGAACGGTAACACAATGTAAACGAATAGTTGCGGTTGGAAAAAGCCAACATACGACACGTATGATTGTGATTCATATATTATTAGTGGACGATGATGCAATGTGTAATAGAATCATTTCGAAAACTACTTCGATAAAAGTATACGTCTTTCAGAACAGTATGTATTGACATAACAATGAGATCAATCGTAGTTAGTTACGTACACCCGATCAAATATCATCTTTTTTTCTTCTTTTATTCTGGAAATTTTATTTACTCGTATTTCTCCTAGCTTAACAAGTTTTGTCTGATCATGCTTTATTTAAAGTAGGCGATACGTCATATTCATTATTGCGTTTATATTTTTAAGATACAATAATTTTCTTCATTTCTAACATATTACCTATGAATTAAAAAATATTAAACTATGTTAAATATAATTAGTATCAAAGGATGATAACGTATTTAGTAAACTAGTAATATAAGACATAAAATAAACCAAAATGTCAATGTAATCTTTCTGCATCATCAGTATATTTGAGTATAGAAATTTATACTTAAACGTATCTGACGCAGTTAGAATTTTTCAACTCGCAGTATGTCTAACATTTTCTATTTTTTTTCTTTTCATTTCTTTGCTGTCATTTTTTTATTCGTTGTTTTAGTAAGCGTTGAATCATCTATATATATATAAACTGAGTTTGATCTTATTTTAAACCATATTTGTATAAAACATCATACAAATATGGAAAACGACACTTCTTTAACTACAAGGGAACTATCAAATGCGGGTGAATTAATCATATTATCAAATTGGTCAAAAAATAATCAATCTTTAAAGTATTGCATTTTTCTTTCAAATACATTTGAAGATGCAGTATTTTCTATACTTTTTTAGGTCATGGATTGGCCCTGTTCAACCTTATTTATGGGGAAATTTATGTGATTGTATGAAACATATGGCAGAATATGGTTGCAATATGGAGCATTCGCTAAGTTGGGTACAGGATACTCTAGATGGCATATCCTTATCTCTAACACCTGCACAGTTAAATTATATATTCAATGGTTATGCAAACTTATACAAAATTGTCATCGATGTCATTAGCATTACAGATAATGTTCCAGTTAATTTAGAAATAGATATTGATCAATATGATGGAACTTCAAGTGAATCGGAACAAGAAAAACGTTGTCGTAATATTACTTTTGTTATGTACAATCCTGAAACATTCTCATTTGCAATACTCTACGCTATCGATAGTGATGGCAATCGACAAACTTGTTTTGCTATAGATGACCAACGTATCTTTGATCATCTTGGTGGTTTATTTGAAAAATTGAATCAAGAAAGTAAGTTAACTAAAAATAAAATTAAAGTATATATTCTTTTTATCTATTCATCTTTTCAAATATCAGTTATGGAAAGAGAGCTTAGTATCGATAACGATGATGCTACAATAATAAATACTGAAGAATCTCATTCAACAGATAATGTAAATGCACATCTTTCATCATCATCATCATCGAGTAAAAATGATAGTTCATCTGATACCCATTCAAAAGGCTGTACATATGAATTATCTGTTGAAAGTCACGATGATTTAACTACATCGAAAAGACAGGAAGATCACACTATATGTATTTCTCAAAGTAATTCTCAATCTAATTTCTATTCGACTCATGAAGAACCCAGGACAACTTCAATAGATAATATTCAAAATGTATTATCTGATATGGATACAATCAATAGAGATATACATCAAGAACTCAATTCTACGGAAGAATCGCTTCCTCAAACTACACAAATTGATTGTCATCGTAAGTAATATTTTAATATCATTAGTAATATATTCCTATGATATTATACAGAAGAAATTGCTGACAACACATCCACGGAAACAAATGATTGTCGAATGAATACAAGCCTCGATTCAAAAGCACGAAAATCAATTTCGAAAAATATTGTACACCGTATTATCCGAAAAGCAAAAACTAAACGCATTCGTTCATCTAACAATAATTCTCTTTCAGTTCCAGTTACTTTATCTGAAACTACTAAGAAAACAGCATCAGCCGTAGTATCAAATGTTCACTCATCAATGGTATTAATAATAAAATATGATCCACTAAAAATACTAAAACAACCCAGACGTTATCGTCGTGTTCGTATGCAAAACGATTTAAACAAGAAAAGGTGCCCATTAGTACAAGCAGGTAACGAAGATGAACAGAGAATTTATCCTGAAATAGAAGTAATCATTCCTATTCTAATATTTATAGTACTTTTAATTATAACATTCAATTATAGCTGCCAAATAATGCTGATGATAATGTAAAACTTTATGTTCGTGTCAGAGTGGTTACCGAAAGTGGACATTCACACCCATCTCAATGTGTTGCACCTGAAACAGTGAATATTAATATTTCAGTAATGGATAATAACAATGAATGCGTTTTCTTAATAATTACTGATGAAGAACGTCATAACCGTCGAAAAATGTGAGTGAATATCTTTTCCTATATACACATATATATTAATTATTGATATTTTAAGAATAAAAGTTCATCTTTTCAAACGGCTACATTATTTCGTGTCAACTGAAAAAAATACTGAAATAGAAAATCTTCGATTATGTAAACTAGAATATACTTTATGTGAACAATCTACTTCTGGTGAATATCAACTTGTGTCACAACCTTCTTATACATCAATTATTGAACTGAGTAATTTTTAACTCAATGATCTTTTGCTGTTCATTGTTATATTATATTTTAGTGGATAAAGATGTAACTGTTGATGCTACTGAAGTCAAACCGAAACAACTATGTCAATTGGGCGGTGAAGAAATCAGTGTACCATTAAGTACCAAATGTAAAAAAAGCGGTAAGATAGTAATATTACTTATTTAAAATTTGTCTTATTCTGCTTTCTAGATTTTCATATCGAATGTAATGACCAAGAACTAAAGAATACACAATATAAAATGGAAGGAAAAAAATTAATAATATTTTCACCTGAATCGAAATCAACTAATCACCTCCATTTAACCATTTCAAGGAAAGAATATAATGAAGATATTTCTGAATATCAGATGAAATTATTACATAATGGTTTTATTCCACATGTAGTTCATGGTAAGAAAGAATTTATAAACTATAATATACATGTTCTTATCATTGGTTTTTGTTTAAGGTAAATGTACACATACATGTGGCTCCTGCAATTAACACTTAATTATCATACAGAACTATGCAAATACATTCAATATATGAATCAAATATTGAATAAAACTATTTATTTTAATCTTGAAATATTTTCTTTTTATACTTTGTGTGTGTATTCGATTTACTTCTTTATAAATAATTATCTATTAACAACATCCATAATTTTATCAATAAGAATATTATTCCAAAATTGTTTACATATTTTAGATTTTCTTCGATTTATACGTCATTTAAATAACAACCGATATATTATTTCTATGTATGAATTGATAATGTGAGTGTATTTTATACCTTATTATATGTATTAGGCAATATTTATTTAATTTCTATATATCAAAAACATTATTTTTTATAATTGACTTAACCTTTTCTCTATCATATCGAAATTTTACTCAAGGACTCAATAACATGCGCCGTCTTTCACTCGAAAAAATTAGTCATTCTCCAGTCGGAAAGAATGAGTCATCCTTTCCGACTCAAGAATTCCCTATTCATTCTTTTTCTTTTAACGGGCATTTCTATTATTTTGTTAGCGAACAACGATACAATAATCATCATTATATTTTAAACAGCCGCATTTAAACAAAAATTTCATCAAAATGGAAGATGAATTATCAGCTAGTCAATCATTAAAGTATGATTTTCTGTTTCTTATTTTCTCAATTGAAATCGATTGATCAATTCTTTTTTGTAGTTCTGGAGCAGAATTTATGTTTATACAAAGGGGATTGGATCTAATTACCGGTGCTAAATCCATTGTAACTAACGGAACTCGACAGCCTATAAATATTCCTATTCACTGGCAATGTCCTGAAGGTATTCTTCAACGTACATTTGAGAGAATAAAAACACGCATCAATGGCTCTCAGATTTTTTTTCGCGATTTAATTAATGCTTATGCAGATCTATACAATATTGATCTTTATTTGATTGTCTACGAAGATAATAAATGGATTATTATTGGCAAAGAACGATTGGAATCTAATAAACGTGACAATCATGAACATTATGCTTTTCTTTGGTGTCATGAGGGCAATACGGAATGGTCTCCAGTATGTATACAAGACACCAGCGGACGCATAATGACTACGTTTAAGACAAACGAAGTCGACGCTAGGCATTTTATTGAATTCTGCCTTAATAAAATAAATCAAAATCGTACGATTTATCATTCTATTGATAATGCCAATATAATTCATATATATTTTGTATTTTAGTAAACAATACTGGTGAACAGCCAGTAGAAGAGGATTCACACATGTCCGAAGATGCTAGTCGTAAGTGTTCTTCTTCATAAATAATTGCTAACTTCAAATTAATTTAGATATGATGGTTGATACTACATTCTCATCAATAAATGATAGAACTTCACGTAATTTATAGAACAAATATAATTAAGAATAATTTCTAGTCAATATTATTGTAGGTGTTCGGCAGCCTGTAACAACAGTGAATACTCGTGTTTCTATCAAACAAATGCAAAAAGAAATAGATCAATTAATACCACTCATTATATCAAGGTCCGGTACAGTTGGTTTTGAAAATCCAATATCAGGTATAGTGCAACGAGCGTAGTAAAGAACATGCATATTATCGTGTATGTAGATTTCAACAGCGCCAATCTTAATCAAATATCACCTCGAATGGCTGCTACATTGATAAAGCAACGACTTTTATATCTGTCGAACGCTGTTCAAAAAGCACTTGAACTTACTTCACGTAGATATACATTATATTGCATTGTTTCTAGTCATTATTTATATTTTGTATTTTTTAGAAGATAGTGATACTGGTATTTCTTCAATGATAGTTGGCGAAGAGAATAATCAGCAACGTAACATAGATTGATTTAATACATAGAATCTTTTTCATAATATATTCCATGTTTTTTTAGTCCAAACGAACGAAACAAATCATTCTGTGCAAACTGATCAAGGCTTTAGTTATGTTTCTGCATCGGAAACAATTGATGCGTTAAACAGTAATCAAGCTTCACAATGTACTTCTGTATCTACATCATTAGAATTCCAATACGAAGCACCATCGATTCTTGTACAACCAAAGGGAGAATGGCACAATCGAAATATGAAAGAACTAGCAAATAAAGGAGTTTCTCGTCTCGCCGCTGATGGTCCTCAACGTACGTTTCCACAAGTGCAAGTAAAGTCTTATTTATATTTAAAAACGATTAGAATATAAAAAGTAAAATATTATTCTCAGGTTCCTCCGGAAGAAAACCAACGTATGTATATTGGAATCCAAATACAAACTTATAACAATGAGAAACATCCTTCAAAAGTACTTGTTCCAGAAAATACAGGTGTCAATATGGATGATTTTTGCAATGATAATAATCTTAGTAGATTGCTGTTTGATAAGTGCAAGAAACAAAATAATTATTGTGAACCAGGAAATGGGTGTGTTTATCTTGGAATTAGCCCAGAAGAACATGGAGCTCAACGAAAACAGTAAGTCTTCACTATTATTTCAATCTGACATTTCTATTCTATGTAGTGTACGAATACATATGTTCAATTTATATCAAACTGGTTCAATTACTAAAGAATTAATTGAGGCTAACCAACTTAAAAAATGTAAACTAGCCTTTTGGTTATGTACCCTCCAAGATCGCGTTTTTAAACCTATTTCAAACTTCTCATTATCTTCTATAATAGAAGAAAGTACGTTTCATTTCTATTTTGCATCAACTTATCTAATACTTTTTGTTTTTAGCATAAATTATCTCATCTCGTTCATAACAAAAAACCATAAAAAAATAATACGAACATACCTGTGATATATATTGGTTAGCTACACATATCTCTGAATTCGACGGTGCCTTTTATATATTTTCTATTTTTCCAAGTTATGACATTGTCACTTCCTAAATACATGTATGACTCATTATTTGTTTATGATACGTGTATGATTGCCGATGGTTGGCAATTTTTTTTCGTTCTTCCTAATAAAAATGTTATCTTGCTTACAGTACATTACTAGGAAGAAAACGTGTGACATAAAATATTCTATAAATTATTGACTAATAGCATAAATATCGAAACAATAATTCGATAACTGAAAATATAATATAACACAGCACGTAGGGATGTGCAGTGTCAGTGAAAATACTGAAAAACTGACACTTAAAATATCAGTTCAGTGTCCACCGTGCCACTGAAAATGTCGGTGTCAGTGTTCACCGAACACTGAATATAAGTGGTCGGTCTCCACCGTGCCACTGAAATATCGGTGTCAGTGTCCACCGAACACTGAATATAAGTGGTCGGTGTTCACCGTGCCACTGACATATCGGTGTCAGTGTCCACCGAACACTGAATATAAGTGGTCGGTGCCCACCGTGCCACTGAAAATATCGGTGCCAGTGTTAACTGAACAGCGAAGGTATCTGTTTCCAAAATATTTTTGTGTTAAACCTTATTATTTACAACAATATATCAGTGTGTTCACCGAAAAACTGGACGGTGAGCACCGAATACCGAAAATAAGTGTTCGGTGGACGCTGACACTGATATTTCAGTGGCACGGTGAACACCGACCACTTATATTCAGTGTTCGGTGGA